ATCAGTTTTAGTGAAAATAAATTAGAAAATAAAATTATGAGCAAGTGACCACTGTAGACATCCAAAAACGTACATGAATTAAAACAGACTGCAAATAAAAAAGAAAATCATCCAAATATATTTCAGTTTCACTGAAATGATAAAACTGTGCCATTAAAGTCTTTAATTAGTTTACTTTAATATGCAGTGGCAAAAGCATTACATTATGCATAAAGTATAAAAAATGATTTGTGCACTGTGTGTATGTGGTTGTATTCACCATGTTCTTTTTAGAAGAAAATATTTATATCACTGAGGATGCAGAGATCTCAAAACAATTGTGTCTCATATGATTTATTCGGCTCTATACGGTTATGTCTATTCTTCATTTGACCTTCTTTTAAAAACATTGATTGATTTATGGTGCAAGTATAAAGTAATGTTACAGACGGATGAGAAGAGTTTTTTGGAAATACAGTTGACAATAATCACTTCATGTTGACAGGAACAGGAACAAAAGTCAGTTGTTCCAGGTTGTTTAAAAGAGAGCTTTGAAGGTGAACCAAAACAAGGGCTTTGCATAAATAGGCAGAATTATGCTTCACAGCACAACAAACAAAGATACATTGTCTTGACTTTACTACTAAAGCTTTTTTTTTTCCAGTGACCATATCATATTCTTAGGTTATCTCATTTCTCTCTAGCAAAGAATTTTATATGTTTGTCCTCCGGGGTCTATTTCTGTGTTTCTGATGTATAAGCTGCTGCCCGTAAAAATCTCAATGATGGCTTTTAGAGTGCAGTCCCTCCACCTGAATACTTGACCACGGCATACAACACATTGTTTAGTAATGGATATCATGTTAGTGCGGAGAGAATTCAAAGAAAAGAGAGATCATGAACACACACACACACACACACACACACACACACACACACTGTATAATAAGTTTCTATTGACATCAGCATTGCAAAATTAGTCATGCAGAAGTGCTCTGTAAGTGCACCATCTGTATCGCTGCATATTGTAGCAAGTGGGGTGAAATCACAGTAAGTGGGTTGAAAGCCATGCATACAAAAAAACCTGATTTGTTTTTAAACATTACTACAGATCTACAGAACTGTGTTCACCAGATTGTGTCCCAAAAAAGCCGCCGTACAATTGGAAACCTAAGCTGCCTGCCGTCTTGTCAAATGAGGTTATAAAGATTATTGAAAAAAGCCGAATAAAAGCAAATTGAATCATTCATAACCTTAATAACTAAATGCAAATCATCAAATCTAAATTGATTGGATACTCTTTTTTTATATATATATACAAATGCCACACACAAAAACAGAAACTGTACATTCAGCTGATGTTTAACCATTTAATGCTTTGATCTGGATAATACCCATATACTGTAAATATTATACCTGACACATGTCTTGGTTTGGGAGTATAACTTTTAAATCTCTTAAAAAATATATTCCAGTTTTCCCCCATAGACTGTTTTCCTTTGATGTGCTCGTGTCGGTGTGTAAGTTTCCTGTTAGAGCAGACTTGTCAGGTGAACTCAGAGCCACAGAGCGCCCTCTGCTGATAGTTAAGGGAAGTACAAAACATGAAGACAACTTGTACTTCGTGGAAATCAAAGCGGAAACAAACAAATTATATTTATTATATATTTTTTTAGTTACAGCGATGTGATAGTGATGTAATATGTTGTTGTTTTTTTGACAATATTTTATTTTTGCGAGGATTTGTAGACCCAAAAGCCCTTCTAAATATTAACATTTATTTTAAGAAATGGTGCTAAAGAGGATAAATCAGCTCACAAGAAAATGGTCATTTATCATATTTTATTCCCTTATTTCCTATACTATCAGAATTAATATCCGTTCTTTTCTGAATGGACATTTCTCGAGTCTGACATTAGCATTTGTTGTAGGGTAACATTCTGCAGATCTGAAAACCACCTACAAGGACACAACAAAAAATCAGAGCTTAAAGAAAATGTAACTGGACATTAAAAGTAATTTCAGTTCACCGTTTCTTAGTTTTGTTATAAATATGCATTTAATGGACCCTGCACACTCTAGGCGTTCTTAACAGAATTAAATAGTGTACTTAGTTTTAAACTTTGATCACTCCTCCTATCTTTGAAGAACTCATAGAGGCTGAAAGGAGTTCATACTACACTGCTGTTCTCTCATCAGTTCTTAATCACACACTGCCACCTAGAGGCTCACCGCTGAAATAAAGTTTCAGAAGAGACTAAAAATTAGAAAGCCATTTTTTTGGAAATGAAAAGTTGTTTTCCTAATTTATTTGTCAAGAGTTGTCAATGAAACATGAAGTAGTACATTTATTGTCATTCTGACAACACACAAACCCTGGTATCACAAAATATCTCAGTTATGATGTAAACACACTCACTATGAACCCAAGGATCCATTCAGACTCAGTATGACTATCAGGTTATTTAATGTACAGATGTATTCAGTCAGCAGTTAAAATATTTATTGAAGCAAATCAAGGTCTTTCTAAAAGATGAAGGCTGAACCTAAAGACCTGAATGATGTTCACAGTGCCCTAATAAAGCAGGTATGCACACAATGTATACTTGCAGTCAAAGTACTATCCAGTGTTGAGGTTTCTATTTTTAGAAATGTTGGACGACATCCACACAGACGGTTCGAACAACTGAACCTGCACAAAGTCAACAAGGATTTTTTTTTTTTTATCTTTTACAAAACAGAAATAAGTTGAATGAATAAAAGAACATACAAGTGCAAAGTTTTGCCCTTAAAGCTTGATTGCGTGTTTTAAAACATCGAGTTTGACCGATCTCAAAGGGATTCACTGCTACAGTACTTTATGACACGCTGCAGTAACAATATGACGAGGAGATGATGGGAATAAACTGGAAATATACAGACAGGGTTGTTGCTGTATCACATGCATGACGCTGATGGATTTGGTGGAGACGCGGATGATGAAGATGCTTGAAGTGTAAAGTTGGCATGAAAACTGAAAGACAAACCCATTGATGTTTCCCTCAATAATACAACACTAAAAACTTCCTGTGTGGCACTAATCACTGAAGAATCAAGCAACACTAGACTTTGAGAAAAAACATGTTAGCAGTGGTCCAACCCGCCATTCTGTACATAACCATTCAGATTTACCTTTGAGGAGGAGAGAAGAGAGTAAGTTCATTCCCCAAAACAGCTTTTTAAAAAGGACTTAAAATCGACATTGGACTGAAGAACGTTCAAGGTTGGACTGAATATACTGCATATCTTTTCCTCTATGAATCAGTACAAATATTTTCTATCTTCAGTCTGTACTCCTTTTGTTCTTTGAGTGCGAGTCCTTCCTTGCTGCATGTTTGTTCCTGACTAACGCACCAGAGACGAAGAAATACTTCAAGTAGCAGCTCAATAGCTGTGAACCATTTACCGTATTTAAGAGACTTCACAAAAGTTTCTCAAAAGGTGTTTTTTCCTTTTACAAAAGTTCTTTCTCTATTTGGTTTAATGTTGTAGATTACGAGACATTTGTCAAACAAGTTTCTGCTTAGGGCCAGAATAACTAATGTTGAAAGGAATCTTGCTTCTGGCTATTAAAAAAAAAAAATGAAGGGTTTTTTTGTACTAAGAAACATCATTAACATTACTTTACAAAGTCAAAAAAAAACTGTGAACACCTTTTTCTTTGTTACCTGCTTTCTCCAAGAGAAAAAGGTTCATATGAAAACTGTTTATTTCAGCTTGACTGAATTGACCCTTTAAAGCAATAACTCAAAACACTGACTTTTACTTTAAACTATTAATTATATATTACAATTTCTTTTCAGACGACACACTAAACACATCCAGATCAGATGCATTTTTAAATGTGAAGTCTTCAGCCCCCTCCGACACTGACTCACAAGATATTACTTGGAAAGTCCGACCTCGCAGGGACATAAAAGGCTTTAAAACAACTTGTTTTCTTAATCCCATTTGTTATGTTTTCCAGTACTTTTTGGAAACTACGGAACAACTGCTGATATATTCACTGTTTGAAAGGATTGTAGAAAGTGGCTTGCTTTTTGCAGCAACATTTGACCACTTCAGCACCCTGGACAGCTCCAAAAATGATTCCGCAAGAGCCTTAATATCTGCTGTAAATATTGTCACTTTCACTTAAAAAAAAGCATGCACAAAAGAACCTGACTGAGGAGCTGTTTCCCTTTGAGCTTTGGCACCCACATCTGTCTCTTGAGCATGAAGATGACAGAGCTGACAGATGTACAGCAGAACACATCTGCATGTCCAATCCTTGGACTCAATAACCCAAAACAGCCATCACTGGTTTAACAGTTTAAATAACAAGGACTACTAATGTTCATCAAAGGGGAAGAAAAAGTTTGAAATTTAGCCCCAAGAGACCTCGCTACTAAAGCAGCCCTGCATGTTTTCTTCCCTCCAAAGTAAAGTGAGCTGGGTCCCACGGAGGCAGTGAGTGGAGTACGGTATTTTCTTTGGAACAAACAGCACTGCAGCACATCAGCTAATAGAGCCCGGCTCCCAGAGGGAAGCTCGATATAGGACACTTTTCCTCTTCCTCCACTTGAGCTATTAATACACCCAAACAAAAGAAAAGAGGCTTAATGAGGCAGCAGCGGGGAACTCATGCGAAACTCGGTGAGACAAGAGCTTTGTAGTGTTTAGCTCCCAAGGTTTCCAGCTTTTCATATGGTGGATCCTACTTTGCTAGTTCTATTGTGGCTGATGCTATGGGAGTAAAAAGCACAGTAAATGTACAACTTGTTGTGCTCTCTTCAGCATTACCCTTGGACCCATTTACTAGCGTCTTAGTGAAATGGCAAAAGCAACACAACAGTGAAAGAAAATGCATAGTTTTGAGCATGATAATGCACAGGATATGGATATAATAGATCCTTCAAGAATACTACTGTACACTGTTACAAAATGATCTCAGCTAGAGACATCAGAAATATTTCACTAGTTTGGAATAAAAAACAAACAGAAACGGTGACATATGAAGCATTTCTTTGCATATTTGCATGAAAGGAAAATCCTCACGCAGCTTAGAGCAGCTACCTTGAAGTTAATGCTTTGGTTCAGATCAGAGTGCATTAAAATGGAAGAAGATGAGGGAGTGTTGTCAAATGCACACAGTTCAGTCCAACTAAGATGTTTGTATCCTGGATGAGCAGGAGAAACGGTTACTAGTCACATACTGAACACAAATACCCCTGTATAGATCAAAAGAATACAGAACTAGTACCATGAAAACAGACAAACACATACTTGCAAAAACAGTTCACAGAGCATTGCATTTACTTGCTTAGCTATCCTGGCTAACACCAGCATTGTAACATTGGTACATTACAATATTTAAACTATTGTAAAAATGGGGTTTTGGTGTTTAAATATATCACACCTCAAACAGTAAAACTACCTGCATTTTAACAGGTACTTCAAAATGTGCAAGTTACAAACAACTCGCATTAAATCAAGTCAGAAACTGCTTTAAAGAGCCAATGAAAAAAGAAAGAGAGGAGGTTGATGCTTCAGGTGATGTCATGCATTGGGGACTTAATACTAACCAGATGTCTGAATCAACGTGAAGATGTCAAACAGTGCAAAGATCACCATTTCATTCATGCAGTACAACATGGTAAACAGAGCAGAGGGTCAAATTTGGCAGTAGTTTAAAGACTCAGAAGGGCCAATTTTAAAGTTTGTCTTAAAAAAATCCTACCATACTGTAAACTGTCCTACTTTAATTCATAGCGACAAACTATTTCCTTATTTAGCTGCATTTTTTGGCACATAAAACACTCCTATCTTTTAAAAACCTGAACAGACGAGGAAGCCACTTAAAGCTGCTCTATGGCATCTTGGATCTCACAAAAAACGCAACCGTGAACTTCTCCATTGCTCGCCCTCGCTAAGCTGATCTGAATTTTCCAATGGGGACTTTCTGCTCAATCCAATTGGATGCAGTGATATAAAGAGACAATTAAGTCCTGCACCACACAAGGCAAATCCACTGCTGGGCTAAATATTGACTGGAGGATCAGACGATGTGGAGCAGCAGCAAAAGCTGAGCCTTGAAAGTAGTCGTACTCCCACATCAGAGGCAAAAAAAAAAAAAAAAAGTCTAAATTTAGCTCTGCTTGTAGGGTCAGGTCCCATCCGGCAGCAGTGCTCCCCATACAACAATAAAAGCACAGATTTGGTTGAACATCCTGCATCCCATTTGGTTGTTCCTATAAAAAGATTTAGCTTCTTTAATCCTTATGAACAAGGACATTTACTTTTTAACTACTACAAAAAGCTGCAGTTAAATCCCCAAATCCACCGACTCTATAAATAAAGGATTTTGGTTACATGAATTTGACAAACTGGTACACAACCATTACCAAACAGCTAACGGTGTTAATCTCTTTTTGCCTACAATAATCTTAAAATGTCTCAGTAACCTACTTAAAGCGTTAATGATCTATGAGAACTACAAGACGTATAAATGACCATTATTAGACTACATGGAAACAGTCTTTCAAGCTGATAGGGAGAAAACACAGTAACACAAAATATCTGTTGTTTTTTTTTTTAGACACTCACTATCCATTATTTCTTTTCAGATCAGTCTGAACCATGAATAAGTTAACAATATAGCTTATCATAAATAAATTTCAGTCTGTAAAATTCACATATAAATATCTTGCTCCATCTTGCAGAGACTTCTCAGAAAAGAGAAGTGGACCCACGTTCCTTTTTGCTGTTTTTCGTCTCTTCTTTTGACAGAGAAATACAAAGCATCCAGGTGTAAACACTACAACTTTCCCTTTTAAAACCTCTGGAGGCGCGGACAGAGACAGGTAAACAGAGCAGACGGGGATAGAGCTGTGATTTGATGACGAGACTGAACGTGTCTCTCCATGGTCTGTTTGGACCTGGGGCAGTAAGGCAGCCCTTTTCATGTTGGACACCGGTGACGACTCCTTCCCGGTCCAGTCCCTGATTGATACAGTCTGTGTGTGAAGCTGAGAGAGGCAGAAAAAAGGGAATAGGCTATTGCTAGAGATGGTTGATTGATTGATTGATATTGAGGTGACGGTTGATGCTCCTGCTGCATGCTTGGTTTTTGGAGACGTGCGGACGTCCATGCAGGTGAGCCAGAGGCAGAGAGCAGCCGGGGACAGAGAGGAAGAGAAGATCATCGTCTCTACGCTGGTCCGAGCCATCCTGCGGGTCGTCAAACTGTTGGAATCTGTTTTTCTGCTTGTTCCCTCACTATCCTTCTGAGAAGTCAAAGGCTGAGTGTGCTGGTTTGTCTGTTTCCAGGGCAACGGGTGTGTTTACAGGCGTGCTGTTGGAGGGCTGCGGGTTGGTGTCGTCCCCAGGGGAAATCTTCCCCTGAGACTGGGAGGAAGAGGACGAGGAATGGGTGCTCTCACTGGAGCTGCTGCGGGTCTCTGTGCTGGTACTCGTCTTCTTCATCTTCCTCCTCTTGGCTAGCGGCGCCTTGTCCACCGTCTGCAGGCGGAAACCTTCCCGCTTACATTTGTTAAATGCCTGCAAAGGACAAAAAAAAGGGGTTAGTTGAACATTTCATCAAGAGTTCTCTGCATTTATTAATTTACCAAAACTACACCACTCTCTCCATACTATAGGGAGAGTGAGTGGCAAATACTTAAATTAGCAAAAAACAACAAAATCTCTTCTCAATTTAAGTATTCAATCTGAAAATGGTATGAAAAAAAAAAATGTTCATGCATAAATTCCAAACATTTGTTTAGACCGTGACTGTAATGCTCATTTCTGTTATCTGTCCATCTGCGGGAAAATAAAATCTAATAAAATTAAAACTCAAATGAGATAATCACAGCTCTTTTGTATTCATCAAAGGTATTCATCTATTTTCCCTGTAAAATGATTTAATATTCATCCTTTAGAATCATGAAACTATTCATAGATTCTTCAAGCTGCAGCTGTTATGAATAGCCTAAAGCCAAAAAATAATGGACTGACCAACATAAGCAAATCAAAGAAGCAACAATGAGAATCTGGAACATTTTATATCTTGGCTTGAAAAAAGTACTCACAGGTTGTAATGATCAGAACGTTTTTTTCTCTTGGCATCTTATTGATTAATAAACTGTCTCTATTAATCTCATTATACACTTATAATAATGTTCATCTCTATATTTAAGCTTTGGTCTTGGGGTAAAGAGTGCCTAAAAAGGTCCATAAGAAGCATCAGGTTGGCAGTTTAAAGAGAAATTACTCCAAAACCTTTTGCATCTTACCAAAAACCTACATCTAAAACCAGCCATGCATCCCCTGTGAGCTCTTACATTAAAGGTAGCTTTGACGTAAGTGTGGACGGAGGCAGTGGAGGAGCCCAGGATGTCCGGGGTCATGAGTGGGTTGGAGGACAGCTGGCTGTCGTCCTGAATCCAGGCGTTGTAACGAAGGCCACACATCTTAATCCTCTTGTTTGGGTCCACCGTCAGCAGCTCTGCAGGAACAAGGCACAGATAATTACCCTGAGCGCTCAAAATACTCCAAGAGAAAAGCTAAGACATGAAGAGGAAGTGATTTACTCCTCGGGAAACTCAGTCGCTGTGAGCTGCTTTGTGGGTTAAAAGTTCAATCTGTGATCCAAATGTGAACAGAAGGGTGCTGCAGACAAAATTCATGGAGATGTTGTCACTAAAAAACAGGAACCACTTTGTTTATTTTCTTGGCTTAAAGCTTTAGTAATATCAGTTCACATTATCGGCGAAAAAGGAAACAGTGTCTCTTATAGTTTAAAAAACTCCCTTGAAATTATTATTTTTCAAAACAAGCTTAATTGCATTTTGGAACTACACCAGGAGCCATGAAACAGAAACAATGGTTTTCTGATTAGCCATTACACTATTCAACATTTTAAAAAAAAGTCTGAAAACTTAAACTCTACTTAAAACTACAGTCCAATGGTGTCAAATAGCTTTATTGTTCATCTCAGAAAACAAAACTAAGGGAAGGGATTTAACACAAACAAACAAACACCAGCTCTATTTTCACCTTGTATAAGGTCCTTGGCCTGCTGGGAAACATTTCTCCAGGCCTCGCTTTCAAAAGAGAAGTCCCCGTGTTTGATTTTCTTCATAATTTCCTCAGCGCTGGTGTGAGTCAGGCTCTTCTCCTGGCACTGAAAAGGCACCTGGCCAGACAGCATCGTGTACTGCAAACAGAGAAAAAAAGAAACAAAGACGCTGTCAAAAACACCCCGAATTAAGCTTATACATCTTCTCTGTCAAATCTAACATAAACATTTCATACAGTCACTTTGGCTAAGGACACACGTCATGCTTCATTGCTGATCATTTTCTCTGCTGTGTGAGAGAGTAGTAGTAGCCAGACATCGATGTTAAAGCTGTGAATAAAAACATGCTTTAAAGGGGGGCATCTTGACCGATCACGACTGTCCACAGTTTCGATTGTTATTCAGCATGTTGTTGAATGTGGTTGAACCAGCACTAAACTGGAGAGGGGGCTTTGTTCAGCTGACTGAACAGGATATGTTCACCTTGGCCTGCTTACATCTGCCCTCACATCTCTCATTAGATGACAGTGTTTGGGAACAGAGCTTTTGGCAGCGGAGGATCTGCCGTGCCCTGGTCTCCTCCTCTCTCTCTCTGTGTGTTGGCTCACTTCGCTTCCAGGGCATTGTGCACACAGCTTGTCAGCAGCCATTGCATCAACGTTTTATGAGGCACACTACCCCCATACCGCCCCCTCCCCCAGGGGGCGATGCTTCGAAACAGCATTTGAACAGAGAGCCCAGAATCTGTACGGATGACTGGCCAAGTACAGAAATCTCTCTCTCCCCACTCTCTCAGCCCCCGTGTGTCTGCTCATCCTCCCTAACTCCTTTTTTATTTTCCTCCTCTACGCAGAAAAAGGTTAAATTAAGATGACATTTCCGCTACCAGGAAAACAACATCTCACATGAGCACAGCCTTAACCTGCTCTGAAAGGAGGGCTGGTAGCTCTTCACTCCACAGTGAGCGTTAAACCGTGTCAGCTCACCACAGGATGCTGAGGGTTGTAGAGAGAGGGAGATGAATAACATGCAAAAACAGATTAGACTAAACATGCACACACATGCATACATGCATGAGCACATTCACACACAAAAATATAAACACACGCACACACATCGTGACAGCTTGAATAACTAAATCAGTAGTAATAACAGCTGATTGACAAAACAGGATGGCCTGCAGCAAATGTGTAAACCTTGGACTGGTTTTCAAGAAATATGTTTTCTTATCTTAAAATAAAAACAGCATTGAAAACCAGAAAGGTCTCTTTCTGTTCTTGTGTTTAATGTACAAAGTCTACAATTACTGTTTAAATAACAGTCAATTAAATAACTTGTAATGTGCAGAGGTAGAAATATTCTTTCCCTTTACAATCATGTTAAAAATGAAAGATTCTCCATCAGTCCAGCAGACCACCTGTAATTTGTTTTGACCTGAGCATGTCTCTGTCATTCCCACACCTACTCACCAGAATGACCCCCAGGCTCCACAGGTCACAGGACTCATCGTAGCCGTCATATTTGAGTATCTCTGGCGCTGCGTACTGCAGTGTGAAGCAGGGAGTCTTCAGGAGCTGATTGTCTGGCGGTTTGAGGCGAGCGAAGCCAAAGTCTATGATTTTTATCTCGGAGTTCTCACTCTCGTCTGTGAAGAGCAGGTTCTATGAAGCAATTCAAGACACGGAGAGTAATCATTTCTTTCTGCTGTGCAAAACTGGTCCACTCAAGAGCAGACTAAATTGGACATCAATGCTTGTAGGACCGGGTTCTTTTGACCCACGTTAGGGTCAAAACAATTTTACTCTTCTTTTGTCCAAGATTGCACAGTCAGAATGACAACAGCACAGCACAAACAAAGTTCAGAAAAACACAGTAATTCTGTTTTCAAAGCTTATGATCCAGAGTGTCTGTACTTATAACAAAGTCACAAACTGAGCTCAGAGAGTTTCAAACGGTAGACCTGCTGGAAAAAAATGGTTGTACAATACCTCCGGTTTCAGGTCCCTGTGCACCACTCCTACGTCGTGCATGTGACTGACGGCAGACACCAGCTTTCGCATGATGCGGCTGGCCTCTGTCTCGCTGAAATGTTGCTTCCTACGGATCCTCTCCAGCAGCTCCCCTCCACCCAGCAGCTCCAGGACCAGGTACGTGTGAAGCTACAGAAAACACAAAACACACAGAATATAAAATGCATATTATAATTATTATTAATATATGAACCTATTTTTAATTTGTTTGTTTAACTGTCTTTATGTAACCCACTTGTTAAAAGGAGGACCTTTTAACAAGTGGGTTTTAATTTTCCATCTTTTTTTGTGGATTTTGCTTTTGTCTCAGAAAAGTTAATATTAAAAAGCTGGTTTTACTTTCTCTCATTATTTTTGTAACTCCTCATGTTGACATTTTCCACAGTGAGTGGTACAATTGACTGTTAAAAAGAATCAAGGGCTTTTGCAAGTCATTCACTTCAGCTGATATCTACCTCGCGGGCAGGAGTTTAAAGCGAATCAAAAAAACTATAAAGAAATAATGAAACTTGCTTATGGTTTTGTTTGCTTTTGTAGGTCATAACAAGACATCAGGGTTAGTTTCAGTCTGTTTCATAACCAGTTAAACATTCCCCAAGAGAGCTTTAAATAAACATATGACATTTCATGATATGCGTAAAGATCTTAGACTATAAATATTGGTACGGATATGAGATCTTTCATGACAAACAATACGACAAATGTGTAAAAGTTATTTGTAAATTTAAATCTATCTGGCTGTCACAACCTTAAGTGCAAGTTTAAAAAGTTCAGAATTAAAGTGCAAAGTGGTCAACTTAAGTTTTTTGGTTGCATGATAAATTTAGCGAAAAAACAGCCCATTCTTTATCCCATACGCAATAAGCTCAAAACATAAGAGGCGTGGAGTAAAAGTAAAAGGGGCCAAACAAAGTGGGAAGGGAATAATGTGTCTGGGCAGCAGGGTAGAGTTTCTCATTAGTGCTGGCTCTGCTGAACAAAGGCGGGACCAGGCTGAGGCGAGGTGAGGCAGCTCGGCTTTGATCTGGGTCATGGGCCTCTGAGGTACACTAATAACCCCACTGAGCTCATCAGGACTAAAGTGGTGCTCCTGGGCTTGAAGGAGCAGGGCTAATGAGCCTGTATACAGTCAGCCACACAGACACACCTTCAGAATAACTAAGGTAAGCCTCAGTTGGAACGTATGCACACTTAGTTTGGCTTGAGTGTGCGTCTCGATTAGCAACACAAGTAAAACTAGGTTGTTACTATTCAGTGGTACAAAATGGATGTTTGTGCAGCTGCAGTTTAAAAACATGTTTGCTGTGAAATATATCGAGCATGAGTAGAGATGTTTATGGGACAATACAGAGGAGATAGAAAGAGACCTCGAGGGCTTATAGCATCCCCATTAATCTGCCTTGTTCCAGTTCCAGGACTTAATAAGGCTGCTGTCCTCACAGGCTCCACAGAGAGTCATGCAGACCAGAATTTATGTTGGCAAATGTAACCGCAGCAGTCAGCACCTCACCTGGTCGTGGTAAATTTCATGTAGCTTGACGATGTTAGGGTGGCCATCGCAGAGTTTCAGGGCTGCTATTTCCCGCTGAGTCTGGGCCTCCATTCTGCAGCAAACACAAGCAGGAAGCCAGATAACTGACACAAAATACAACATAAATACACACATACGCAACAGAGTGAGACTCTGACATTTCAGAGGGTATATTTTGTGTTCTTAAACAGGTTTTCAATAAGTCTAGACTTGGCAATTCAATTGAAATATGCAGATGAGGCTTGGCTTTACATTATAGCAAACAAATAGTCACTACAATGTTGCAGAATATCCACAGATACTCCATCTATTAAGACATAAATTTGATTTAAATTCAATTTTTAAACATTTTTAGGAAATCATTTGCGGAGATTGCGTAGTGATCACATTTCCTTCTGCTTTCCACAGATCAATAGGGTATGCCACAAGGCTCAGTTCTCATATACTCATATTTTGATTTGCAAAGGCAGGTTTACCCATTTTTAAGGTCAGTTCTGCTCTGCAGCCCCATAGATTTTTTGCCCTGACATGGATAAGTTCCAACAAATGCACAGTCAGACAAATGTCATCAAAGTGTGATTTGGTCTCCAACTTGTCCCTCTGGACTCCAGGATCATCATGTGACTTTGCCAGGAGGACTACCTAAATTAGGCTGACTTTCAGTGGAGCATTAACATGTAGTCCAAAACTGTCAGTAGATGTGAGAGTAGAGTTGAGGATTGCAGTAACTGCGTAACTTATTTGTTGCAGTTTACAGGAAGAAACAACAGGGTTTATGAGCAGAGATGAATTTCCATGAATTAAACTAACATCTGGCAACCTTTTACGGAAGAATTTGGCAAGTAAAATTTGAAAATGCATGTAATTAATTACAATTATGCCATAATCTTTTAAACATGCCTTTCTAAACTCAATTTTTTTTTGGGACTGGCCTAATTTCTGCCTGAGAGGAGGAGGGTGGAAGACTGATTCATCCAGTCACATTATAAACCACACACAGGGGTTGATAAACACATCTGGGCGAGCATGCTTTGAGGTCGTACCTCTTACTGATTATCTTGACTGCATACTTCTGTCCTGTCTTCTTGTGTGTGCAGCGCCTGCAGATAGAGAAGCTTCCCTCTCCCAGAACGCTGTCCCTCAGGTCCATCTCATAACCCATATAGAAGGGAGAGTCCTGCAGGGAGGGAACAGTGGAAAAAAATTAAAACAATTAAAAATATAGTTTGAACTCAGATGCAACACCTGCTACGTACATATTGTTTTTAAAGATTTATTTTTGGGCTTTTTTGTGCCTTTAATGGAGAGATAGGACAGTGGATAGAGCTGGAAATCAGGGAGAGAGAGTAGGGAATGACATGCGGGAGAGGAGCCACAGGCTGGATTCGAACCTGGCTTGGAGAACTATACATGTACATGGGGCGCACGCACTAACCACTGCGCCACCAGCAACCCAGCTATATAAATATTGTGAAGTCAATTTCAGAATGACCCCAATGTTGTTAACTCTCCAATGAAATTATAATTGCATGGATTCTGTCAAATAACTTTTATATCAAAAATATGCTGAGTTTTTTTTAGTGATGCATTTTTTTATACTTAGTAAAGATTTTGTCTACTCCTCTGTTCCTGCATATCTAATAAATCAGCACTTTGTTAAATATAATCTCAGTTCTATGCCCATCTATGGAGAAAAGGTGAACGACTGCTATTGGAAGACATTACACAGATCATGCCTGTACATCAATCAATTTGTGCCTCCTCATAAATGTTATCTCGAGACACTTTACCAAAAGAGCAGGTCCAGACCGTACTCTCTGCTAAATGTTGCCAAGTGCTGTCTTCAGGGTGGATTCATGTGGAATCTTTGTAAGTAATATAACAAAGTAACAATGACAAGGAAAGAACTGCCTTTAACAGGCAGAAACATCGAGCAGAACCAGACTAATGTTGAAAAGAAATTTGCCGTAACTGTGTCGGAGGCTTGGAAAGCGGGATAGAAGGAGATGCCGAAAGAAAGAGATGGATAGAGACAAACTGTGCCACAACAACAACAATAAATCCAATAGATTTATAGCTACAATTCCAGTAATAGTGCTAAAAGTATGTGTAGATTTGGCAGTAACAACACAGTATGATAACAGACCAATTCTAACATTAAAATAAGCAACTATAATGGCAAAATCAAGCAGCTCTAACATTAATGTCATGATAATACTTCAATGTTTTGTGTTATTTGCTACATAAAAGATCTAATTCATGCAGGTGAGGAGCAAGAATCTAGTATTTTTTTCTCAAATGACAGTCTGGTCCAGAGCCCATAAATGCAGCATTTCTATTACAACAACACTTTTAACACCTCGATCAATATTTACAACGGCCCGAAACTCTCATCCCTCTTGGTCGTTCCACGTCCGCCTTTTCCTAAAATCTGTTGCCTGTTGTGTTTTTGTTTCTTTCTGCAACAAAATGACGAATCTTCACTCACAGACTTCTATTTGTAATCATGAAGAAATGTCAGCACATATACAAGCTTTATTTACTTGTATTGTTTACCAACGTTGTTTGTTTTGACTTTTTATCTCGATTGCTTTTAAATCCTCTTATTCAGTCAGTTTATATTTGATCATTTCTCTGTTGTATTCTTTTTATAGGAGACAATTTGATCATTGCATGTTGCTTAAATTGCTCTATATATAAAATATATGACTAAGTTGACATTTTAATAAATCCTACTCTATGCGATTATAGAATTCAAGCTTTTTTGTGATCATGAAAATGTTTTAGTTTAATAATGCGTTCCCTCATCATATCATCCCAGGAAATGTGTTTTGTTATGCAGTATTGTCAAATTCATTTGTATTCAAGAAGTGAAACATGGAAGTGACAGGAATACAGAGAAACCAAGATTGAAAATTTGAAATATGAGAGATCTGACATAAAATATGATAGATCACTACAAGACCAAACTGACTATAATCTAGTTCCTGTTTGTTTGTGGCAGGAAACAGCACAGAGAGAAGTGAGCTGAGGCTTTAATGGGACTCACTGTTCACTGAAGTTCACTGTTGCTTCACTACTTGGTTAAAACTTCCCCTTTCTAAAGTGTGTAAACACTTAACCGAATGCTAACTAATGCTTACAAGCCATAATGCTGATGTTCCTTTTTTTTTTTCTTGATTTTTTTTTTTAGTTATTGTTTTGTCTTTATTAGACAGGAAGCAATGGCAGAAGGGATGACATGCAGCAAAGGGCTGAGGTCAGATTCAAACCCACAGCCGCTGTGACGAGGACCATAGCCTCTGTACAGGGGTTAGCGACACAACCACTAGGCTATTGGTGCTCCCCATGATCTGTTTAAAATTGCAAATAGAGTTTTTGAACTGAACCAAAAAGCTTTAAAAGTTTAACAGTTAATCAATATAAAAAATTCAATCCACTTATTATCTATCTTATAAAATAATTATTTGATATTAATTAAATTAACTTTTTTTTTAAATCTCCAGCATGTATCTTAACTCAATAAACACAAAAAAGGCAAATCACAGCTACTCCTTAAAACTTTATATCGCACGGATACACAACTGCATTCATGCACTAACAGTGCAACATAAATAAATAGGTTTCTTGCTGGAGACCAAATGTGAACCAAGTAGAACAAGTACAGTAGGGAAAAAAAGAGGAATAGAGAGGAGTGAAAAAGTCTCATCCGTTTGTGACACCAGCCATTAGCTTAAGTGTGTTTGTGCAGGGGAGTCCAAGTCCATTCATCTTACCTTCATCATGGCGCTGCGAGCCACAGCAGCAGAGCCCGGCCTCTCCGAGCCCCCACACAGCTGGACAGGGTCGTCCATCACCACATTCCTCTTAAACAGGATGGAGGGGGCCATGAAAGAGTATCCCTGCACACAGAAATACATGAACTCTAGGTGTTTACATTTACTAAGGCGGGGTTTTACTAGATGTGCAGAGGGAAGGAAACATCCAGCCTCAGAAAAGAGCAGCATAATCAGTTTAGTTTATTAATCACCAGGTGGACTCAGGAAAAACTGATGATTGTTTGGATTATTTATAGAGTAAATTTAAGACATCTTCTGTATTTTATGCACTTCCATGACAGCAAAACTTTAAATTGTTGTGCATTTTTAAACATTTCCTTGTCAAAGCAGGCTGTCAGCTCAACAATAAAGCCTATTCTGTAATTTTGTGAGTGACAGCGGCTGTCCAGCTGTTACCATTGTTAGACCTGTCATTGTGGAGCCATGGCTGCCTAATTCCAGCTGTGGGGAGCCCAAAGCTTTGAGCTGGCATTAATCTTTCTTTTCCTTTTCCACAGACACATACACAGCTGTGTGATATGTGGTGACAGCCATGGATGGACGGAAGGATGGGTGCTGAATGAATGAGATGCCCCAAATTGCCGGGCTTGAATATTTGATTGCTCTGCTGTGAAATTACATCTTGGCGCTCTTAATGCAATTTTAATTTTGTTTTGTGAGGCACTGTGGGGGAGCAAGTGCGCGGTTTAAAATTGGGATTGCTGTCGTTATCTCAGAGATTGCTAGGCTTGCAAATTATAAAGACCACAAAATTTCAGACTGTGTGAATGGCAGCTGAGAGCGAAAAAAGCCAAGATGAAGTTGGCAATCAAAGACTGAAGGCGTAACCGAGACAGACGTGGTGAAGCTCTCAAAGTGTAACCTTTTATTCCATGAGAGAAGCCCGTTAATGGATCTATTGATCTGCCTCACTCAAGGATCCAGAAGGCAATCAGAGTTGAAATTTCATGCGATACATCAGACAGCCATCAGCTGGCACCGAGCTGTGGGCCATATTACGGTTCAAAGCTACATCAAAAATAGTCATTCACATCTGTTACTTCAATGAGAGCTGCATATGGCAGCAATTACTTCAATAAAAGAGCCTTTAGTTGATCTGAATACCAGTGCACACAGACAGACTCATGTTGACTTACAGCAACCTTTTGAGGACATTCACAACTTCACTTGATTACTTCAATTGCTGTGGAGCATGTCAAATATAGTCACAGACAAAGAGTGGGTAATGTATAATGTGATTTTTTCATGCGTGTCAACATTTCACACTGCCTGCAACCAAAGACAGGACAAACATCAGATCAAAGCAGATCCACATATCAAATGCTGCCCTGTGCAATAACCTGTGAGGAAAACAAACTATGTCTGCACCCTAATAGTTGATGATTCAAACCGAATACTGTGAAGAGTCCCAGTCCAAGTTCTGTCAGTCAAATCTGTATACTTTTGTTATTTTTAGCTTCACCATTCTACACAAAACAATGCAACAACAACAGCATGACAGACTGTAAGCTTTATAAAGGTAGCCCCAAAATGACACTCAAATGTCAGGAAGTTTAAAATAAAAAACAGGGTTTTTCCCATAACCTGGGGGCTTTGGGGGCCGCGAGTCAAAATGCAGCTACGTTGGCTCACTAGTTGACGAAAACTGTTTGTCCTGTAAAATGTAATAGTAAAAAAAAAAAAAAAAAAAAGACTTAAAACAATAAGAATGTCTTTGATTTACAGCTGGAGCTAAAACCTTAATAACGCTAAACTAAAATACGAAAGAATTACTCGTTAAAGCCTCATATTGAACGAATCATCGGGTACAGCCGTAACACAAAGATTTCATGTCTGTGGACAACAAACCATGAGTTCAAAAGCAAAGAAATCGTTCTGGCTGTCTAACATCCCCTAACATGCTCTTACCTGGAAGATGCGGTCACAGTTCTGAGGCAGAGCTGCAGGAGAGTAAGTGGGATCCATCTCTGTGAACTCATCTGCAAAGTTGCTGACGTCCAACTCATCCCGAATCACCGGTTTGAACGGAGCAGGAACCTTCTTAGCTGCCAAGTCCTCCCAGTTAATTTTCTGAAATAAAAAAAAAAAGGGAAAAACATTGTGGCTGGTCCCCAGAAGTGACAAATACACACACATCTTTTACTCTAATAGAAGTAGAGAAACATGTTTAAAAAAAGACAGAAGTAGAAGTAGTGATAGAACTTCTGTAACAAAGTAAAAACTGAATAAGTATAGGCCCTGAAATGTTCAAACAGAACCAAAGTATAAAGCAGCTGGACATTTTAACTATCTGTTTCTGTGCAAACCTAATGAAACTTGTGAAATATTTGGGGGAATTTTTTTACAAAAAAACATTCTCTAGAAATAAGTCTTTGCTCCACAGACAAATCCATTTTGTCCATTTGTTTAGGTTCAAATTAGTTTTGATGTTGTAAAGGTGGTACAAAATAATTCAAGTTTAAAATAATCCATAAACCCCAAATTAAAGCTAAAGTTCAGAGCTTGTTTTAAAAATGTAAGAGGTGGGCAGTACATATATTTATGTTAAAATTTAGGGGGTAAAATAAAAATAAAATAAAAACATTAGCAGAACACTCAAAACAGTAAAGATTTAATTGTACTCCATTATTTCCCCCTTTGTTTAAGCTTTTCACAAACACTCAGTTTCACTAAATGCTCTAAACTCAGAGCAGCCCCATTAAGTGTAGCAACAGCCCATCCTGCCGTTAAGTTTTTCTAAATATTGAGAACAAGTCGAGACAGGCAATGAGATCCACCTGGTAAAACGGGTGTTTTTTCACATTCTCCGCTCCATTAGAACCTGAGCCCAGTCTCTTCTTTGGATCTTTGATGAGGAGTCTCTGGATGAGGTCTTTGGCCAGAGGTCCCATGTCTTTGGGGAAAGGAGGATCCTTCTTTGAAATCCTCCTGCGATGAGTGAGACAGATATGGTCAGTGATTTAAACCTGAAGGAGAGCTGAAAACTCTGGCTGCTCATCAGGGTGAATCCATACTTGGCGATGTCTGTGTGCGAGTTCTCATCTCCATCAACGGTGAAGGGTGATCCGCCAGTCAGAAGCTCGTACATCAACACGCCCAGGCTCCACCAGTCAACTGCCTGGATTTATAAAAGCACCCACCCATGACTTTAGCTTAACAGACTAACAGACAGATCTGACTGAAGAGCACATTCTCATTTAAGAGTACAGAGAGGAGAGCCTGAGCTGCTCCATTTAATCTAACAGACAAGAGCAAGAAAACATAAAACAACATTTACCTTATCATGTCCGGACTCTCCTCCTTCCACAATTTCTGGAGCCATGTACTCGATAGTGCCACAAACAGAAAACGCTCTTTCCACCTGTAATAAACATACATGTAAATATATAGAATATATCACAAAATACAGATGATCTCTGGCAGTGTTTGGCACTTTATAACTCAGAGAAGACCTTAGAAGACTAAAGACCCTGAACATTTTGGTTTCAATAAAAAGTTCTTCAAGATAACTCTTAATGTTTTCTTCAGTTGACTAATTTTCCAGTCATGTTATGGAAAAATGTTCTTCTATGAACTGGTCCCCCAGGCTTTTAGTTGTTTTGTGCACAGCATTTTAGCAACTTGGACACAAAACAAACAAAGCCAGCAGAGGAAGGGAAAAAACATCAAGGAAACAAAAAACTTTTGCGTGCCTTTGAGTCAACTCAAGAGAGTATTTTAAATCTCTAAAAAGACACTTTTTTTCCTCAAAAAGAGTCTTTGCAAAAAAAAAAGTCATTTTCAAAACTTCTGAAATCTCAGCTTCAATGCTTCTTTGGTCTTTTAGTTTGATCGAGGCTGTCCAATTCAAATAAGCAGGGAGCGATCTTGGGACAATTTCTCATTCGTAAGATAAGCCAAATTGCTCAAATTCAGGAAATGTTTTGATCAAGTAACCTCATTGAAACTGAAAATAAAAGCCAATCGAGAAATAGCTTGACCTGGATTTTTGGGGAAAAAAGGAAAACCCCCTTTTTGCCTCGTTCTAAACATACAATGACCCATATTTTTTGAGACAAAGTTTACCTCATCAAATTCTTTACTCAGGCCGAAGTCTGTGAGAACTATATGACCACTTGAATCCAGTAGAATATTCTCAAGTTTTAGGTCCCGATAGACTATCCCAAGCTGAAACAACAACAGAGGGGCAAGTGTTAGATAAAGGCATGCTAACAGCAATGCATAGCTTCTGAATAAGAGTCAGTGATTTTGTTGAGTCTCCGGATTACCTGGTGTAGATGCTCTAGTGCTGACACAATCTCTCCACTGTACAAAGCTACTTCTTGCTCTTTAAATCGCACCCTTTGCACCAAATGTGTAAAGAGTTCCCCACCGTTTACATAATCTGTAATGGGAAAGACCATGCATGTCAAGTTTCAGCCTGAATCATGTATATTGTTTTGGTATGTTTTTGCAGGGAAGGGCAGACAATTTCTGTTTACACTCATTACCTCAGCTTGTGAATTAACAATCATTCACCTTTCGTCTTGCTTGAATAAACATAGCACAAAAGAGGCAATCTGTAGCGCCTGAATGTCAGTTTCCAATAAATTATCCTCACCCAGAATGAGGTGCAGCTTGGTATCCGTCTGGAAGGCGTAGTGAAGTGTGACGAGGAACGGAGACTGGCGGATGTGCTCCAACACTTGCCGCTCTGTCCTTGTGTGTTCGGCAGTCTTTGCCTTTTGTACAATTGTGGCCTTTTTCAAAACCTTCATGGCATACAGCTTCCCTGCATCATGACCACTCACTTTCCTCACCAGGAACACTTTGCCGTACGCTGGTGGTTAAGATAAACAGAGACACAGGGCAAAGTTCAGTGCAGAGCAGCAGAAATGACTGGCATGCTTATCATTCCAACAGCACACAATGTCGAATGCTAAACTAGCCCGCAAGAGTAGAAAAAAGAAAAAAATATTGTGTTCAATACAGAGAGACTTTATACTCACCTCCTGTGCCTAGAACCTTTAATAGCTCAAAGTTTTCAATGCCCACTCTCTCTACATGGCCCGTCAGGTTGGCTGAAGTCAGAGCAGAAATCAAATATTACAAGCAAATCACATTTAATACCCACTCCATGACAAAAAATGTGGCTGAAATGCTTCAATACTTAAAAAAAAACTAATTTGATGTTTCCGTTTGTTTCTGGTAATCAGAAAAACACATGTAGTCCCTTAAAGATGTGAAAGCATGCTTCACAATATCAAAGAGTAGCTTGACCTGAAAAAAGAAAACAAAAAAATAATAATATTTTCCACATGAGGTATTTTCCAGTGGGGCTTATCTGGAACATTGGGGGATTTATATTTATATTCACTGCACTGACAGCCTAACTGCTTGTGACGGCTGTTTGCAGTTGTATTATAAATCTCCCGCCTCGCTTAGTTGGTAACAAATGAGCACCCACTTAAAAGTAATGTGACCTCTAAGCCATTTATTAATCATAAATAAATACGGTGTACTAAAACCTAGACAGATGGATATGGAGACTCACAAGTTGTGGACGCAGACTGTTTTACAAAATGTAAGTATCTGGTTAATTTATAATTGTCAGTTATTTTCTCAAGTATGACTTTGTCTGCTTCTACATCAAAAAGGTAAAGTCTGCATTAGTCTCAAAAAACAAGAAAGACATTCTCATCCTCCATTCAACATTGTTGATAAAGTCGTGTTGTAAATACATTTTAAAGGAATCTGCTGTTTTCAACTTTCGCTGTCAAAATCTGTGGGCCTTGCAAGCCCACCAGAAGGAACCTTACCTTGGATCACCTTACAGTGCTCTCCATGCTTTTTGTTTTGTAACTGGTGCCCACATTATTAATTATGTATGCTTGCATTTCATTTTGGTTCAAAGAGACTCTCAGCACTGATGCTTTGAAGCTAATCGAGTCAAAAACGGCGGAGAAGAGGGCATTAAACTAGAACATCAACAATTCAAAGCATTGGTCCAGTTAGGACAGTCTGGGTGGTGACCAACTGAGGCCAACATCAGCAGACTGGTAGCAATGGACATCTAACAATAGTGAATTTAGTTGTAAAACAGTGCACTGCCAATAATACTCAAGCATAATCAGTAAGCTTCCTTCATGTCAACAAAAGGCTTAATAAAACAACTCTCCCTCCTTTACTCTCTCATATATGCAACGGTATAAGATAAGACCTTTCGTGAAGCTGCCAGGCAAACTTGATGCGTTGACAAGAAAAAGGTCATTATTTCCCATCAAAGACCTTCACTGAATTCTGTGCACACTGTCAGTGACTACACATGTCTTTCCTAATCACAGGACTCAAGCTGACTGAGCACGGCTCGCTCTGAGACATGCATGTCCATTGTAGTGAACGCATTCCTTCTGTCTCGCACTCCAAAAATAGGCTACTGAGCAATTAAAACGGCTGATTTAATCCTTTCCGCTGCTTCTCCTGTTACACACGAGAAGAAATGTTGCAAAAATTAGGCACTTGCATTGCTTACTGCATTACCGCAAAACAACAACAACGCTGCTGTCCTTTATATTTGAGGTCAAAAGGTTCCAGTTGCACAACACACTTGTAAAGCTCACCCTGCCAGGGTCAAGTTTGATTTAAGTGTTTATTAATAGACTGGGAGAGGTGTCCAACCAGATGATGTCCTACAGCAAAATGAAAGGGACTTTGTCGTTTTCATTCCTTTTTAAACATTTTTATTGTTTTTTGTAAATCACCAATCCAACTGGGACTGATGATTCACTCTATAAACTATATTTCCTTAAAAATATACCATAAAAACATTCTTGATGTTTCAGGCTGTCTGGGGTGGAATTAAAATAATGAGTACTTTAAATTAACATTAAATTGTTTTGGACAGTTCTGAAAGACGGAAAGACGTTTGACTGCAATGTGTCTCGAAAAAAAATAATCAGTGTTTTGTTTTTATAATGAATGCGTTATATTTAAAGCATTTCAAATAAATAAATTTGTGGATAGTCTTTGGTTGACTGTGGATCTGACAAAATCTGAGCGGTCACTTTTGGGCTTTGGGAAATTGTTTTGAGCAATTTTCAAAACTTTCAGGCATTTTACAGACTTAAGGTTATAGTAATAATAATAATATCTTGCAGCCCTAGTTTAGTGCTACAGCAGGGGTCCAAAGAAGTGTAACTAAAACACGAGTGCATACTGACAACTAGACTGACTGCATATTTAGGGCAGGGCAGAAAAAAAAAAAAAGGGGGGGGGGGTGCAGCATAGTCATGTTGCAGCCTGAACAGCAGCAATGTGTCATTATAATCCAGTTGCAGCTGCAGGCAGAGTGTAAGTTCATTCAGCAGCCCAATGCACCGAATCAGTTCAAAACAAACCCTGTCAACATGTACTCAATTTCCTGTTGATCTTTTATTAACTCGTATTTTTAAGTCAGCGTACACACACACACACACACACACACACACACACACACACACACACACACACACACACACACACACACACACACACACACACACACACACACACACACACACACACACACACACACACACACACACACACACACACACACACAGGTGATGTGGACGCTACATTAACGTTACACACCTGTTTAGTGACGCTAACGGGCTGCAGCCGTCTCGTAGCTTCACCTCTAACATGTGTTGTTGTCAGTGACAGGAAATAATAACTCACTGAACAATTAGCGGTGAGTAAAGAGGTTAATAACTTGCAGGAAAAAACATCTGTGGGTCGTCCCAGTTAGCCCCTGTTACACGTCAACAACTAGCTGAAGCTAATATTATTAAGCAGCAGTGTGGCTAACCTGAGTGAAACGCTTAGGTAACGTTAGTTTTTTGCGTGAGTTAGCAGGAAGCCTTCACAGGTAAAGCTAACGTTAGCCTACCTGGACTTTTAGTGACGTTAACGCTCATTAACAACACCCACTGACAGTGACAGGCGCCTCTTAAGCTTAGCCAGCTAACACATCACCAGGGCATACATGTGTACCCCACGATTAATGGGTCATTAAAAACAGCATTATTATAAACTTATAACACAGCTAACTTACCATTTCTCAGCTCATGTTTCACAGTAAAGAGGTCACCTTCTCTGGAAGATCCCTCCATCGGGGAAGGCATCGTTATTATGTTCACAGAGGGCTTTTTCAGACACGGTTACGATCGCCTCGCATTGCTAGTTTACACTATTAACATTTAATTATCACGCGAGATAATTTAACGTCTGTTAGTCCGGAAGCCAAATAACACAGATGTGTGGATTACAAATATTGCTACTAAACGTAGCAAAGCAAAGCAAAAAGCCCAGAGGAAACACTTGCTTCTTCCAGAGAACACCGCCACTACCACTACCTTCGCAACCGAGACAAGTCCCTCGTCTCTCATTGGTGTTGCTATGTGGAAAATCTGACGTCTGATTGGTTCTTTTTCTTTTTTTATAATGACGATGTTTAAGATCCCGCCTTCTTCGAAATTCTGCTGCTGCCTTCAAAATGTTCCTGGTGGTATGCGCGGGGAGTCAATAGTCGGAAGTGTTTTAAGATTTATTTATGTGAAAAGGATAAAAGAAAAGGATACGTTCACATTGAGAGGGAGAAATGTTAATTCTAATTGTGGCTGCTGGGTTTTTATTTGTTGCAGGAAATTGACACTGATAAAACTATAGTTGCCTATCATTAAGTAGTAGCCTAGTTAGAGTAGACAGGCTTTGTTTGTGTAGCCTACTTCAATTTCTCATTAATTCTAATAATCACCATTAAAATTGTCAACCCTTCTTTCCACCATAAGTATTAAGTATATATAGCGACTAGTTTTGGGACATTAAAAAGAGTAAATTAAAGGCCAGGAAATAAAGTATGGTTGGTTCTTCGATTTTTTTTGTCTCTAACTCTGACAAGTTAAGATAAGATAAGATAATCCTTTATTTATCCCACAATGGGGACATTTACATTGTTACAGCAGCAAAGAGCAAAGATTGCAGACAAAAAGTGAACACAGTAGAATTAAAATAAAAAAATAAAAAATTAAGAATGTGCACAAACAGGATCCTATTAAGTTAATGTGAATCATGACATTAAGATCATGACTAATAGCCTACAATAAAACTTGAGTTTGGTATTTGTTTTTTTTCAGTTTTCATTTCAGCCAATAGATAGAGATGGGTTCATTTAACACTTGAAGTTTTTTTCCTGTTTTAATAATAATACTAATACTAATATATAATAATAATATTATAATAATAATTCCCACGAGGGGAAATTCAGTTTTACACTCTGTCTAATGAAACACAAACATAAGAATACACACACATGCACAAACAGGATCCTATGGACATGCACTAATGGAGAGGTCTCAGAGTGAGGGGGGCTGCCCACAGCGAGCGCTCCTGAGCAGTTTTGGGGTTTGGTGCCTTGCTCAAGGGCACCTCGGCAATGCTCAGGAAGTGGACCAGCACCTCTCCAGCTACCAGACCAATTTCCAGACTTAGTCCGTGCCGGGACTTGGACCGGCGACCCTCTGATAACCAACCCAAGTCCCTACAGACTGAGCTACTGCTGCATAAAGTGCAGATGGTGATAACTGGCTACATCAATAAAGGGAGAATTATCCTTCGATCTACAATAGGCCCTCTCCACCCTAACGCCTAGAGAAAACTTCAGGGAGGATCAATTACTAACAATGCACTGTGTGAAGTGCAGGAGTCCTTTTCCAAGGGGAGGTAAACATGTAGTTCACCAAAATGTACAGGGGGTGTCACTTTTGAGCTGTGATCAATTTATAATATAGAAAGGAATTTTCATCACTTTTGATGAAATTTTGAAACAGGCTGATGAATTTGTGATATAATGACCTTCAAATATATAGCTTGACTTTGTATTTAAAGAAAATTCCCTCAAATCCAAACAGTGCTGTTACAAAGTTGTGCAGAATCTATCTTTTATGTGAAAAACAGCTTGCATTTGGGAATTACGAAGAGCTTGTTAATAATAAATAATATTATTTAATTATAAAAAATACTCATAATAAGTAGCCTGTTTGTTCTTGTTGATTTTCTTGAACTCCCTTGTTCTTAAAGTTGAATAGTCAGAAACAAAATGCAAGGTAAATATTCATTAACAGATATATAACACATGCAGAAGTAAACCCAGGAACATACATAATGTTAATCACTAAAAATACATTTTGCTGATACATTACATAAGTCCTCATACAATGTGTTTGTGTTTAGATGGTAATAATGTCAAACCTATTAATCAAAAAAGGATTTTAACATATGAGAACAATTTTTCAAATTTACATTTGTTTCTAAAGTCTTCAATCAATCAATCTATTAAACTTTATTTGAACTTTTCATACAATAACAATGAAGCACAAAGTGTTTTACATAAAAACAAATCAATAACTAACAATATGACTACTAAAAACTTGAAAAATACAAACAGGTAGGCCTACTCACGGACTGAGGACACTATCATGAACTCATTATAAGGAAACAAATGAGGTAAAGTGACATTTCGAGATGGAAAAAAAGACTATTATAAGTTCGACGAAATAAATAAGATACTAACACACTAAAAGTCAATAAAAAATAAAGACATCAAAATAAAGCATTGAAGCCAAACCACACAATATAATAGAGTAAATTAAACAAAGTCAGGTAAAGCCTTTATAATTATGGTCGTCAGTACCTAAGAGCAAAATCACACATGACAAAGTAAAACAAAGAAACAATGCATTTTTTTCCCCCTAAAGGCTATTTACTCTTAACAGCACAAACAACAAACAACAAACAGCACAGTCACAGTTCAAGCTGTGATTTTCATTCACAGTTTGTTAAACGTCTGTCTGCCTCCGTCTTGTGGTAGCATTCTGCAAATGCTTCAACTTAATCCAGAAATCTTATTTCACACTGCATATTTGCCGAGTGCATACATTTACGATGAGAATTTATCCCAACGAGCCTCCCCGAACACACATTTACAAAAAAAAAACTAAATTAATCGTTTATTATCAGACTAGAGATGATTTCTTCATCTTTTTTTTCTGCCTTCTTTCTCGATCAGCAAGTTGAAACGTTGCGTTGAGCTTTGTAGCGTTGATCGTCCAATCAGATGCGAGTTGCTCTGAATCAGCCAATGGCATGCGAGTATTTTTAGACAAAAGCCAATCAGGTCGTGTTTCGATTGAATCGCTTTGCAGAAACGGGCACGCAGCCGCCTGCCTTGCTTTTCTCCACAACTACCAATGATAGTAGCTCTACTTTGACAGCGAGCTAAGTCAGCCAGCTTCACTTCACTGACCTCCGCTCCCAACATGGCTGGTGTTCGAGCCCTTGGTGTTCTTTCCAGGTTGACATCAAGAAGATACGCTGTCTCCACAGGTAGAAACCCAAACGTACTTGAATTCATAAGCGTAACAACGTGGTGAACATTGGAAACGGGATTTACAAGGTGCCGCAGATCGCTAATTAGCTCGTTTGACTAGCTGTTAGCTCCGAAGGACAAAACAAGAAATGCGGTAAAGCTTCATTGGAAATTGTAGTTCTCCGTTCTTGTCAATGATATATCTCAAATAAACTCAAAACAGAATATCAAATGAAATATGAACTTTTTTTATCCTCCTCTTTTATCTAGAAAACTTATGTGTTGAATATTGCTAAGTTTGCTTGCGGGCTAACTTGACTGGCAGCTACGGAAAGCCACAAGCCAGTCAGTCAATCAAGGTTTAAAATCAGGTTTTAAAACGAGATGTTTTCCCAGCGTTTGAGTGAAACGTGTAAATGGAAAGACAGGTTAAAAAATCAACGAGAATACTTTAACCATTGATTTGTAATTGAGTTGTTTCTGTGTGTTTGAATGGTAGCCAGGGAATGTAGGTGAAGGGTCACTTTCCACCGGCTTGCTCACCATAGCTGAGACAATCTGAGGTCACGGCAATATTATATGAACACCGTCTATAACTATCATCTGGATGTTTTAAGTCAAGGTTTCCCATTTTAATTCGATGTGTTCAATATGGGCATTAATGGATAAGCAGCTAAACGCTTTCTAGCTGGTTTTATGACTTGTATAATTTGTTTCACACATAATGTAATGCCTCCTTTTTATTGTCCTTTTTTTTTTTAGGGAGCAGCTTTCGCACCTTTTCAGTAGCTCCAGTCATGCAAGGTAATTCTACATTTACTGGCACATGTATAAAGTTTCTGATGGTCAACAGTGTCAGTGGCACGATTATTTTATCACTGTACATTATATTCCTTCTCTTTTTTTTTTTTAGCCCTTACTCATGTGAACTATGAAGTCAAGGACAATGTTGCCGTGGTACGGATTAATGACCCAAACTCCAAGGTGTGAGCTCCTTTTAAAAAAAAAAAAAAAAAAAAAAAAATGAATGTATTTTTTCACTTGTGAATAATGTAGATGTAATTTGAAATAAATGGTCGTTTTTTATTCCCCCCAGGTCAACACACTGTCAATCCAAATGCAAAATGAGTTGGAGGAGGTAATGAAAGAGGTGTGGGCTAACAATGCAGTTGAGAGTGCAGTCCTCATCTCCTCAAAGCCCGGATGCTTCATTGCAGGAGCCGATATCAAGTAAGAGATCTCTCACTTAATCCGCTGCTTATCAAAATCTAAATGTGTGTGATGTAGTGTTTTCGGTTGCATTCACCTTTTGCTGTTGTACAGCGGTGTACAGATACTTTTGGGAACATTTTGTATTGTATTTTTTCTTATTTGTGGTCGGGAATTCGTTTTTTCTTCCCCCTACAATAAATGCAACACGCTTGTATTCATTGTCAACATTAAAATCTTGAATTGTATTTTGAATGAGTCATCAAAATGGCCTTTCTTGGATATGTGGAATTCTTTGACTTTTATTTATTTAACATCTCTTTCAGTATGATCCAGAACTGCAAAAATGCAGAAGAGGTCACCCAACTGAGTCAGGGAGGTCAGAGGATGTTTGATCTGATTGAAAAATCTCCAAAGCCTGTTGTTGCTGCTATCAACGGCTCTTGCTTGGGTGGAGGCTTAGAAGTAAGCAGACATTATTTCAGCTAAAAAAAAAAACTATACACTTAAATAATCTGGAAGTATTTAACTGGTATGTGTGATTGTAATGTGTTATCTAATGGACTCCTTCTTTCTTTTCAGTTTGCCATTGCCTGCCAGTACAGAATTGCAACAAAGAGCAAGAAAACAGTTCTCGGTACTCCTGAAGTGATGCTGGGTCTCTTACCTGGAGCTGGTGGTACCCAGAGACTCCCTAAAATGGTTGGTATTGTGATCTTATTCTCCATGTTATCCAGAATGTTTGATTAGATATTAGATAGTATATGAGGATGTCTTGTGGTTATAACAAGGTATCTTTGTCAGAATGAAACTTAACTCCAAATAATCTGCTTAATGCTCATAATCGTTTTAAGATATTTACGTGCACCTTTGACATACTGCAAACAGATTATGTCTCCCTGTCTATAGCGGCTAAACTTAAAGCCACTGAGGGGCTGCATAGACAGGCTAATCTAGCCTATTCATTGACGCGCTTGCCGGCTTCGCTCCTGAGCGTGAGATTTCGAAAGACAGTCCAATATCTTCTTCGTTTAGGAATATTTAGTTCTCATTCCTTCATTGTCTTGATTACGGTCACATGTGAACTGTTCAAACAGTAATCCAGACGTGTCCATTTACAATCATTCCTGTTACCTCCTAGCGTGGCTTACAACGGTCGAAAAAGTGTAATTGCTCCCCGTCTAGCAACACCTGACACCCCAGTGATAGTTCCTACCTATATATAGAGTTTCACCTTAACCCAAAGGCGACACCTGCTGGAACAATTTGTGTTTGCACTTCACAAACATGGCTCCTACACCGTCAATCAGTTTACATCTACCCTGTCCTTCAAAGTGTACGGTCATGAGTGACAAGAAAACCTCTAGTCATGTATAATCAGTTCATATGTTTGTTTGTTTTTGTCTTTTTCATCCTTAGCTTGGACTTCCCAGTGCCTTTGATATGATGCTGACAGGGAGAAATATCCGAGCAGATAAAGCCAAAAAGATGGGGCTTGTTGACCAGCTCATAGACCCTCTGGGTAAGACATGTAGCCTCTTATCTTAAGTTAGTAAATCACTACTCGTCAAAAACTGTAGGACATAAGTGTTTCTGAGAGCATTAGCAGATCTTTCAGTAATATTTGTATTAATACAACTCTTTCCATGACTTCTATGCTTGTATTACAGGACCAGGGCTGAAGAGTCCAGAGGACAGAACAATGGAGTACCTGGAGGAAGTTGCTGTAGAGTGTGCCAAAGGGATCGTGAACAAGAAGATCCCTCTGCGCAAAGACAAAGGCACGATGCAGAGTAAGTTAGCCGCCTTTATTGGCCATTTTCCTCCTTGTCGTCACTTGGGTTTATTACCATGCCTAAGAAGTTCTACATTAATGATTTCATGTTCTTCTCCCCAGAAATTCAAGACTACGTCATGAGCTTTGAGTTGGTCCGGAATCAAATCTACAAAACAGTACATGGCAAGGTTATGAAACAGAGCAAAGGGCTTTACCCCGCACCCCTGAAAATAATTGAAGTAAGTTAAAACTCCTTGTAAGCCAAAATGTTTTGTAGGAATTCTGAAGGATGGTAAGAGAAACAAGTTTGGCTCAAAATTCTTTTAGAAAAAGGAGTCCAACCAGTTTGTCGGTATGTCACCCATTGTTTTCAGTGTAATGTATCCATTTACTGTGGAAAAAAACACAGCCACACTCTTACATCTCTGCGTTAGTGCATGTCCGCGGTCCTGTTTGTTCATGTGTGTATTTTGAGAAGCATGTCTCCCAAAATAAAGGGTGTAAACCAGAATTTTCCCTAAGGAGTAAATACTATATGTAAAAAAAATATTAAAATAAATGAAGTATTGATCATGTAAGAATATTTTCTGAAATGTGGTCACATATTGAAACCTAACCTTTCCTCTTTCCCCTCCCCAGTGTGTAAAAACTGGAGTTGAACAAGGCCAAACTGCAGGATACCTGGCAGAATCTCAGGTAAGATCTTTGAGTTTAAATCAGTGGCAGAGGAAATATTTAGAGCTGTACATTGATGTACTGAACATGTCAAATGTTGATGTTTGTCACAGAATTTTGGCGCATTGGCAAAAACCTCAGAATCGGCAGCTCTGATTGGTCTCTACCACGGTCAAGTAGCATGCAAGAAGAACCGCTTTGGAGCTCCTGAAAAAGAAGTGAAGTAAGTGTGTAACACTTTCACAAACAGGGAAAATTACAATTAAACATATCCAACCTGCAGTGCACATTTCAAACAAGTTCATCGGTTAAATATTGAATCAGGACTGGTAACAAATATACTCATGTTGACATAAGGCAAGGCAAGTTTATTTATATAGCGCATTTCAACAACAAGGCAATTAAAAGTGCTTCACACAAGACATCAAAATAACTATGACAGAGGAAAGAAAATAAACATTAAAATAGAAAATTAAAAAATCACTGAAATTGTTAAATCCGAAAATATGTTCAAATAAAAATAATTCAAATGAAATTAATTGAAATAAGTAAAAATATAAAAAGAGTTAAAAGTTACAGTGCAGAGTTAAAATTCAAAATCTTATTAAAATTGTTTAATGAAAGGCAGCTGTAAACAGGTGAGTCTTCAACCTCGATTTAAAAGAGCTGAGAGTTTCAGCAGACCTGCAGTTTTCTGGGAGTTTGTTCTAGATATAAAGAGCATAGAAACTGAACGCTGCTTCTCCATGTTTGGTTCTGACTCTGGGGACAGAGAGCAGATCTGTCCCAGACGACCTGAGCGGTCTGGATGGTTCGTAATTAATCAGGAGGTCACTAATGTATTTTGGCCCTAAACCATTAAGCGCTTTATAAACCAGCAGCAGGATTTTAAAATGTATTCTCTGACAGACTGGGAGCCAGTGTAAAGAACTCAGAACTGGACTGATGTGATTAAATTGTGTCATGGTGCTTAAGTTGGTTTTAAATGGACACAGCACATATCCTGATCCTGATGATGAGTTACTGACAGTTGGTCCAATTTTCTGGATTGGTGGAAAATTTATTACAGGTCCTGGTAGAATGAAATTCAGATGCTATTGACACAGGAGGGTTTGTTAGCCTGTCGACAATAACATTAATGTCAAACAGTGCAGTCATAGATTTAAAGGAAGGATCAGTTGTTTTATCATCTTCTTTTCTTCTCTATTGCTATATTTTATGGTAGTGGATGATGAATTTGTCCTTTTTGTTTATCACTAGGACTCTTGCCATCTTGGGAGCAGGTCTGATGGGAGCAGGTGTTGCTCAGGTGACTGTGGATAAGGGTGTGCACACAATACTTAAGGACACCACAGTGGCTGGACTGGCCAGGGGAGAGCAGCAGGTTTACAAAGGGTAAGTTTTCATATCAGGCATCTGAATATTAGTTGTTGTTTTTAAATGGTAGATTTGATTAAAGGCAGGTACGGTTAGTTCTGGTCAAATTATAGATTCACCTTAAACCTCAAAATCTGCTGTGAAATATGACATTAAAAAAATTATAGATGTATTTTTCTTGTCTAAAAAAGGATGAATGACAAGACCAAAAAGAAGAACATCACGTCCTTTCAGAGAGACTCCATACTGTGTAACCTGACGGGCCAGCTGGACTACAGGGGCTTTGAGAAGGCTGACATGGTTATTGAAGCTGTGTTTGAAGACATTAACATCAAGCACGCTGTGCTGAAGGAGGTGGAGGCTGTAAGTGTTGCTAAAAAGAAATCAAAGAAGAGGTTCTCACTTCGTTGTAAACATCAGTCCATTGAGCTGCTACCTCTCACACGTTTTTGTCTGCAGGTGGTTTCCCCTCACTGCATATTCGCCAGCAACACATCTGCTCTGCCCATTAAAGACATCGCTGCTGCCAGCAAAAGACCAGACAAGGTGTGTATAAAGAAGCCTTGAAGTCTAAAAGTGCCTTTGAATAAAAAAAACAACAGCAAACTAATCATTTGTCTTCACATTTAGGTGATTGGAATGCACTACTTCTCTCCAGTGGACAAGATGCAGCTGCTGGAAATTATAACCACTGATCAGACGTCCAAGGACACCACAGCCTCTGCAGTGGCTGTCGGCCTGAAACAGGGCAAAGTCATCATAGTCGTTGGGGTGAGGTTAAACGTCATTGGTTTCCCCCCTCTGTACCTTGTTTAACTACCTTGTAGTTACCATTAAAATATTTTACTATGATAACAGTAGTCGTTGTTTTGCAGGATGGCCCTGGATTCTACACAACAAGGTGTCTGGCTCCCATGTTGGCTGAAGCAGTACGAGTACTCCAGGTTTGTAATATTACTGCAGTGGAAAATGTAGCTTACAGTTCTTTATTATGTTCTTGTGTTTATGTGATATATATTCATTTCTGGAGGATTCAGGACCTAGCATGGTGTGGGCTTACACAAGCGGCATATATATATTTTTTTTACATAGCTGTAATATACCTAATGAATGTCTTTATTTGCATTTACAGGAGGGAGTCGACCCCAAGAAGTTAGACGCACTCACCACAGGATTCGGGTTCCCCGTGGGTGCAGCTACTCTGGCTGATGAAGTCGGTATTGATGTCGCCGCCCACGTAGCAGAGGACCTCGGCAAAGCTTTCGGCTCCCGCTTCGGTGGAGGAAATGTGGAGGTTCTGAAGACCATGGTGGACATGGGATTCAAGGGTATGCATATTTTAAAATTGTAGTTTTCATTGCTGTGTACATATATAATATGAAATGTAATAATCTGTGCTTTTTCATTCTCAAGGCCGCAAATCAGGAAAGGGTTGCTACGTCTACCAGCCAGGACTGAAAGTCAAAGAAGTCAACCCAGATATCGGAGAAATCCTGGAGAAATACAGGATGACACCAAATCCTGCTGTGTAAGTTCACACTGGACTGTTAAAGAAACAGCAAAGCAGTGATTAAAGCTACAAAATGAACCTTTTTTTTAAATATATTTTTTGCAAGAATTAAAGAAAGTGCTGCTGCTTTACGCAAGTTTTTTTGATTAGTTCCTTTATAGGAAATGTTTCATGTACAAAACAAAACCACTTGGTTCTTGATTTAATATGACATTCTTGCGAGTTTGAATTTAAACTTATTAACTAATCAAATATTCTGTTCCTGCATGTAAATCTCTTTACAGTTCCTCAGACTCTGATGTGCAGTACAGGCTGGTTTCTCGATTCGTCAACGAGGCCGTGCTGTGTTTGCAGGAGGGAATTCTGGCGAACCCACTGGAGGGAGACATCGGGGCCGTGTTTGGTCTGGGATTCCCCCCCTGCCTTGGAGGTCAGAGTTCAAACTTTGTGTTAGCAATCTGACACACACGTGAGACATACAGGCTGAGCATGAGTACACAGCATCAGACTCCTTCTCTTCTGTTTTGTGTGAATGGAAAGTCTGAAGATGTTAGTGACTAAATATTCAGGAAGAAAACTGGACCTAAGGGACCGACCTATGTCTGTATCTCTCTGCTTTTTTTATGGTTTAATTACTCTGCTAAAGTTTGTCTGAATCAAGATTTACTGTTTGATTAAGCCAATTTAGAGATGACAAGCTCCGCCCAAGATAACACACACACACACACACACACACTGAGACACAGAACAAACACAGTCCTCACCAATCAAAGGAATTGAACCTAGCAGATTGAAGTGTTCAGGCTTTGTTTCACTTCTTCCCTGTGATTATACATGTGACATATTTGTCTTTCTTCTTCCAGGACCCTTCCGTTTCGTGGACTCCTTCGGCGCCGACAAGCTGGTGGAGAAGATGAGGCAGTTTGAAGCCGTCTACGGGAATCAGTTCACACCATGCCAACTCCTGCTGGATCACGCAAATGATCCCAGCAAGAAGTTTCACAAGTGACCGACCTGCCGTGTGTGCCAGTAGCAGCTTTCTGTAGAAACACCGGCCTTCCACTAAAATGTGCCTAGCAGTAATATGAAGAGTGGGGGGCAAACATGATGAAAATACACTCAGTTTGACACTAAGATAGAAAGCTGAAACTGAGGCAGTTCAAAATAAAAGTTCTGTAATAAATCCTACGTACACAAAGATAGTAGCTGTTTATGAGGTGATTGTCAACTTCTGAACAATTTGGAGGATGTTATTTCGGGCACTTTTCAGTTGTATTATGTTATAATATAATGAGAGGACATATATAAGCACTTGTGTTATTTAGCCAACACCCACTGATGTAATCAAGTTGGGGAAAAAAAAGCATAAACAGCAATATAACTTACAAGAAACTAGGATTTATTCAGGACTTGTGTTAAACTGCATTAGTTTAAGCTTGATGTACCTCACAATAAACTCCAAACTGAGTGTGTAAATGTCAGCAAGACATGTTAATGGTGTTTTGGTACTTTGCATTATTAATTGACTTGATAGTGTAAACATGGATATGGAGCAGAGGAGGCTAATAATTCACACATTATGGATGTAAAGATTCTCCAGAGGCAGAAGAATTCAAATATTTTCCATCTTACACATTCGTTCTGCATTATTAATGAATGTCTACCGGTGTCTTTCTTTTTTTGTACATTTGGAACCTGGTTGAAGCGGCAATGATGTAAATGTGAAGCCTGAAATAAATTTTGTTATTGAATCAAACCCTGTTTTTTTTTTTGTTTTTTTTCTTCTTGATGATGCGTTCAAGTGCTAATTGGTGGCTAACTCACCACTATGACACAATTAGATCATATCCGTGTACCCTGTGAAGATTAGCTGAAATCTAATTCGCTGTGCAGGTCACATGGTTGATTTTCATTGTCCGCAGCAGAGCAGGGTGTGTACTGAGGGGAGGCTGTGTGGGCTGGGCCGGGGACTGAGGGGTGTTTTTCCCCCTCAGCAGCATCCTTTAAAGATCTTGTGACATCGCATTATTTGCTGAAAGATGCTCAAGGGCGGATGACATGCTGCGTACATGGGGATGAAGTAATGGCATCATGAAAACAACTGAAATAAAAGCTGCTGCTGCACCTGCACGGGGAAGGAAAACCTGCTGACCCCACCCGATCAAACCGGCTTTCTAAGGTGGGAAATATGCTTTTTAATCTTTGATCGAAATGTCTAAAGGGAAGAACTGCGAGGCGGTAAGGGTGGTGGTCCGCTGCCGGCCTTTGAGCCGAAAAGAGGAGGCGACGGCGAGTGAAAACATCTTGGATATTGATGACAAACTGGGGCAGATTACCATCCGTAACCCGAAAGCACCACCTGATGAGCCAATGAAAGTATTCACGTTTGACTCCGTCTATGGCTGGGAGTCCAAACAAAACGATATTTATGACGATGCTGTGAGACCTCTCGTGGAGTCCGTGCTTCGTGGCTTCAACGGGACTATTTTCGCGTATGGTCAGACTGGGACAGGTAAAACACACACCATGCAGGGGGTTACAAACGACCCAGAAATGAGGGGGTTATCCCGAACTCATTCCAGCACATTTTCACTCAAATATCCAGGACTCAGAATCAGAAATACCTGGTGAGGTCATCCTACCTGGAGATCTACCAGGAGGAAATCAGAGATCTGCTGTGCAAAAACAACAACAAGAAACTGGAACTGAAAGAGAGTTCAGACTTTGGTGTTTATGTGAGAGATCTGTCCTCCGTGGTGACGAAGAACGCCACCGAGATTGAACACGTCATGAACTTGGGAAACCAGTCCAGATCTGTGGGGTTCACCAACATGAATGAGCGCAGCTCTCGGTCTCATGCCATCTTTGTGATAACCGTGGAGTGCAGTGAAGTAGGACCAGATGGTGAGGACCACATCCGGGTGGGGAAGCTGAACATGGTTGACCTTGCTGGAAGTGAACGTCAAAGCAAGACAGGCGCCAAAGGGAAGCGTCTCAAAGAAGCAGCCAAGATCAACCTGTCCCTTTCTGCGCTTGGGAATGTCATCTCAGCTCTGGTGGATGGAAAGAGCACCCACGTCCCATACAGGGACTCCAAACTCACCCGTTTGCTCCAGGACTCTCTGGGTGGCAACGCAAAGACAGTCATGATCGCGACAGTGGGCCCATCGCACAAGAACTTTGGAGAATCCCTGGCCACCTTAAGGTACGCGAGCAGAGCCAAGAACATAAAGAACAAACCTCGGATCAACGAGGATCCAAAAGACGCCCTTCTTAGGGAGTTCCAGGAGGAGATTGCACGCCTGAAATCGCTGCTGGAGGAGCGAGGGATGCTGGCGAAGGAGAGGAGGAAGATGAGGAGGAACAGCAAAAGACTGAGTAAGAGTTTGGCTGGTGTGGAGGAGGAGATGCTAAAAGAGATAGATGCGTGGAAGGCGGCCGAAGAGGAACCCCAGGTGAATTATCGCAAGAAAGAGGGGAGTGACATCCCAAAAGTTCTGACCTGCCAGGGAAGCAGTGAGAAGTTAAAACACATGAATGAAAACAGGAAGAGCATAGTGGACATGCAGTGGGATCAGGATGCTTTGGAGAAGATCATAGAGAAATACAAGGTACCTATAGTGTCTGAGAAACGAGACGTCTGTGGAACAAAGGAAATTTACATAAATAATTCATTGTGTGTCTTTGTTCACAGGCTATGGAGAGCAAACTGTTAGTTGGGGGGAAGACAATAATCGATCACACCAATGAACAGCAAAAGATGCTGGAGCTGAAGAGGCAGGAAATTGCAGAGCAGGTATGTCCAACACTGTAATGAGTAAAGTTTCCTTATGGGTCTCCCAACATTACTCCTAGTAAATCTAACTTTTTTGTAGAGATGATACCAATTTTTCCTTCCAAACAGATCCAATCTCTAGACTTGAGCATTGGCTGAAACCCCTCTTAGCGCAATAAAATATATATACTGTATATTCATAATATTGGCGGAATAAAGTGATTGCTCACATAATGTTAGCTTTGACTAACATTAGACTCTTGTTAGCACCATACTGCTGTTGTTTTGTCATCGTCAAACTATAATTTACCTGAAACCAGTAGGTTTTTTCAGGGGGCTAAATGCTTACCGGTATCGGAGCGTTGGCTGGTATATTCAGAAATATCAGACACTGATTTTTTTCTACTATGAGATGTTTTACACTGGTTTTGAAACAGTCTCATTCACTACTGAAGCCTCTCTATGACCTACAAACAAGACTATCAGCAGAAGGATTTATTGTTTCATTGTTGTTATATTTAAAGCCTGCCATACATACAGTGAAGGATTCTGATAAATCGAAAGAGTAATCGATTAAAAGAGCTTTTGTTTACGACCTTACAAAGTTTCACATATAATCCTATAATAGCACATTAAGAGGAAAACTACAAAATGTAAATAAAACTACAAATGATCCGTAGAGAGATAAAAACCTACTGCTTTGACCACAGGCCCTGAGAATCTGCACATATGAAAGCGTCTGTTCTGAGTATTATTTTCGGGATGTATTGTGTTTGTAAATGAAGCGGTTTCTTTGATGTGATTTGCAGATAAGACGAGAGAGAGAGATCCAGCAGGAGATGATGCTTCAGGACGAGGAGACGTTAGAAATGATGGAGACATTCTCCTCCATGCAGCAGGAGGTGGAACTCAAGACAAAGAAGCTGAAGAGGGTGAGATGACTCATCGCTGCTGTGTCCCAATGACATTATCAGCCATAATTGAATCAGTCCATCTTATTTGAAATTGACTTTATGTCAAGAGGGACATCTCAAGGAAATGTAAAACCAACGAGTTATGTTTCACTGGAATGAACTCTCACTTCCTGAGATTTGGGAATGAATACATTTCTCGTTTTCATGTCTCTGTAGCATACACTTAAATATCTCTCCTTTCCCTAATGTGTTTGCTGGTGTGTCATTTATTATGTACATATCTGATCCAGTACAGCTGAAGCCCCACAAATAATATTTTTCTTCTTTTTCTGTAAAGTTGTATGCCAAACTACAGCTGGTGAGGGCGGAGATGAAAGATGTCATCGATGAGCACGTCACAACCAGACAGGAGCTGGAACAGACACAGACTGAACTCACCAGAGAACTCAAGTACAAGTGAGTCACCATATTACTGAATCAGTGCATATTCTGTACATTCTTATTTTAAACTTGATTTCCCATCTCCACTCTAATGTGGAATCCTGAAAGAATTCAAGCAGACGATTTTGCAAAGATGCACCGATGTGATCATAAAGGGTCCTTGTATAACCAAAGGGATATAATGTTTATATATTTCGATGCAGATCATCTTCTTCATCTCCTTTTGTCCCTATGTTGTTATTTTTAATGCAGATCATCCAATCAATATTTAAACTGTTACCAACCTTCATAAACAGTTTTTTTTTTAGGGGGGGGAAGAGGGATGACACAGTTAACACATCTGTGATAACGCTTTATTATTGGATAACTTTTATTTATGGATAATTATGGCTACTGCACGTTTCTATGTCTTATATGTCAACCTTCCCATTATATGATTTCTTGTAAAGTGGTTAAAGTGCTTTGGAAATCAGTTTAACTTTTTGATTTCATTTTGGTGTTTTAATGCGGTGCTTCCTGTGAGCGAAGGTGCACACACCTTACCTTCATTTAATTTTGCAGATATCTCTTGATTGAGAACTTTATTCCTCCTGAGGAAAAGAACAAGATTATGCACAGGCTTCAGTTTGACAGTGAGGAGGATCAGTGGAGACTCCAACCGGTCCTCCCATCACAGAGGTGAGTACATTCATTCCATGTAGGCTACTTAAGTTGTAATATGAATACATTAAAATCACTCAAAACCTATTTTGAAGTCCTACCTGAATCACATGCGGCATCAATAACCCTACAAGGTGAAGTCCATCACTGTAGTAGAGATATAACAGACTCCGAGCTGATTTCAAGAAACACACACACACACACACACACACACACACACACACACACACACACACACGCTAACATGTTGATAGCGTGACAAAGTGTCCATCAGCAGATGTCCATCAGCAGATCTGTGCACCCGCCCTGTGCATATGTCCTTCCTCTCCATCTGTCTGTTTCTCCCTTGTGTGTCCTTTGAAACACTATTTAATGAATATCTCCATAAAATTCTTACCTTGGGAAACTAAAGTAATAAAACCTTCGGCATGTGAGCGTGTGATTAAAAAGTTTGACCTGCCGTGTGACGGATCACTTTGCAGGACATACAGTATTTAGATACATTTAGATAATTATCACATATACAAAACGTGTTAAGAAGTCTTTGCCGCAAATACCGTTCACTGAAGCGGCGAGAAAGGCAAACTGCAAGCAACAGCCTAATGAAATAGTCACTGGGGGTAGTTTTTGTCGGGTAATTGATGAGTAATCATTCCTTCAGGAGTCAGGAAGGCAGAAACTGCTCAGTTTCTCGTATTTGATGTATTAAGGAGTTATATTAAACGACAGGGATAAAGGAGTGTTACTAATGGTTGTTCAAATCTTATTTTGAACTTATTGCAGATAATGCATTGCGTTATTTTAATTGATAGTTTACTACATGTTTTTGTTTAACTTTACATGTACAGACACTTCTAATATAATCGATGTATAATGTACAGTATATTTCCCCATTAAAGACAGTTCCAGAAAATGGTGGTTTTATGTTGCCATTAATAGTTCTTTAAAGTGATTACTATCAGAAATAATTGGCTGAGTCCAAATGTAACATGAACAAAGCTTTTATCATTATGTCACCTGGAAACATGATTTCTGCCTGAGTTACATCAGATGGATTTTTACAAGCAAAATTTGAAGAATACAGACTTCGACTCCCATGATCCAATGATACTTTGTGATGACCTCATGACAAAGTTTTTAGTTATAATTTTGATTGAGAGACCGTAGCTGCTGGCAAAAAATCCTGTGATTGTAAGTACGTTTTTAGAAGAATTGCCTCGTTAAATTTGAACAACATGAACTCATCTCCTGCTCTAATGCTACTTTTGACCTCCATGTATGACACGTGATTGCACCTTTATGTTCCCTCTCTGTCAACATTCAGGGAAATCAGTAATCAAAGTATAAATGATTAAGGTATGCGGAAGGAAAGTGAAGATAGCAAAAATAAAATACAAATAACTCCCTCATTAAAAGTCATAGATAATATCAAAATATTACATTTTACATAATTATGAGTATAGCATCTTTTATATCTTTCTATTGGCCAAAGTTTACTGTCAGCACCGTGTCTGTTTTGGTCCCACCACTAGGAGTCGCCAAAGTAGAAATACTTTAAACCGACACAGACTGGCTATCCTTCATCCACGTTAAGTATGCATTCTGCCTGTCCAAGAAATAGTTCTCTTTAATTAATGGAGAGTCAGACACCCACGGTATGAGTCTTAACTGGTGAAATCTGAAGGCTGAAGGTGGACCCGATGAGATAACAGGGGAGATTTGTCTGTAGGGAGCTGAACAGTTGAGCATTTATGGAGCACTCAAAGTTACATACGGCTAAAAACAAGTCTTTAACTGAATCCTTTTTTCCCCAATGTCTTTATCTCAGTCCACCCACTCAGGTCAGAAGACGACCTCTCTCAGCTGTGGGATACAAGAGGCCAATCAGCCAATATGCACAGATGGCTGTTGCCTCTGCAAGCGGGGCCCCATCGAGATACCAGGTCAGTGCTGGTCGGACATACACGAGGACAGACGGTCAGGGTACAGCAGAGGGAGAGATGTGAAATGTTGGTCTTTTAGGCAGCCTTATTTGCATGTTCAGAGCCTTCTTTCTTTGCTGGATGATTTGAAGATGGTTGTAGTCATGGAAACCATTCACAGTTTAAACAGCAGCATCTCACACTTTTAAACCTTCAATGTAATATCTCAGAAGTACACAGTGTACACCTTCAAATAAAGTCAGCAGCACTAACATCATACATTGATCAACACATAATGTGGGATGCTGTGTTTTAATGCCAATATTGCTTACCTAAACTGTATTCCTTTATAGACAGTAATAACACAATAACTATAAGGAACACATTCTGCATTAGATCTCACTGTGTGACACTGCAGCCATGCTATAGTCCACACTCTCTGTTCCTCATAGTTTCAAATTTAGATCAAACTCAATCTGCATTGCTTCATTTTTAGGTTGCAACTTACTTGACATTTCCTGAAGATATTTCACAATAAAAAAAACTGTCAAATGTGAAATCAACAGATTTGAAAGTTAAATATCTGAAAGATGACACTAGATATTAAGATAGATTAAATGAGTGTAAGGCCTCCTCAAACATTGCATTTGCGTGTGTAATTGTGCTATTTTAACAACATTTTTTTTAAATTTGTTTCACAGGCTGAGAATATAATGCTGTTGGAGTTAGACATGTCCCCACCACCATGTACACCTTGAATCTTAATGGCACTCACCTGGAGAGAGCCTTTTCTCCCAGACTGGTGAGGGACCTTCTGGTTAACGTTCCCATTAGAGAGAGGAGGGCTGCGTCGCCACGGGTCAGGAAGTCCCAATCCTGGTGAGTCAACAAAAAATACACATGTACTATTTGATCACTGACATGGAAAGTTCCCTTTTTTAGAAGTGATATGATTGCTTTTAATGAAAAACTGTTATACATATATAAAAATGTGTAATCTTGCCTCTTTGTTTGGTCTGTCCTAGATTCTGAAAAACAGTTATAGGCGTTTATTAGTGGATTCAATTACAGTGGCAGTATCTTCATAACAGTAGGGAGGGCATTTTGTTTAGTTTAATATCACAATGCAGAAACTGAGTTCAAAGCACTACAAAAGTGTTCTTGCATGTGTTAGCCTAACACATTTTTACCCGTTTAAATTCAATCCCCTGTAATACTTTTTTACCATACAACCAGATTTTTTTCTTCCCTCAGTCTTCCAGCAACTGAACAAATAAATACTGTAGAAATATTCAGTCATTAAGTTAAACGGCACAGTAAAAAAGAATCATATCTCAATTCATTTGTTTTTTATATGGTCTACAGGTATCAAGCACCACAAGCAGCATCCATCTCATCTTCATCATCATCCACCAATCTGACATCAGGATCTCAGAGACAAAGACCATCCTCTGCTGCCTTTCTTCCAACAGGAGGTCATGTTGAGACAAGCCCCTGATATGTGGGACAACACAACCATACAAATTGCTGGCTTTACTTCAATGTGGCACAAAAAAAAAGGGACCAGACTGGCTAAGGGGAGGGGGGGGGAATCTTGTGGCTTGATTCAAGATTATTACACAGCTGTTTTAATGAATTAATTAAAAAAATCATTTAACAAGAATGTATTTAAAAGTTGAATGACATTTTTTTTTTTTTTTTTGCTGCTTTTGCTTTTTTGCATAAAAAAAACAACAATGTTCTTTCTTCTGGTCTCAAAGAATAGCACAGGAAAACACTTTTTCTTAAACCAGGCTGGATGTACTGTTAATTATCTGGAGGATCTAAACAGACCTCGATTTTAATTTACGCCCTTTCTTATTTTATTTATTTATTTATTTATTTTAAAGAGAACACTTAATCGCCTTTTCCAAATATATTAAAGCCTGCGAATTGTATTAACTTGTTGCCAAATCATTGGAGGTAGATGTTGGGAAGGTTTTAAGGGGCCCGAACCAACTTCTGCTTTTTTTTTTTTTTTTTTTTTTAGGGGGATGGGGGGGCGACCTGGTTTAGCCTGTATGCTTGATGAATTGTTGCTTCAAGTAATCGTGAGCCAAAAAAAAAAAAAAAAATGTGAAAAAAAAATGGCAATGCACTCTGGATTAGCTGCCTTATTTTTCATAGTTGTGAAATCGTGCAAAGTCCATTTGCTTAAACATTAAAAATAAACTGACTTAAAAAATGATCTTGACCTGCCTTTTTCTCCTTTAGAGCTGTGATTATGCAGATCCTGAACATAATTATAGTCGGCAGCTTTACACACACACACACACACACACACTGTGGAAGACAGGATGACAGCTATGTACAGTAAGATGACGTTTCCCCTCGGAGGAGTCACGTGACAGGTTACAGTAAGTCCAACATGGCAGACGGAGTGGATCTTACGCGGTGACTAAAAGCAACATTTCAGCCGACACAAGAGACATTCAACACTACTCTGCAAAAAAAACCAAAAAACAAAGACAGCAACAATGAGGGAGAGACAGAGGAAGAAGAAGGGGAGGACGTGGGCGGAAGCTGCTAAAACGGTATTTTCTGTGTGTGTGTGTTTTTTTTTTTTATGTGTCTGTTTGTTGTGGGTTGTTTTTTTTTTTTTTTTTTCCTTGAACGCTCCCACTTTGTACAACTTGTGTGTTTACGAGTTCATGACCTGCTGCTGAATGAGGCCTTGTGTTGACGGCTGCACAACACTGCAGCCCTTTTAGCTTTCCTCTTAACGATGAGCGAGAGAAACCTTCAGCTTCGTGGACTCAACCATCTCCCCCCTCCACCCCCACCCCCCAACAACAACAACAACAACAACAACAACAACAAAAAATAACCCCCTATGTGTGTCCAGACAGGTGACATGTCAAGCAAGATTTAAAGGCGAATAAAAGTAACCGTGAAGTAATCTCGTCTGTGCTGCGCGCTAGCCAGCTTAGCATGCTACCTGCTGCTAACGCGCTTTGAGTTCGTCAACAAGTTTGTCTGGTATCAGAAGCAGAGGGGGGGGGGTCACATGAAGCGTGTATTTGCACTGTGTCTTCATATAGTTTACCAACAAGTCATTGTGTTGCATGTCAACGTTTTTGCATGATAACAAAGAGTGCAGTAATGAGCCTGGTTAGCTCTCTCCAGCATGCTAAATAAGACACCCCCCCCCCCCTTTGAGCAACTTCACAATAAAAGCTCTCCGTTTTGGATGTTTGGACACATGCTGTCCACTGACGCGTAGCTTCTCTGAGTTAGGAGGTTGTTAATACACATAAAGGAATGAATGTCATACATAATACACTGTTATAAATAATAATAATAATAGTAGTAGTAGCTGCTGCTGGCGTGCTGAACCTGCTCCTGCAAAACAGATAAACATGAAGATTTGTTCCCCCGTGTTTGTGATGTTATTATACTGTAAGGTATGTTTGTTGAAATGTTTTACTGTTAGATCATGTTATAGTTAGAGCATGTGCGTATTAGATCAGCTTAATAATAGAAAAACCTCATCTAGTGAAGTTAAAAAAAAACAAAAAAAAAAAACAAAGCCACAGTGCTTGTTAGAGGTTTGTGGTCTTGATTATTTCTGAGTATCACATTGAGTGCTGACACAGTTCAGGGAATTGTGGCTTTGTGGAGGCTTATTTTTTTTGAAGCTTCAGTAAATTAAATCTCAGTCTGTAGTCTTGAGACGACATCATGTTTCATAACCATAATAATAATGCTTTGTTATTGTAGGTTTTGGAGAAATACCCTAATACACCTATGAGCCATAAAGAGATCTTGCAGGTGATCCAAAGAGAGAAGCTTAAGGAAATAAGGTAAATGTTTTACCTGAACTATGGTAAAGGCATTTAGAAAAGAGACATTTTCACGAGATAAAGAGAGAACACCACCCTCCACCACTCCCCCCCCCTTATTGATTGCTCACATCATGATATACCTTCCTTTTTTTTTTTTGTTCACATAGTAACTGTTAGTTTACTCAATTAATAATGGTTTCATTTCTTTTTGTTTCATTGTCACTGTTCTCATCCAGAAGGTAAGAAAAAAAAAAAAAGCTAGCCCCCACCCCTCTATTTTAACAAACGCACTGCAATGCCCCCCTTTGTTTGGTAATTAACTCTTGCATGTTATTAACAATAACATGTCCTTTGTCCAGATGCATTAGGACAGTTTCACACTTGTTAAAGCCACCTGTTGCATAAAAGACAATTGTATTTACTATATTGGTAGAAAATCAACAACACAATAATATGACAACAGAGTCAAAACATGGCCGTCGTTTGGAAATCCTTCACACATGATCATCAACATGGCTTTATGCAAAGAATTATATAGAGGATGTAGATTTAATAAATAGGAATAGAAAACGTTCAGTATATATATATTTATATTTAGCCTTTAATGTAGAGATAGGACAGTGGATAGAGTTGGAAATCAGGGAGAGAGAGAGAGAGAGAGAGTGGGGAATGACATGCGGGAAAGAAGCCACAGGTGGGATGTGAACCCGGGCCGCTCGCTTGAGACGACAGCCTCCATACATGGGGCGTGCGCACTAACCACTGCGCCACCAGTGCCCCAATGTTCAGTATATTTGATCAATATATATATTTTTTTGCTTCTTCGACCTAAATAACAGACTCATCCAAAATCTAACAGCAGTACAAGTATTATGCTGCATGTTACGCTGTAAATCAACACAAATGTAAGTTGTCAAAAATAGTTTTCTGCTTCACTTTGCACCTCCGGACGCTTCTTTGGTGCCACTGCTGAGGCTTTATCGCAACTTTACTGGCACTCATTTTTATGCAACACAGAGTTATTGAAGAAAATGTTCATCTTAGAATATAAGATCCTTACAATTACTAGGTTAGTCTTGATCCCGTTTTATGCAACTGATTCTGTATAAAACTTTATTTACATTTCCTTGGAGTAATGTGAATCTGACCTGAACTCACACACTACCCTTTGATGCATGAAGTCATTTTCTTCCCAGATCTCCGACCAGCTTTAACCCCTCCTTGAGTCTTTCTCTCAGCTGTCTGATTGATTCGGTAACAGATGTGTAATCTGTTTTTTTTCCTCTTATTTATCCAGTGGAACCTCGCCGCTGGCATGTCTAAATGCAATGCTGCACACAAACTCTCGTGGCGAGGAGGGAATTTTCTACAAAATTCCTGGCAGAATGGGGGTCTACACATTAAAGGCTTGTTCAATTATGATAATAACAAATATTTGATGATTGATTTTGAATAATGTGATTGTGTACCCCATGAAATGTTTTTCAGTGTCTGCTTGAATCTGATTTAGTTCTCTGTTCTGCTTGCAGAAGGACATCGCTGATGTCGCAAAGGAGCTGTCTGAGGATGGCTCTGACGAGAGCAGCGACAATCTTTCCGACTCCCAAAGCACAGAAAACAGCAGCAGTGCCATCACTACAGAGGACAGGAGAGGAAGGTGGATGCGAAGAGGTACTGTGAACAAATGATCTTTTAACACTGCATCCCTCAGGTCACTTCTTGACAAGTACAACGTGATATAGTTCATTAACACATCAAAAAGAATAGAACCATGTTACACACGTTAAAAAGTGCTTACAATATGAGACTCCAATGATGTTCAAATTAAACATAATGTCATTTGGTTCCTCTCTTTTCTTCTTCATTAGAATTAAATCCCAAAATATACAGAAAGTGTTACATGAAAAAAAAAATTATTGCATGAGCTCATCGATTAAACTTGATTTCTGCCTGAGTTAAGTTCAATAGATTCTCATCAGCAATAAAGACAACTTTTTTTTTTATCCCATTCTCCTTCACAACGCCAAACACGTGTTTGTGTTAGGATTGAAAACCCTTGCAGCAGATATTACATACTTCATTTAAGGAGGTTTTCACAAAAACACCAAAAGCTTTTTGGGTCCAATCAGGAATATCCAATCATTCCAGTAGAATCGAGCGAAGAGAAAGATACCTTGTTCTCTATTGGCATTATTCTTGGTAGAAAATTAAGCAACAGCTAGATGTAGCTCCATTCATTGGCTGATATTAGCTGATGCCATACTAGGCTCTGTAATGACTGTGAGGGTTAACGCCCCTTTTCAGTCGTTTTTAAAAAGCCATCGCAGAAACCCAGGAAACCAGCTGAAGTAGCAGCAGGAGAGGTAAACTGAGAGAGAGTGGCTTGTATGAGACCATCTCATCACAACATAAATCCTGGAATACACCGAGCATCAAAACACGATGATAGCAACAGGTGGGTTTCATATTTGAAGAAACACGCTGTGACCCTTATGTCCTTCATTAATCGTCAGAAGAGAAACCGAGGCTGCACATGTAGTTCCACTTCATCGTAGCATTTGTTTGTTCTTTTGTGTGTCAGTGAGGTGAAATCATTATAGTGAGTCACGCACCTGATTGTGTCTGATTGCAGAGCAACTTCAGAGAATGATATTTTCCTTCAAGTGCCAATTATTTTGTTTTCCCGAGGCTTTGCTTTCACCGACTCTCGTATTTTCCCTGTGCCACTTCAATATTTAAGTGACTGTTAAAACAGGAAACTGTATTTTCTCTTTACGACCCGTTGCCACTTCCTCATTATGCACAAGCTAGAAGCAACTACTCTGGTTAATAACATTGCAGGAGGACCAAATATTGTTATACTTTTGAACTAGTCGTTGCAAATAACTTCGTATGCAAACAAGTGGAAATACAACAGAAAAAAAGGAATCTGCTATGGTGTGTTGAAAAGCACATTTTGTCAGAAATGTACAAAAGAGAGGCTGTTGTCAACTTCCTGTCAAGCTGCTCAGCCTTTTTTTAAAGTAATAGTTAAGCTTGGTAATGCAATCTGCAGGTCTTTATGCACAGCATTGGTTTCAGTTTCCTCTCAACAAAAGCATGATGTGACAAAGTCTGTACACCGCCCTCAGGAAGTGTCTTTTCTAACATCTGTGTCGTGCTTTTGTATCTCATAGTTCCCGCTAAGCTGCAGTCCCAGCCGTCCTCTCCGCAGCCCCGATGCTCGTCGCCTTCAGTTCCCACCAGCAAACTCATCTCTCCCTCGCAGAAACACAGCAAGAAAGCTTTGAAACAGGTACTGATGGGTTCTGAATAATTGTTCATGAAATAGTTACAGCTGCTTAGTAGACTAAACACTGTTTTCACTATTTGTGCAAACACTTTTGTCTCAGATGTAACTTGAGTTTCTGCCACACCTTCAAACTCACATGAACCTACTATATCAAACTCTGCAACACAAAAAAAAACAATGGGTTTTCTCTTTTTTATATACCAAGTGTAAAGTTTTTAAAGAAAGACTCTTAAGAAAAGACAATACTGATCTCAATCTTGTCCTTAAAAAATAAAATAAAAAGCTAAATCTATTACAATGTGTATGAGTTAGATATATATGGATTTTTGCACACCTCTCATCCATGTCAGAATACTGACTTTGCAGTTTTCACTACATTTAGGTTACCTTTTCGCTGACATGTTGCAGGAAACAAAAACACAACCCCTGATGGTGTTTCAGCAGGCACCAATTTTCTCTCCATTCCCTGTCTGTTCAACAGCTTGTGCTGATTATTTTAAACAAGGAGGCGTCATGGGAAATCGCCTATAGCTGGTTCTACAGTATTAATGTTCTCATAATCCACCCGCTCCACATTTTTCCTATTGGCTGCTTTGTGCCTTTTGTGTGTTCCATTTAATTAGATTTCATTTGATTGCACAAATTGTAATTCACTCCATCTGTGCTGGGGAGGAATTTTCAGCTCTGTAAGACCAATTTATATTCATTTATTGGGTGTAGGAAACACAATAAGACGGCCATTTGGCTAAAATATTAGAGCTTAAGAGACCTCTATTGTATTTACTTTTGTTATTTTCTGTATAGTTTGAATCAGTTGAAACAAAAGAATGACACAAAGTGGACTGTTTTGATTTCTTCTTCTACCTGTAGACGTTGCTTTTGTCAGGTGATCCAACCTATTGACAGATTTACAACACATAGATGATTTATGCGTGTGTTATGCAACCTGTGCTTCATTGCTGCTCTGTTATTTAGCTGTTATTTAACCAGGCAAGTGGCCCTGGGGGAGTATTTGCAGCAAAAACACACATTAACACTCAGTCATGCTGCTGGCTATTTGTTTCTAGCCTTGTTTTCTTTTGCTCATTTTCAGGCCTTGAAGCAGCAGCAACAGAGAAACCAGCGCAGACAGGGAGGAATGCCAACCAGCTCCAGTCCCAGGCTGCTTCTGAAAACAATCAAAGATATGGCTGACAATATTACTACAAAGACAGGTAGGTGGCTTCTATTATATTGTACTTTACACTAGAATGAATGAATAGCTGCACATGTTCATAAAGAAGCCAAAGAGGTATTGTGTTGACTGATCTTTTTGTATATTGCACAAAGTTTTACGGTATTGTTCGGTTATAAAAGGTTTGTATTTGCCATGTGTTTGGCAGAATTAGTGTGGAAACAGTTGGCTCTCTACTCTGCAGTTTCTCAAAGCCTTTCCTTCTTCTTCTTTGACTCTACACAAACAGACTTATGTCACCCTGTTGTCCCAAGGAAGGTAACACAGAGGTCGGGCCGCCTCAGTGCAGGTAAGTCAGAGATCTGTTTAAATTTAAAGTAAATGGAAATCTTCAAGGACAGGTCAGGTGGTGTTCTAAATTTGTCTTACTTTTAACAAATCCCTTGAAAAGACCAAAACCAACAATGAATGAATTGACTCTCAACTGTTATTATATTGCAAGTGTTTGCATATTGTTCTAAATTTTATCCCAAACAGAAGATGGGAACAAAATTACAAAGACACATTACCTAAGGCAGTTGCAGCAAGTAAAGGCTCAGGAATTCTCTGTAAGAATTTAAACCAACCAAACACTTCCTACGAGCAACGTATTTTAGGAATTCTAATACGGTAATTGTATAATATAAGAAAGGAGACTTCTCACATTCATTACAAGTGCATCTCAGCTACATTTGACTGTTTCTCAGATACAGTTAAGTGTGAATCATCTTTTCATAAAGCTACAGTGCCCAGCTGTTCGAAGGCAATATTTAACTTAACTTAATCATCCATAGACTTCACTTGATTTGGTCTTCTCATAGAATTTGTTGACAGTAAGAAAATGTAGAAACAACTCCAACCCTATCTATTGAGGAAGTTAAAAATAATCTAATAGAGGGGTAAACCTACAGTTATCTTCCTTTGGCCTTGATAGAGTCAGCTGTGTCATTGAAACACTAGTGGAACAAAAACAGAGAGTAAATTACTCAAGACTTCAGTTGCTAGATCGACATGTTTCTACATTGCTGGATCTGTCCTCACTTACATCTGTTTCCTGTTTTGTGTTGCAGGGCATCTGAGACGTGCTAAGTGTACAATAGATGTGGAAACACCAGACTCCATTTTGGTAAACACCAACCTGCGGGCGATCATCAACAAGCACACATTTTCAGTTCTGCCCCCAGACTGCCAACAGAGACTGCTCAAACTTCTGCCTGAAGTTGACCAGCAGGTGGATAGAACATTATACATCCTATTTACTTTTCTGTTGTATTGTCTAGCTCTTTGTATTAGTTTGATGTTTTCAGACATGTAAAATAAGAGCTTTTGAATCATTTTAAACATATTTTACTGCAGTAAAATTCTATACAGCATTTAGTTGTGTTCCCTGATTCAAACTGCAGATAACATGGGAAGCAAAAGTTAATGTACTGATGCATTGATGGTTTCAGTGATGATGTAAGTCAAAACTTTGCCCCTCCTCTCTTCAGGCCTGCATGGACGGCCTTCTGAAGGTCACCAGTTCTGCCTTAAACAATGAATTCTTCACATCAGCAGCTCAGTCCTGGAAAGAGAGGCTGGCTGAGGGTCAGTGTTCTCATTACATAATAACAGCATTTAACATTGAGCGTTATAATTATGTCACCAAGGTTAGGTGTACATAGAAAGAGAGAAGTATAATGTAACCTTTCTTTTTTCTTTTCTTGTTATGTAACTTCTTCTGACAGGGGAATTTACTCCTGAGTTGCAGCTACGAATGCGGCAAGAAATTGAGAAGGAAAAGAAAGTTGAGCTGTGGAAGGAGGCCTTCTTTGAAAACTATTATGGTGAAAAGTAGGTCCTCCTTTGTGCGCTGAAGTTTTTGAGTATTGCCTGGATCACTAATCTGATCCTTAGGGAAGTTTGAAAACTTTTAGATTTATATTTCTTGAACAGCAAAAGACATTTCTTTCAACAAAAAAACCTTCAACCTACAGCATGTAGAAACAGCAGAATATCAGGCTTACTTACCCAAGTATTTTAAAGAAGTGTATTGATATTAAACATCTGTAATGTTCATATTTTTGATGTTAATATAACATCTCAACACTGAGTGATATACTGCATCCAAAGATTTTAAAGTTGTAATGTATGCCCTTCTGTAAATACCATCCACATATTCCAACACAACTTCGTATGTAACAGTTACTTCAAAAGCTAAATGTTTTATAAATCTCTTGGTCAAAGAATTATAGATTTATTTTGCCAACTGCTTTTTCTTTCTACCTCCCTTTTCCGTCTCTGCATAGTTCTGGGCTAAGCTTTGAAGATTCCAAAGAGCTGACAAAGGCTGATCGGCATCAGGAATTTGCCAGGTCCCATCAGACAAGGACTACTGCTCAGGCACCAGGGGAATCGAAGGGCACCAAGGACGGCCGACAGACTGATTCTGGTGCTTCTGTAACAGCAGTGAAAGACGTGAAGCCAACACAAGAGCTTCAGAAGACACAGCCTGCTCAGAAAGAATCGGTCTCCACCACCGAGCCCATGAAGACACGGCGCTCACACTACGCTGAGGAGCGCAGGTTAAACACAGCAGCACAGCCTGAGCCTGTAGTGGCAACACAAGAGGCTGAGAGACAGACTGAGAGGGAAGCTGTAGTCACTGTGCCTGAAAAGGTTCTCAAAAAGGAAGTAAAGGAGGAGAGAGCAGAGCTCCCCCAGTCACCTGAGATAAAGAGCAGTCCACCAAAGGCTAGTTCAGAGTTAAAAGAGGATCAGCCGGCATCTGTGGTGAAGCCTGCTGAGGAGAGCGGAAAGATCATCTCTGAGCCCAGTGGCCCCTCAGAGCCACAGAAAAGGAAATCTCTCAGTGAAATGGAGGGTGAAGTGACTCCAGAGAAAAGGCCCCGAATGTCCTCAGTTTCCTCATTGTCCTCAGTATCTTCTGTTTCCCCTCTGGCTTCTTCCATATCAAGTCCTGCAACGCCAACTTCTACAACGAACCAGAGGGTTCCACCACTCAAGGTATGCAACTTTCTCCTTGGATCTGCCTGTCCTTTGATAATCAAAAACTCCTCCCTGGAAATGCAGCTGTGACATGGTTACGCTTGGATACAAACTATTTTAATTTAACAAAAGTTACATATTTCTCTGATTCCTGCATTTCTCTGTAGTGCTCATTATGTACAGGGTTTTTATATGTAAATGGCTGATAAGTGTCCTTCATATTGAGAACGTTTTGGTTAATTTATTTGGAGGTTATTTCTGTTGACGTACACATGCACATTTGATATAATCTCTGGTTTTTCCACCCTGCAGATCCCGGTGTCACGAATACTTCCCATTCCCGTGTCACCCAGCCAAGTCTCACCCAGGACTCCTCTCAGCAGCCCGGGTCGCACAGGTGCTCGCACTTTGGCTGACATCAAAGCAAAAGCCCAGCTTGCTCGTGCGCAGCGAGCGGCGGCTGCAGCGGTATCAAAGGGGGCAGTGCCTGGCCCAGGACCAGGGGGTGGCAGGGGTGAGCAGCCATCACCCAGCCCAAGCCCAACATCCCCGCAGGCACCAACCAGGCTATCAGCTTCTGACAGCAGCAGCAACAGTCAGACCACTCCATTGGACTCTTTTGGTCAGATCAGCCCAAGTCTGTCTCAAACGTGTTTTTCAAGCAGAACTGACGATAAAAACAAAGGTCAATCTCCTGGTTCTGTCAGTGCAGGAAATCAGAATACTTCACACTCAACACTACCCACTCCTCCATCTGTGCACACTCTGAAGGGACACGAAAACCCTTCACCTGCTGGACTGTTAAGCAGGACCAGCTCCTGCATCCCTGCCAACAACCCCCTGGTTACACAGCTTCTGCAGGGTAAAGAGGTTCCTTTGGAGCAGATCCTCCCAAAACCGCTATCCAAGGTGGACGTAAAGATGTCAAATGTTCCCCTGGGTAGTAAGGGGAAGACTTCACACTCTGCTGAGCACAGGACTGACAAGCCAATGTCCCATCATTCAGATACAGCAGGAAGAGTGGGAGTTTTGTCTGACTACCCAAGACATCACAGAGAACTTCCTGATAAGGATACCCAGGAGCAGATCCTGCAGGCCCTGATGCAGAGGAAAGTCCAGCAGGGCCAAGCTTATGGAGTTATGGGGTCTCAGCAACATCAGTACAAACCCCATCAGCTGGTGCATGCAGAAGAGACTCCGGACCAGTCCAGGATTTCCATAGGATTTCTCAGTCGTAAAAGGACGCCAAGGCCTGCGATGACAGGACACTACCTGCTCAACGTGTCCACGTACGGCCGAGGATCAGAGAGCAGGAGACTGCAGCAGTCTGCCATCCCTAACACGTCAGTGTCCAGTTTAAAAAGGGAAAGCACAGAAGGAGAAGAGGCGGCTAAAGACGTAGATCTGGCCAGGAAAGTTTTCTCTCCTGTTTCTGGGGTCAAAACAGAGCAGCAGGGATTCTCAATAAGCAAATTTGACGAAGCTGTGAGTTTTCAGCATTGCTCCAATGTGAAGACTGAGCCTGGATTAGAGGACAGTGAAACTGGTGCAGAAAACAACAGCACCAATGCAACAGCCAAAGACACCAGCTCTTACTTTCTGCCACACCGAAGGCATCTTGAACTCTGCAATAGTAATCAAGGAAACTCCGAGCCATATATTAACCCATTAGACCCAAATCACCAGCTGCAGTCTGCCTTTCAAACCCAGAGAACGCACGATAATCAGGAACCCGTGGCAGCATCTTGCTACGGTGGCACTATCAGCATGTCTGTACCTCACACTTTGAACCACAGTACTGCGGGCACCGACTCTTCTGTGGCCTCAACAGAGGCTGACAGTGGTGTCATGTCTTTCTCAGTTACTGTCACCACCATCCCTGCAGGTCGCTCTTTAGACCATGGCAACCAGGGCGAGCCCTCCCCTGAGCAGTCGTTCATGGAGGGCTCCAACATGGACGATGTGCAGTCTAAATGCTACTGCCGACTGAAGGCAATGATCATGTGCAAAGGCTGTGGAGCCTTTTGCCATGATGACTGCATTGGCCCCTCCAAACTGTGTGTGTCATGTTTGGTTGTACGAATTTGAAGATATCAGGGTGTGATTTGTATTGAAGCAAGGCACAAAGCAGAAACAGGTCGCTCAGAATCAATACAAAATCAATGCTGTAGTGGAGCAAAATGATCCATGCTACAGCATGAGGGCCCTGTTGGAAAGACAAGGATTTACACTGGAAGGTCTTGTTTCACCAACATCTATGAACAGTTGTTTGTTGCAATCTTTTTGGTAGAAATGTCAGTTTTCAATCAAATCAGTAGTGTCAGATGTGTGACGAATATCGACTCTGGCAATGTTTGCACTCGGGTAGGATTAGTGTGATATATTTTTTTAAATATATACGTGTAGTTTTTAAAAAAGGAGGGAAAAATGAATGTTGCTATTTTTGTAGAACATAATGACTGTTGTGTTTTAGACTGACACTTTTTATTATTGGACCTAATCAGTTATGGTTAGAGGGAAGAAAAAAAAAGGGCGTAAATGATAATCATCGGTTGTAGAGTACCTCCTATTTGACATTTGTGCACGCATGGCAGGGAAGTGCAACTTACAGTTACTATTTTATATAAAAAAAATGTACATTTATTAATGAACACACTCAGATATAAGAATTAGGGAGAACATGTTAGAAAGATAATATAAAATTAATTTGAATGATACTGATATTTGTTCAGATTGCACATCACATGATTTTTTGACTTATAGCTGCAGGGCGAAGCACTTAAAACATAGCCTGGATCTATGGCAGTGACTGTGTACAGCACTTACACTCAGAGATTGGGGAAAAGAAAAATCAATAATATAAAATGCCTATATGTTTGTTTTTTTAGCAAATGAGATCTTTTTCCGTTACAGAATCAGGTCTAGAGTCACCTCTTACTGTGCTTACCTGCATTTTCTCCCCAAAAAGCCAGTTTGTAGATAGATTCTCCCATGAGGTGTGTTTTCTCACACTTGTGTGTCTGTACAAATGGATCAGCAGTGGCAAACACAGAATAACACTCAAGGCAATGGGAGAACATGGAGATACATTTTGTTTCTTTCTCTGTAAATATTAGCTCATTTACGGTATATGCGGAGATGTAGAAATGTATTTTTATTTGTGCAGCACACCTTGTTTGAGCATATCCAGCTGTTAATAACATAATTATTTTGACAGTGGAAAGGAAATAGAGAGCAGTAAGTTATGCTAAAACGCTAAATGCTGTTTTATCATGGGATGACAGAGCAAGGCATGCTTAGTTTTAAAAAATGATTTGGAGGTACAATACGACACCAATTACTTCCAGGTGTAACAGTTCACTTTAAGATGGCCTCTCAAGAGAGCGAATGTCAATGTCAATGTGTTTTGAAGCACTAAGTAATAATGCATCATGTTTGTTTAATGTACAACAATGTATGTGTGGCATGTGTGGGGTTAAATCAGCACATTATTGTGCATTATGCTGAACACTTACTTGACCACGATCAATATGGAGAAGGCCAGTGTGAAGAGTTACTGCTGCAAAGTTTTTGGGTGTTTGCAAATTAAGACACACAAACTTTATTTGGAATCTCCTGAAAGTGCAACGTGGCTGTTTTATAGCAATGACTTCAAAGGTTACATGCCAAAGTCACCTTAATGAAAATCAAAATAATCAGAACTTTTTAGTGTATCAAAGTAATATATTTTAGTTAATATATTTTAATATAAAAAAAAAAAATCTATTTGCTAATTGTTTTTGAAAATCAACAGGGTATGTATTTACAATGATAATATATTGGCTGTCCGTTTTTCCTATCATTTTGTTTAGACTGGAAAGACTAACGTGCAGAGAATAACTTGACTTTTTATAAACTAAAACTGCCCAGGTATCAATAATGTGCATGGCCCAGGGTTTTTCATTAAATCCGTTGGTCTGTGTATTTCTCATAGAGATGTTGTCTATTATGCATTTTATTTTTAGCTGTCTACATTTGTATCATTACCTTAAAAGATGACATTTTTAAAGCACCATTTTTAGGTCAAAGGATTATACCGGTAGTCCATTTTTAAATGTATTTGATATTAAATTGGGGGTTACGTCTTGTGGAATTGGTTTTAAGATTGTAGGGCTAGATTCACAAATTTAGCATAGTTGTTTCACTAAATCTGATATACCAATGTTTGAACACTTTTATTTTTATCCCTCATGAATATTTAGGACTCATTGGGTTGAGTGTGATGTGAAGATATACACATGTAGAGGTAGGGACTGGGTGGCACTGCAAAAAAAAGTTAACAAAAACATTTGATCACCCTCTAAAGGCAGCTGAAATCTTTGTTAATAATGACTGAAACATGCAGCAGTCCCCACTGTCACTAGTTACCTGCTGTGTGTTCATTAAGAGGATCGGTTTATATAAAGGGGTCGAGTGTCATGTGTAACCACCATCATTTTTGAAATGTCACCAACATCACAAGGTGAATTTGTTTAATATGTCTGTATCATTTCATCTCCATTTAAACTCCGGGTGAATGTAATATAGTAATCAGCACTTGTAAACAAAGTGTATTTTATCAAAAGTTATAGAATATTATGAATAAATAATGAAAAGAAAAAACATTTTGTGTATTTTCACTCTATCCTTTCTCACACAGACAGTGTAATAACCACTTAGAAACTCTGTGAAAACAGTCCTAATATGTAACGTCTACTTTGGCCCAGGATGATCTTCTCAAAATTGATCAATCTTGGATTGAGCAATAAAACGCAAAAGCAAAGAAGCCTTACACAAGCTTGAGGAGTTGGTTTGAAAGATGTGTATAGGAGCATGAGAACCAGACTGTCAGCTCATGCTTTGGTCCCTCTTCAGTGCACACTGATTTCCATCTGACCTGTTTTTTGGTCGGGCCAAACCTTACCTATACAGAGCAGGTTTAATATAAGAAGATGGCTTCCAATGATGTGGGACATTTTGAATCCTGTATCATATAATATTGACAGAAGTTCACTTTAAATACTAATGTTGGCTGCTGAATCATATCATGCCAAATTAATTTGATGCTAGAACAAGATACCTATAGCTTCACATCCTGCCACTGTGTCACATATTTATTAGCTCTGATTGGTTGTTGCTATCAGGCCGTTTTGTTCAGTGGCTGTCGAAGGGTACAAGCTCTTCTATGGCTTGTTGGATCAGTATGAAAATCTAGAGGTTGATTTATCAGTGAGGAAAAAAAAGTATGCCTTAAAGAATATCCAGTACTAGTGATAAAGACAGTGTTTTTGCATGTCTATATCATATAATAATAAATAATATATATTATAAAACATAATTTCTCTCAAAGAATGACACAATAGTAAATTTAAGAATGAGGTAACTTTCCCACACAGATGTAACTGTGATGCAGTTTGGGAAATGTAGGAGACAGCGGTTTTAGAGCTCCCAAAGTCAGGTTGTCTCTGGCTCTGCTGCTTTGAATTCATTCATTCTCATTTTTATTTGCCTCCATTGATTAATTGATCCAAATTTATGAAAGGATTCATCCAAATGTGAGGTTGGCACTTTAAAAATACATTTTCTCTATTTTCCTGTTCCATCAACGCACTTTTATGAGACTCATAATTCAGAGAGCAGTAATAGTAGTAGTGCGCCTTTAACCAGCGTGCGTGCGCACAAGCGTAAAGTATAGTAGGTGTTCGCGCATGGCATCTCCGTGCCTGCTCGCGCTCTGCTCTGCTGTCCTCTGCCGTCGGGTCGCTGATGATGCCGCGCGGAGCGGGGCGCTCGTACGTTACTGTGTGCGGCTACAACCGCAGTTCCCCAGATTGAAGTCGGATGAAACGGGAGAGGAGGCTGAAATACAATGATGGATCATCGGAGCTCTTCCTCATCGCTTGGACAGCTGTAACGTCGGCGGACACGCGCTTGGATTCATCAAAGGTGAGAGTGAGGCTTTGAATCACGGAGGAAATATCCTCCTTAGTCGCCCTGGACCACTTATCCTCCTCATCTGATGCTGCTGCTGCTGTTGCGATGATGATGATGGTGATGCTGTAAACGCAACCTGCGTGATTTTCCTCCGTTAGAGGCCAGTTCTCTGCTCTCCCTCTTCTTCGGCTCATGAGAAAGCAGTGTGAAATAAAGATGCAGGATTGCCTTTGTTTCTTTCCCCAAATTTTATGGGCATCACGACACAGCATTCCCATTGCGGAAACAAAGTAAATATGCAGTTAAATAGCAATATGGCTGTCTTTGCGCGCTGCTGTCGCTTCAGGAGTGAATATTTAAGTATTGCAGGATGGCTCGGTGTGAGAAATGAGGCTTGGAGAAAGCGAGAAGTGAATGATATCAGCGGAAGGGAGGCACTGCAGTAACACAGTCCTAATGTTGACTCGCGTCAAAGGATGTTGTCATTACCTCCCAGCTGAAGGTGCGGTTACGGTTGAACCTCTACGGGCCTGTTATCAATAATACACGGTCTTGCTGTATGAAAAGGGGATGATATCGAAATTACTCTGAGATTTAATTATTTATGTGTAAATTAGCGAATGCATTTGACTAATAACCCAATGAATTCAGACCTTACTCACACTGTTTCTGGACTGTATACACTCACAGTCTATGAAGAGCTTGTATCTGGGTCTTTATCTTACATTAAATAGTCAACTCATGTCTCCAGCTGTCATTTCCTGCCATGCACTGCTTCCTTTTCTCTGAACCCTGCTCGACAAAGCAAAGGCCTGAGTTGCCTACTCATGAATTTCTGCAGTTACTTCATAGGCTGAATATTTACAATGAACCATTGTGGTGTTTTGCTGACATGAGTCTGCTGGGTCTCCCACTGCAAATATTCTCTACACCAAAGTACAGCAGAGCTTCTCTGATACTCATCACTTCAAATATGTACAAATACAGTGTGTGTGTGTGTGTCTCCATATAGGAGACAATTTAATATGTAATGAGCCTGTTCATTTGTCATCTCCCACTGTCCTGACTGGGTTGCCTTCGTTATGACCCCCTGAGCTACAGAGAGTTGTATCATTTAGTTGCTGTCATATCTGGTGGTGGTGAAATCAGCCGAAACAGTTGGTCAATGAATCAATAAGTCGCTCAACAAACAATGACAACGTTATGCGAATTTGATCATTTACAAATGATTTTATACATTTTACAAGCAAGCATGCAACTCATACTCAGTTTTCCAGTGATTTAAAGTGTTAGTCTTTCCTTACACATTTTTAAAACCTATATTTTTATTATCTACTAATAATGTAGATAAATGTTTGATGTTATCAAATGTTTTGCTTAGTTGATCAACAGTCAAAAACAGACTAGTGAAGAACACAATTCTCACATTTGAGACACTGAAGCCCCTGACTGTTTGGAAATGATGCTTTAAAAAAACGTCCAAAATGAAAACAGGATTTTAAAAATAGTTGCTGATCAGCTCTGTGTTTAACGTCTGGCAGTGCAGCTCCAGTGATTGGACTTGTATAAAATGTACTTGACATAAAGATGATGTAATTTGATGACAATTGTCAGTAAAGACGGTAGTTCCTTCAGCTGGGTAAATGTTAGCTGTTGCAGAAATAATCTCAGGTCCCCTACCACCATGGTAAATAGGTTTCTTTCATGTCTAATATTTATGTATATCATTTAAAAAAAGAAGCTCTTCATTAAAGAAAAGTCAGGGATTTAAGATTTGTAACGTTTTTCATGCTCAAACTGTCAGGTACTAGTGACTTATGTGATGACTTAGTGGCCTGACACAAAAACCTGAAATCAGACCCTTGTTTTAACCCTGATTATAAAAACTACTGTTTGAATGAAGTTGAACTATAGCTTGAATTGAACACTGTCAGTGCATTGCTTTCTTTTTAAGACCAATGGTGATGCCTCTGATAAACAATATAAAGCGTTTTATCGTACAAGAGAGTAACAACAAATAGGTTCTGCATAACAAAAGATCCATATGAGAAGACAAAGTGTCTCTAAAGCTAAACTTACTGCAGAAAAGAACAAAAGATAAGGAAATCCACTCTTAATAAACACCCCAGACCTTTGATTTTTGCTCACGCTCTGCTGGTCAGCTGATCCCTCAGCCCACGCACTGTCAGTGAACGCACCTTGTGAGCATGCATGTGATCCTCTCATGTTTTTTTTTCGGGGTCCTTCGGGCCGAGGCTGTCCACTGCACCCAGAGCTTCTCCCTCATTGGCCAGCTGTGCCGTGCTCCGTGTCCGTCATCATTAAGCGGTTCGTCTGCAGCTCGGTCGGTGTCATTAGCCCACAGGATGCAGTCACTGCTGAGTGCCATGTCATGGAGAATTATCATTTGCACAGACCACGGGCGCTGGAGTGTTTTCCCCAGTCAGCTCACCGATATCTCTACATGAAAAGAGGGAGGGGAAACAAAAGCACAAATTGAGAGTTAATGAAGTCCTTGAAGGGAAGAGAGAGGAGGAGGAGGAGGAAGAGGAGGAGGGGAGGGGGGGGGGGGGGGGTGTTAATTACTTATTTAAAAGTCAACTACATTTTGCTGGCCAGGAAAAGCTTATCTCATGTAGAAAGGCATCCTCACTAACTCTTTGAATGTGTTTTTCTCTTCACAGGGTCGACGTTCAGGACTCCACTCTGTTTGACATTCAGCCCGGGACAGGTAAAAACACTTTTAATCAGCTAAAAGTCAAGTCTGAAAAGTAAAGGGCATAACTTATGTAGTCAAAGACAAAGAGTGTCTGTCACCTAAAGGCTAGAACAAAGAACTACTTTATTAAATAAAACTACACATTCATATTGATGTTTTATAAGTACACAGGGTCATTTTAGCCTAAAGAGGAATTGGAGATAACTATTTTAAATAGAAATTGACCCGTTCTCTGAAGAATAAACCCTTTTCGCCTCATGTAAGCCCACTTTTGTCACTGACATGACACTTTCTGTGAAACAGAAGAATGACAGAATAAATGAATAAGGCAAACTGTACTGTTTTCAAAGAGAGGCCTGTCAAATACTGTAAGGAAACAAGAGACAGATAGGAACAACAAAACCTTTTTGAAAACACACAACAGCGCAAACTTTGAAGTTGAACGAGATGTCAGCACAAAAGTTTAACTTACAGATGTTCAGTTGATGTGTATTGTTGTTCCTGCAAACTGCAGCTGATACCTGCTCTTTTTAAGATCCTGCCTTTCTAAGATGAAAGCCTTTGTGCAGATGTTTAAACACAAAGTTCAGAGTGTAAACCGAAGCTTGATCTTAATATAAGTTCAGTTGCCTTTGGATCAACCTTTGATTTACCATTACCTGAATGACAGCCCAAACAAAGCTAATCTAAGCTAACTGAGGTAAGTGAGGACCCCAGCCTCATATTTAGGAACCTGAGTAAAACCACACTTCTCATCTAATGTTTTTTTTTTTCGTGCATTTACAAAACTCCTGAAGATTTTCTGAAAAATTCTGGAAAATTAACCACAAGCAAGCAAAGTGGTTCTAATGTTTACACCACTTTATCTGTACAATCGTGTGTGACTTGATTGTCACTGTATCTCTTTCACGTCACATCTCTGCCTCTTGAGACCCCAGGGACCCCGCACATATCTTACAGGTTGCAAGCAGATGGTCGTGCCATGATCCCAGGGAATAAACATCACCACCCCTCCCACTAGCTCAAGATTAATTCTCTTGAATATACTGTATGCTTATGCGTTCTCATTCCAGCTCTCTCGGACTATCTTCAGAAAAAAAATGCTAGGGTGCTGCAGGGGAAACTCCTGATAAAATCTGAATAAAAATAATGATAAATAAATGTGGCTGTTTACTCATGCAGCCCGACCCAGAACACTTAGAAGGTTTTCAGGAATTTTGTGCAAGTGTGAAAGCACTTTGAGCAACTCAGGTAGATTTCAGGGGGGGGGGGAAGCCGTCCTGAAATGTTCTAGAATTTTTCAGGAGTGCATGTGTTAAACAGCTTTAGCATTGACAACTCAGCCAACAAGCATTTTCCCTAAAATGTTTAACTACTCCTTAGAAAAAGTCACATTTTTGGAACATCTACTTTCATTAGTTTCTACTGTGGACCTTCAGTGCATGTAGCATCCTAGACCTTACATAGTTGCTTACTATGAACAATTGCTCTGATCTGTTGGCCAACATAAGTATAAACAGTCACTCGTTTAAATTTAAGTTGAAATTTATCTCACTATCCTTTCAGCATCTTCAAACACCACCCACATGTCTGTTATGTTTTTAAGAGTGAATTAGATGAAATAAACTCGGAGATAAATGTATTTATAGGCTAGCTGTTTTTTTTCCAAATATAGGCAGATTTTTATCCACAATATTAAATGAAATGTTCTTCCTCAAACTGATTTAATTACCTTTTAGAAAGCCAAATATATCCACTTACATGTATACAACAGCTGGTGTGATGACTAATCCCTGTTCTTGATGTATAGGGTTAACAATACTATTTCCCTTTTGGTATAACACAGTTCATTAGCTCACATGCGCTGACCACATCACAGGTGAAACGTATACTGCACCAAGCTCCTCTACATTTAGAAGATGTTAATTTTTGATGTACATTCAGTTTTCACACAAATCCTCTTCATTTGCAGTGTATTTGCATGACTTTTAACAATGAAAAGTGCTGTGTGTTGCATTGACCAACATACTGCTGTCTGAACGGTAAGCACTGTATGCTCTGCTGTCTGATATGCCGCAGGATGATCGAGGAAGGCAGTAAACGAGGCAAGGCCATGGTGGAGAAGAGACAGCTCTTCATGGAAATGAGTGAGTGGAGTCGACTGAGGGAAATATCTATTCACTATTCATAGTCAGCAGAGGCTCGTGTGATTCTCTGACTGGCTCCAAGTTGCACAGGAGATATGTGGTCTCTAACACGTACAGCATAATAACTCCCACACAAAGACAGAGACAGTGTTCTAAAAATGCTAAAGTGAGCCTGGATGTAGTTGGGAAGAGTTTAAATATAGGAAAAGCTTCAATAGAGATGTGATTTTGTTATGTTTGTATTTTCAGGAGCTCAAAACTTCGATGTAATCAGACTGTCGACTTACAGAACTGCCTGCAAACTCCGATTTGTGCAGAAGAGATGCAACCGTAAGAGCATGCAGATCCCTAAAGATTTTTCTGTCTTCCAACTGCAGTGACGATGAGTAACCAATGGTGACATTTGTTTCAACATGGACACTTCTGGTCTATTATCCCCCCCACCCCCCACACAGTTCATCTGGTGGATGTCTGGAACATGATCGAAGCGTTTCGTGACAACGGGCTGAACACATTGGACCACAACGCTGAGATCAATGTGTCGCGGCTGGAGACGATCCTGTCTTCCATCTACTACCAGCTCAACAAGCGGCTGCCCACCACACATCAGATCAATGTGGACCAGTCCATCGGGCTGCTGCTCAACTTCATGGTGGCCACCTACGACAGGTAAGGAACAGTTGCTGAGTGTGTAAGAGTGTTATTATTGGAATCACTGTGGTTGCTTGTGGCTTTTCGGTGGCATAGCTGCAGACGCTAGATCAAAAAAAAAAAGCAAAGAATTAGAGGCTCATTAGCAGACAAGCTACTTGTCTACATGTTTGTTTTTTTTTGTAATATTTATTGGCAGCAAAAGGTGGAATGCTTTCATATTTTCACAACAAAAAGCAAAGATTAAAGACAAATCATAGTTTTGATGGCTGAAATGTTTGTTTTTTTGTGTGCCCTACATCAGCGGTTCTCAACTGGTCTATTCTCAGGACCCACCACCAGCTCTTTAATGGAAAAAAAACACCAAAGTTTCTGATATTTTTCAACCAACTAAATGTGGTTAATGAAAAACCTTTCAGTTTTGGTACCAAATGTGAAAGAACAAAACAAACATGAGGCACAGGCACACACTTGCGACCCAGTTGAGAGCCGCTGCTCTACATATGGTCAATAATCTCACAGCCCTTCAGTATAATTTGTTACCTCTTGTGGAGGTCTTCAAGGGATGCAATGATCCAGCTTTTTTAGTTGTGACTCAGACGTCCTAACTTTAAGTGCTGGCCGGTATAAAGTTCTGTATCAGTTACTGTAACTTTTATATGTGAGTCAACACAATGCTGATGTTTACATCGCTTTCCTAACTTTGTAAAACAAAGAAGAACAAATCAACACATAAACATTGAAAACATATATAAAAAGTAGACGTATAAAAAAAACAATTTTAGATGAATAACGGAACCATCTGAACCATTAGGCCACAAAGTGTCAGTCAGGGGTGCTCCTCTGTAATTTCTGTCTCTTCCACTTTAGATAGAAGGTTTAGATGTCTTTAGATGCACCTGGTAAAGTAAATGAATTCCTTTTTTTCTTGTGGTTGAACTTGTCCTGTTCTTTGCCGTGATGCCTCAGGAGGTGTTTGATTAGGTGGGTTTGTTTTGAGTATAAGATTTAGTGGCTCAGGATGTTCTCCTGCTTGCCTGATTACCCGAACATTTGATTCAATATTTGAGCAATATCTGATATCAGTAGAGATCAGTCTTGACCCTTTCACCTACATACCTATCAAGACCTGGGGAGAAATCCTTTTCTGGATTTCAAGAAAACATACCCAGCACTTTTCTCATTGCTTGCTACTCTGCAAACAATCCATTCAGCCAGGTTTTAACCCCAGAGTAAGTGATAAGCAGAACATTATTGGAACAAAAACAGATCTCCTGCTCTCTGTATCACACCCGGATAGAAAAGTGTCTCCGGTGATGATTCACTGTCCATCCCACCTCATAATATCTCTGCTGCTCTGTGCTCAAAAGCCTCACACACTGTCCTTCCTCCAGTATAGTGCTTTATTATTGACCGTGAAGCTCTCTCTCCCATTATTGTACCTTGTGTGCTCCGATTGATTGGCTGCTTGCCCTGCCCATTCATTGACCCGTTCAGTTGGTTTACTTTTATCTGTAAGGCCACTCCAGCCTCGCTCTGTTTTTAAGCACGCTGCTGTATCTGTGGGAAACTTTGTGGAAATGACCGCCTGTGATCACAGGAAGCAGTTTCACTATCTATCCCCGAGGTCCAAACTGAATTATAGGCAGAAGAGCTTTCATGTACGCGGTTACCTCTGCTCGGGATCAGCAGCTAAATGAATGCGAAATGAAAGAGCCGCTCTCTGATGGCGAGTTAGAAAGATTTAAGGAGTCTTGAGTCAGCTGTAGAATGACCTGGATACACCCAGTTAATCTGTGATTTAAGGATTAGCTCGTGATTTTTAACATTTTATACACTAGCTGTGAAAAACGCCACTGATATGTTTCAACTGTAGTTTGCCAGAAGCAGCATGCTGTTTGTCATGATGTCATTGTTTTCATTCTGTGGAACAATGACTACACAAATAAGAAAAAAATGGAAGTGCTGCAACCACAAATGCAGATTTTGTCTGACAATAGTTACAAAACTCAAAGAACATGGTCATGTCTTCCTCATCCCCTTTGCTGAATATGGATTCCATACTACTTAATTGATAACATTATTCAAACCTATCACATAAATACATTTGTAAAAGGCAGATAACACTTTGTCATCTACACGTGTGCAAATATCAGCTGCTTGGAATAAAAAACATTATAAACATCAGAGTCTAAAAGCATGAAGACATTTTTACTTTTTAGTAAGAAAGTCACGTCTGACATTATATGGACATGCATGTTACATGCTGGTCAAACCGATTGCTTGTTCATGTGTTCTTTTCTAGTTGAAAATCGAATGTTCGTTCTCGGCCCATGCTTCACATTTACCCCCAAGTTTCATGAAAATCAAGCGTGTAGAAAATCAAACAATCTGCAGCACAAGTATGACTTCTTCAGAGGTGATGATGTAATTCCTCAGCATTGGATTTGACTGGTTATGAAGATTTTATAAATCTGAGATTAAAGTAATTTTTTTACAAGTAATTATCCTCTTTATGTCAACGATTGTTGAAAGTGTTTCCTCTTTTAGGCATTTTTTCCTCTATTATTACTACTTGTTTGTGTGTTTCATGCTTTGTAAAGCACTTTGTGATGTCGGTTTGATAAGTGCTACACTTATGAACAATCACTATTATGAATTGGGTCTTTGTTTAACCTGCTGAACAGCAGCCCACTTGAACCAGATGATGCCAAATGAGACAGAGAGATGCTGTAACAGCAGTGAACAAAAGTGTCTTTTACTACCTTTTCAATCTTTCAATTCTAAAACTAACATTTTCTTATTTATTATTTAAAATGTCAACTAGTCTCACTTTTAAAGAATGAAAAAAAATTCAATTTGTTTCTATTTGCAGTGAGAGCCATGGGAAGCTGACAGTGTTCTCAATGAAAGCCATGTTAGCAACAATGTGTGGAGGGAAAATAGTGGACAAACTACGCTGTGAGTACATTTGATGTTTCCTCACATATGCTATGTAGGAAATATTATTTAAACATATGTAGGGAGCTGCATTTTGATATTAGCTGTAATCATCTTTTTCTGATGTTCTGTAATCTGATGTTATTGCTTTCTGCAATTTTGGAGTATTTGAGACGTGACCGTCTTCATGTAGTTGCTTGAGTTAAACACACAGTGGCGCTGTTGCCACATGTCTGCAGAATTAGTATTGTGCATATTTTAACTTTCTGCTGAGCAAACAAGACTGTCTGGGGATCCATAATATGCAGTCACAGAAATGTCAAAAGCCCACTTTGCACTCTGAGTTCGCTTAGAATATTAAGTCTGACATTTGCTGTCTCAGATATTTTCTCGCAGATCTCTGACTCAAGTGGAGTCATGATGTTTGCAAAGTTTGATCAGTTTCTGCGGGAGGTGCTGAAGCTCCCCACAGCTGTGTTCGAGGGCCCTTCTTTCGGTTACACAGAGCACTCGGTGCGGACGTGCTTCCCCAGCAGGTAGGAAGAGAATATTGAACCCCACCTCATCCTCTTTTTCTTCTTCTCATCTTTTAAATCCCTAATAACTTACTGTATGCCCTGTTTGTTTCTGTGTGTTTGTATCTAGAAGAAGATCATGCTGAACACATTTCTAGACGTGTTGATGGCAGACCCTCCCCCTCAATGCCTCGTATGGCTACCACTCATGCACAGACTTGCTAATGTTGAAAACGGTAAGATCTGGACTATTTACAGTAACATGTGGTTACTGAAGAGATTGTAAAGGAAGGAATCTTGCTTGTTCAAATTAAGAGAAACCTGGATTTGAATAAAAACAGTACATCTACTTAATGGTTCCAAGAGGAAGTTTTAAAACACAAATAGGACTTCAGATTTGTCTGAGGTTGATCTCTCTGACATATGAAACTGTCTCTGAAGAAATGAAAATGTAAAGTGTACTTTTTAAAATGAAACCGTATAAGGATATTGAAGTAAAAATATCTCTTTCACATATTTATTTTTTACTTTCCACTCATTTTTAGCCTTAGTTGATGCCGATATCAATTCCAATGTTTGCTTTTTTTTCCTTCAAAAATGAACAATATGGAAGTTTGAAACCACTGTCTTCTTCTTTTTGTAGTTAGAAGGTACCTGGATAGTACAAAAGATATTTTTTAAGTAAAGGTGTCACCGCTCTTACAGAAAATCTTTGTTGTTCCTTTTGTCACTGCTCTAGTCTTCCATCCTGTGGAGTGTTCATACTGCCGCAGCGAGAGCATGATGGGTTTCCGGTATCGGTGCCAGCAGTGCCATGGCTACCAGCTTTGCCAGAGCTGCTTCTGGCGTGGCCATGCTAATGGTCCCCATAGCAACCAGCACCAGATGAAGGAGCACTCATCGTGGGTAAGACAAAGTCCTGATGGCTCTAAATTGTATTTATAACATGTTGTTCCCTTTATGAAACAATCAGAAAGTCAATACCTCAGTGAGAGTGTGGAATGATTTTGCATTACAGCTGAGCAATTCCTGTCCTCTCAAAAAGAGCAATACAGGAGGGATTTCATGGGCTTTCAATCATTTTGGTTAATTAAATTGTATTGATGGAATTTGCAATGTTGCCTGATCAGTATGTTATAAATCGAAACAATGGGAAGTGATAGACAGGGGATCCCAAATCAGACTCCCTCTTGCATTTCACAGAGAACATGTAGTGCTCATGAAACACAAAACTATCTCTGTAATTAAAAAAAAAACATTCATGACATTTATCATGAAGGTTAGGTGGATGAGTCTTTTTTGGATGTTCTCCCACCTTGAAGACAAACTGGTTTAAATCAGAGCCTGAGGAATACATACCTTTTTTCTGGTACTAAAATCTACCTGTAATGCTTGATTTTTGCATTTTTCAGCTATTTTAATCTGTCTTTGCTAAGGCTGCAGCATCACTGACGAAACACTGTTTCTGTTGCTGCTACGTTTAACTCGTGTTTTATTTGACTTTAAAGGGTAAAGGCGACTAAGATAATCTAATAACACAATCCAATATGTTGTGTTTTAGATTTGTAAATTACAGTTTTACTATAATAGATCATGTTCTCAGTTATCAATATAACATGAACACAGTATATTAGAGTCATAGCAATGCAGGTTTGGGATCATGAGACAGTCACTAAAACTGCATGTGAAGTAGCACAAAAAAGCACTCACAGAATCTACTCAAACCATGGCTGATTCACACTTTGACACAGAAAACAATCTGTTGACCCAGTTATGGTAATTACCTCTGAAAGCTGCTTAAAACTGTTTCTGCCATTCCTACACCATGACAGCAGTGCGTACATACAAAACACAAAGGTGACACATTCTATGTTTGGTCCCGCCCTCCTCACAGAAGTCGCCGGCCAAAAAGCTGAGCCATGCCATCAGTAAATCTCTGGGCTGTGTCCCCATTGGAGAGCCGCCGCATCCTGTGTTCCCCGAGCAGGCGGAGAGGCCGCAGGAGCTCACCCACACTGTGTGAGTCCCATTCACAAAGTATTTATCACCACTATGTGTGTCATTCACCAGGGAAACCCAGCTAACAACACAGCATGGCTCAGTGTGCTCATGATCTACAGTCTGTTCTTGTCATGTTACAGCCTCCGCCTTTCCATTCCTCTGTCACTTCATGACTAATGGAGAGCCATGATGCTAAGATGTCAACCCCATGATTATTTGCTAACGCAGAAATGGTGATATACTGGGCGGGTTCAGCTGCACTCGCCTGCATCAAATTGTTGGCAATGAAACAGGGATGATGGTATAAATCTCACATACAGGCTTTGGAAGTCATTATAGGAAATGCATTATATCATTTTCAGCTGCTGTCTTATACCCTGCACACTCATTTACATTTCAGTTTGATTTCCATAATCAATTCCACCACAGAGATACATACAAATCTTTACACATTGCTTCAGTAAATTCATTTTTTCTGACCAGAGTTATGCAAAATTCCGATGTTATTGGCCCCCACAAAGAATAAATGGAATAATAATTCAGTTAAAGGAAGTGATTAATGATTTTAGCTTGTTCATGGCCTCAATAGGATCACTGGAAATTGCTCAACTTTCTCATTTGAGCCGTCAACTTTCCTCAATGCACATTTCATAACAAAATCCTGCTTCATATCCCCGTCACGACCATAAATCTAAGCTTGTGTGTGTATGCCTTTGCTGCTGGCAAGTGTCACTGAGTAATTGATAGTGAGGGGAGAAAACCAGCTCAGCCAGCGCCAAGAAAAATAGACACAGCGTGAATACATCACAATGATTTTGTGTTCGGCTGCGTGATTGCTACCATCATCTCTGAATCAGTTCTCACATCCATCCTCTGCCCGCTGGCCTGAGGTTTTTTTCTCTTCTGCATTGTGTCAAAACGTATGCATTTAAGATGAAGTTTACATTTGCATACATTTACAATTCATCACATCACAAAGAGTCAGCCGTTCACTTGGATCTTTTTTTCATCCAGCTGAGACATAAAGCGCTTGGATAAGCGTGTGATGTAAGCTGTGTAGTATGAAATTACATCACATGAGTAGATTAATGTTGTTTAAAATAACATTTGTGGCTCTGAGAGTCCTCAGCATACAATAATCCATGTTGCTTATTTTTGCCATGCTGATTTAGACAGTTAAGTCCCTAAACTCTTCTGTCTATTTGGTTCAGATTCAGATTCAGATTCTTTATTGTCCCACAAGGGGAAAGTTGCGTTGCAACAGGAGCACACAGAGGACCAGAAACACAAGGACAACATCACCATAGATCATAAACTAAAACGAATTTTAAAAAAATCAGACAACACAGCAAAAATATAAAACCATTGGTGCCATTGGTTACTTTGATATTTTTATGACAAAAGATGCTTTTTTCAAATCGTAACCATGATAATAACCAGTGAGTTATTTTCAGCAGTTTGTAAAGATATACATAAACTCAGGTACTTGTACACATTCTTTGTTTAGGTTTTATGTTTACATTATGTCCTAATTATTCTACTTGGTACTTCTCCTGTATGTCAGAGAAAACATAATCATTTTCAATCCATATAAATTACCGTAAGATATCATGATGTCTAAATAGGATCTTTATGCTCCATAAGAGAGAAAAAAATTCTCCGTTCAATTTTTCAGATGGTATAATTTTCTTTTGAAGGCCTAAAGCGGTCATATTATCCATTTTTTTTATTTCATAATTCTATAATAAAAGCAAAGATTAGAGAAAAGTAAAAAGAAATGATGCAGATTTATACATCAAACGCTTGTTTTTCTTATTTCCTCTCCCATTAATTATTTCTTATTTACAATGATTTCTTATTTATCTTGTGAGTGATGAGTGGGAGCTCAAACCCCAGTGTGTGGACCATGGGACTAAAGTTTTTACAAAGTCTGTTTAACTTCTATTAACTAATTAAAAGCGGCTGCAACATTAAAATGCTGAACACAAACTGATGCATCAGTGTTAATGATTTAAATTTGAATAAGTGGCAGATTTTTGTGGCACAAAACAATGTTTTTGCTTCTGATAGTTAAAGCTAATTTTGTTGAGGGTGCCTTTAAACGTGATTAGAATTTGAAATGGAGACCTTTTGCTTGTATTGGAAGTCTTTTCAGATTGTTATTGAAGTACGTTTTTGAGGTTATAAATCGAGGAAAATCCTTTTGTCTTTATGTTGTCCTTTAAGATTTTAATGGACAAATGGCCTTTTCATGCTGTTGCAGATGGCATTTCAAGGTTGGTGGCACTACAGTATATGTGTGTTCAGTGACTTTTGTCATAATGGATGTGACTGTTGACCCCTGGGACTTGAGGTATATTTCTTTGTCTCTATTGTTATATCTGGGAGGGTGTATACAGAAACTCCTATTCTTGGTTCCAGCTGTGATTTTGTGTTTTAATATTGGGGGGGGGGGGGGGGATAGAGGTAGTACCTGACATCAAGCATGAAAAACTCTCTTTTTTAAACATGACAACCATACAAATATGTTTTCATTTGTTACTGTGAATATCTTTGATTGTAAATAATTTCATTAAACCAATCAAATTCATAGAAAATGTCTTCACACAGATTGAACTATTATCTGGTTTGTTTAAGGAATACAAAAACACTTAGTAAAATGACAATTTGTGGGTTTAAATACAAGAACAAGCTATGAGAAAGTTAGCTAATGAATGTTGAAACAGGGCTGAAGTGCTAGATTGTCTTTAGAGTCATTGACTACATGCTACTTCTTGTTCATCTTATACATTCAAAAACAAATATTTAAGAGCAACAAATGTTATTAAGTTACTGCAACACAAACTAGCTACAGTAGCTAGTTATGGCTAACAAGTGTAGAGTTGTTATTTGCTTTACAAGTTAACTTATTACTAAACATAAACCTGAGTGCCTTTATGTCTTTACACTTTCGAGAAGATGGCAGTCAGGTTAGATTGTGTTCCCTTCAGACAGAGCTAGGCTAGCTGCTTTCTGTATTTGCACTTTTTCCCCTAAAGCTAGTAGCTAGCCGTAGTCCCATGTTAACTCATAGGATTGACAGCAAGTTGAATCGTCTTATCTAACCCTCGGCAAGAATCCAAATTATCATATAAATCCCCAAAAGCTCCTGCAATCCAACCTACCAATTTTAAATATTTCTCTTGCACTCTCTGTAGCCTTTAGCCACAAGGAAGAGCTGACATTAACGTAATAATTCTCATTTTTAAACAGTCTTTTTCAGAGAAATTAGGGGTGAATACAGTAATTTTCTGTCCAGCACTCCCATACTGATTTCTCGGCTGGCTACAGAAATATTCCCTCCAACCGTATCCCTCGATAATTAGTCACAGGAAAACTGCCAAGACTCCGATATTATTCTACTCTGACTTGATTTTATTGATGATTCATAAGCGAGGGGGAAATGTGCTGTTGGTTTTCTAAAAGTAGTGCCGCTAGGTGCCAATGTTGATGAATGTTGTCTGTGAGGAGGTGTTATTTAACGCTGTGAACCAGGAGACATCCATCACAGTTGTCTCTCTCTCTCTCTCTCTCGAGTGTGTGTGTGAGAGGCTGAGGAAGCGAGTGAGTAACAATGGCAGAATCAGGGTAGAGCGTCAAGTGTGATCAAAACTCAAGAATCCAACGGACAGGAGTCTCCCAGTTGTCCCAGCTCGCCTCTCAGCGCCCTCAGTCAAAGTGAAGCCATTCTGATTCAGTTTTGAAATATTTACGGGCATCTGAAAGCAAAGACTAACACCGAGCTGAGCTGTGAATTTCTCCCTCCACTCAAACTGTCAGCTAGATTCTCGGGGATTTGTGTTTTGGAGAGGAGTTATAGGTTTGGGATGCACCGTCTGTCTCAGGAACTTTAAATCTATGAAACGTCTTCCTACCTTCAGACTTAACACCACTTCTGCCAAAGACTCTAAGCACCAAATATTCGAACGGAAGAGTTGAAAACAGGCTCCTACCTTACTGTACTTTGCATAAAAATGTCAAATTCTCAGTGCCGTGTTTAGCTTTTTCCAATTTCCCACTTTCTACATAATCCCCAGAAATCCTTCCACAGTTTTTCAAGTCCAAGATCAACTTTTTTCTTCCTCGGTTCTCCATCTTTCCTTATTCTCCAGGTCAATACTAACTCCATCAATATCATTAAAATGGAGAAAACAAGTCTGTTAGTCACTTCTCTCTGAGCGCGATCCATTGGGTTTTTATGGCCAAGGTACTGACAGCCTCCCGGGGAAACAGGAGCACCTTTGCCAGCAGCGAGAGGGAGAGGACGCTTCATGTTTGTGTATTATTTTTAGCCTACTGAGGGCGATTGAAGGCAGCCATGCATCTGTCGTTGTCGGAAAATAAGGTGAATGTGTGTGTATGTGGACTTAATTCCCCCCCCTGCCTGTACCCCTGCCAACTGCCAAGTACAAGTAAAAGGGTGGAACATTGTGATTCGCTGCACGCAGGTAGCACGAGGCTTAGCGCATTGCAGACTTTGATCTCTTAGTTCCTTAAATGTTGTGTCAGTTCACTCTGTGTTTGACCTCTGGGGCAGCGAGAGCGATGTGAGTCCTTAATGAACATTTCTCAAGTCAGTGGAGCACGGGGCTGCGGACCGGGATGTGAATGAGTTAGGACGTCTGGTGGACTTTATCCAAAATGAAATACTTCTAGAACATCAAGCTTTTACATAAGAGAAATCAACTTTTTTTTACTGCACCCTACTGTTTCAATGGGAGTTATATGTTGATGTTCTCATAAGAATGCTGATGTTTATAGATAGCTGAGAAGAGAGCTTCCAATTATGTAAGAGGAGTGATAAAGATAAGTAAATGCAATTATAGCACAGTCTGAAAAGGGCAGTTTTTGTCTCCTGAAGGGATGAGAGCAGCTTATTTTAGAATTATTTTGAGCAACTGGCATTTCCCTTATATCCAGCACTAGAGAGAGGTGAAAAGACGAGCGAGAGCAGAGAGCTTCACAGAAGAGAGAAGAGAGAGAGAGAGAGAGAGAGAGTGTGTGCATGTGCAAGACAGAGAGCGAAATCTATGTCGTCACAAAGGCACGTGACCACCGAGTTTCCTTGGAGACAGCAGCAGTGTAGTACATTGAGATGCTCGCCTGCTCAGTCGAGGGCAGATTAGGCATCTGGCAGCAGCAGCAGCAGTTGGATGTATTTTGCCTGCCAGACAGGTGCTCGCTTTCCTCTCAGAGGTAAGTGTGCTGACTCGTTGTTTTGCGTCGTCTGTCTGGCCGCTCACCTTCAGGCTGGATTATTGTAGGATAATGAGTGACAAATGAGAGGTAAACATTTGAGTGCAAAGTCTGTCCGTGAAAGAGACTGACAGAGGAGCATGTGCGGGTCAGAATAGTTGGAGTTGTTTTCATGTTTTTATCTTTTTGTTTGAGCATTAAAATCACTCAGGACTGTCTGCGCAAATTGTCTATGAAGCTAAAATCTAAGATGGATAAATTACTCATGGTTTTCTTTTGAATTTGTCAGGCTAGTCCTGAGGGAAACTCAAATGCATTTAGTATGAAATAATTGCAGAGTGTCTTTAAAAAGCAACGTGTGCATTCACAAAAACACAGGGGTGTTGTTTCCTTTTGAACAAATAACCTGCAAAAATATTTGGATAAAATTAGCGATCCAAAAACAATGCTGCTGCTTTTACTCATGTTCTTGTTTTTAGCAGCACAATAATACACAGGAAGAAAAATGTGTGATTTTTTTTTTGTGAGTTCTGCTGTTGAGGCAGCAAAATTCTGTCAGTGCCTCATGCTGATAACATTATTCAGCACACTGTGAGTATAAATAGTGTGATTTTGAGCAAAAATGCTGACTGGACAAGTAAAGCATAATAGGATACAATGCTGCTCAGTGTTCTGTCTTTTTTATGTGATAATGAGCGCTTTAAATAAAACAGTTACAAACAGAATCCTGGCTGATAATAACTACACAGAGAAACTACAGTATGTGTGCAGACTGAGGAGGAGTAACCAAACAGACGTGGACATGCTGTTTAATTGTGAGGCTGCGAGTTGTGCAGAGTGATATTTTGATCTGTTAATTAGACTCGGTGGTCCCGGGGTTGTTTGGGCTCAGACGAGCTCGTTGGGGCCGACCATTCAGCCGCCAGATGGACTCCATCACTTTGTTTACCCTCGCAAATTACCTCCCACAAAGTCACCTCTCCTGCTTTTTTCCACAGACTTCCAGTTTAATTAGATTTCTTCTCTTGCTGTTGTTTTGCTCTTTCTCGTGTTAATTAGCTCAAAAACACCAACATGAAAGTTCCCAGATAAAAACAATTATTTTTCGTGATTCAACAATTACATGTTATTTCAATTTTGTGCAACACATTCCCCTACACTGCTCTCCCTCTTATCCTCTTTTGTACCGTTGGATTAAATTGAAGTGAGGATCGCTGATTCATGATTACTAATAAAATGCAAATGCCCTCTCCTCTATCCCCCTGGTGACACGCACCACAGGCCTCTGCAGCGTAGCATTAAAGACCTCTAATCTTGTCTTTTAGTCAGCCGAAACCAGTGGCCAACAACATGAACGACACAATGCTCATGTCCTCCGGGGCACCCACTCCCACCAAAAGGTAAGCACCCACTACCCCCCCCCCCCAGGCATAATGCACAAGTTTATTATACTGATTATTCAGAATTAGCTTCACTTTTGCCATTATTTCCTCTAATGTATTCTGTACGGATGACAGAATGTCACTTAGAGTTACTCACATGCAAAATAAGTTATTTTCATAGCACAGAGTTCTGTATGATCGCTGGATTTCCTTGTGACAGATTCTCTCATCAGTAGAAAAAGAAGAAAGAATAACGCCACAGAATCAGACTACAGATGTTATTTGTTCCCTGACACTTGACACATATTTTTTGCATCTGAGCCTCATGCTCTTGTGAGTGTATTTTTAGACGAAAATTTGCCACGCTGTCATGAAGAGTATGTGAGCAGTCCTACTTAAAGGCTTGATTTGACAAATAGATTATGATAGAATTAGAGCCTCATCGTGTAAGCAGAGAGCGGGCGACGGGTTCTGTGAAAGCAGCCTCTCATGTCAGGGAAAGGCCACCTCTGTTATTATTATTTACTCGCAGTGTGGTAATGATCCATTTGTGGTCATGAGTCCGATAATGGAGAGCACTCTGAAGCAGCTGTAATGTGTCTGCACTCTGTCCTGCAGGTCTGTGCTGCCTGATTTGCCTTTTTTTTTTTTGTGAGGGTACAGCGTCTCTTTAGTCTTTATCACATCTTTCCGGCAATTTGTGTTTGAAAGATGGGACTGCTCGGGGACTCATGACTTCCAACAGCACACAAGAAAGTGAGGTCATACTATGGTTTTCAAGAGGCTAGAGGTGTTCAGATTGGATCCTTTATTAAAAATCAGGTGTTTGACTGAAATCCAGACTTTGGTAGTGAAATCAGAGTGGCTGTCTGTTGGTTATTTCTCGTGCCATGCTCTTCAGTGCTCTTCATACATTACTCAGAATGGACCCAAGTGCATCTGAACACTTCCAAAAATCTGCAATCACAGCAAGTCTAAAGCTTTAAACGTCAATTTTTATAATAAAATCAGCGTTAACCCTTCATACTTGTCTCTAGAAATGTTAGATATAAATGTGAGAAGTGTGATGTCTAAACCGGCAGGTAGATTTTTCTGGCTTTTGCAGTGATGCATTTTGTTCAGCACAATCTCTGAAGGCCAACAGTATCAAGATTAGACCCGGTTTAGAAAGAAACCTGACACAACGGGACACCCCAAGGCTGTAAACGATGCCCTGCGCTAACAGCCATGGAGGTCAGCGAATGACATCACGTGTTGCGGCGTGTACAAGAGCGAGGCGATGCTGCACTCAGACCTCTTTCTCTATGGCGGTAATGACGAGGCCTGATAACCTTTGTGTTGACATTTTGCTCTGTGAGTCAGGGCTGCTTTAGGAGGATGTCATGCACAGAGGATTCTTGTTGCCTTAGGGGTAGCATAATAAAAAAAAAAACCCAAAAAAAACAGATCTGCAACATTAAGGGCAGAAATTGCGTGTTAAGCCCCCAGGATGCCTCTGGAACGGGTTGTGTTAGGAGTCAGTTTGGCTGTGGGTGGAGAGGATGTTGAATGAGGCCTCTCCCTGTGTCACATTTTGTCTCTAAATATTAATCTATTGTCGTAAGTAGCCTGCCTGCTCTCACACAAAGCGCCCATGAGTCAAAGATGTAACTGCTGAATAATGCAGAGCTCCTTGTGGTTCAGTTCAACAGCTCAAAACAAAAAAAAACAAACAAGCTCTGTCCTTCTTTTTAGATTCCACTGGTTATCAGAGCAAAAAAAAAAAAAACAACACACAGAACTTTGACTATTTTGAATCAAAAGTTGTGTATTTTGTGCTCCCAGCCTCCATCACAGTCTACTCTCTGATAGCGTCTGCTCTGCTGACACGGCACCTGCTCCCCTCCCACCTCGCTCTCTCTCTCAGACAATCGCTCACCGAGAGCTGCTCCTCCAAGGGCGAAGCGCAATTTATTACCTGTTAGTCATGCAGAACTGTGGCGGCAGAAGATAAAATTTAAAAAAAAAGGGAAAGAAAGAAAATGGTGTCTACAGCCTGATGAGTTATATTATAGTTAATATATTATATTAAAGTTAAGTCTAGTGGGCCGAAATGGGAGTCAGTTTGAAGTTGTTGTTTCAATTAGGGGTCGTCATTTTCTAACATTTATTGATTAATTACATGTCTGATTAAGTGACACATGCTAAACATAAAAATGTGGATTAAAACTTTTAAATTACATTTTCAAACTCCCGCCCTCCCTACTTAAAAAACATTCAAACATATTTGATCATTAAATGTGAGCTAAAAACTCAAATGGAATGAGTCAAACTAAGTAACTAAACACTAGTGCTTATTGATTTTCAGTAAAAACCGTACTCAAATGAAATGTTTTTTTTTACTGCTCTACAACATTCTGCCATCATAATGAATAGCTCCAAGCTGATTGTAGTGGCTATTTGTCCAAAAAACAACAAAAAAAATCGAAATAAACTAATATCAAAAATAATCAAATGACCACTGATGCATCATGGGGATGTGATGTACGCAGACAAAAGAAATCCAATGTCCATGCAAGAGCTGCAGTATTTTGCTGGTTTATTTGAGGAAAACAAACAAAAGAACAAAGAAAATCGTGGCTCCTGCTGCCTCTCTTGACCTGGTAAAAAACAATAGGCAAACCCAGGTGCATGCCGGTCCTCCACCTGCCTCTTAATTAAATAATCTCCGGTGCCCACAGTATTACCCAAATACCTAACAAAAATACTAATAAAAAACTAAATTTACTAAACAAATAACTAGCAAAAAAGAAAACATTACCCAAAATCTTTTCTAAATAAAGAAAACGTGTAGAATAATTAAATAAACAACACCACCCAAATATTAGTAAACTAAATACAAAAACTAATTCTAACCCCAATTAAATAGCTCCAACACTGATTTTAATTAAGAATTAACCAAGTGAGTTATTGAAGTTTTGTATGAGGAGTTTTATCTGACACACAATAAGACACTGATTTAATTACTTTAAATGACATTTTGCACGCATTTGGTTACAAATTACTTCAAGTTGCAAAGTCTCCAGCTGTTTGCAGTTATTTCATTTAAAATGATGCGTTATGCTTGAATCCAGTCCTGCCAAGATTAGTGCGTACATATATATGTATGTTAGGGATGCATCAATCAAACTCTTTTTTTCCCCTAATGCCTCAGAGTGTCAATCAATATCAATATAACAATCTCGTACCAGTCTCTCTTTTTCCTACATTTTGAATCTCACTGCATAAGCTCATCGGCATTCTTTTTCCATTTAAGATAACGTGTGGCCGAAGTTTGCTGTGGTACAAAACAAAGAGTGAACACCCTGTCACGAGTCTATACAGCTCTCAGAAACAATTAAGAGACCACTGCAAACATGTTTTCCATTGGTTCCTGGTTTCTAAAAAAAAAAAAATCACTTTTTCATTTTCAACAAATCTCCAAACTTCCAAAAGTCAAATTAAGGTATTTTATTTGCAGAAAATTAAAACTGGTTAAGGTAACTAAAAGATTTTTCAGAGCAGAAATAATGAAACGGAAAACAAATTCAGAATTGCACACCACGTTTCAACTAAGGATGAGTTCAGAAATCAACATTTGGTGCAATAACCCATTCATCCATTATCTAAGCTTATCTCCTTTGGGGGTCGCGGGGGGGCTGGAGCTGATCCCAGCTGTCATCAGGCGAGAGGCCGGGCACACCTTGGAGTAGTCGGCAGTCAATCACAGGGCGGCCATACAGAGACAGATAAACCAGGCACATTCACATGCACACGTTTGGACAATTTTAAAATCTTTAAACTAATGAGCATGTCTTTGGACCGTGGGAGGAAGCCGATGTACCCAGAGGAAACTCACACATTAACAGGGAGAACATGCTTAGTCCACACAGAAAGGCCCTCTTCGACTGGGATTCAAAGCAGGCACCTTCTCGCTGTGAGTCGGCAGCGCTACCCACTGCGCCACTGTTCAGCCCATGGTGCAACCCGGATTTTTAATTACAGCTTTCATGCGTCGTGGCATGCTCTCCAACAGTCTTTCACATTGTTGTTGGGTGACGTTAGGCCACTCTTGGTGCAAATATTCAAGCTGCTCGGCTTTGTTTGATGACTTGTAAAGTGATCACCAAATCAGTGCCTCATTAAGTAGAATGTTGGCGTGCCTGTGCTGCAAGTGAATAGGTGTTCAGCCACTTAAAGCTTTATCTTAATTTATAGCACCATCAAATCAGAACAAAGTGTTTGAAAAGCATTTCTATCCGCCTCTCTACCCCAAATTAGGACCGGTTATGTCTGAGAGACTTTGTTTGGATACAAAAATGTGAATACCTTCAAATGTGTGACAAAAATAAAAGATGTCTGGGAAAAGTGCCAGTTCAGAGCTTGAAGGTAAAACCTGGCACTGACTGTCAGGTTCGAGCCAGGAAACGACAGGAGGAGCTTTTACACGGAGACACCCAGTCTGGCTCCAAAAGGCCATGTAGGGTCATCGCATCCCCTCTCTGCTGTGCATCAGTGTATCACTTTAATCTCACTCATAAACTCAGGCTTTCTCTCCGTTTTAGCCTGAGGATTAGACTGTTAATTATTCAGAAAAGTGGCCTATTTAAGACATTTCTTGACAGTTTCGGGATTTTCCTCAAAACAAGTGCTTTGACATGTTAATGGAGAGATTTCACTTTTATCATTCGCCGTCAAGCTGAATGTTTTTTCGAGTCAGGTGATGGTATCTTAAAATCCAATGATCCGCTGAGTATTTTAAGATTGTGGCTGAGAAAGCGCGGAAGGACCTGGAGAAGATAAAATTATCTCATCATACTTGCTGCTTTTTATCTGCTTTGAGAAAAGATAAGATTTGGATACAGATCTTGATTGCAGAGTGTTTTGGGGGCCTGGGTAGTGGCAGCAGCAGGGTCTGTGTTTGTTGATGCAGTGGGTTTAAAGCCAGATTGGGTTTAACGGTTTTAATCCCGGCGCTCTCTCCAGTCAGAGTTAGAGAAGGGTCCAGCACTTTCCATTTCTGCTGTCCTTCACTCTTCATCGCAGAATGGCCGCCGAGAAGGGACGGCATATGTCCCGTCATCTGTCCGCGCCATATGCCCCACCCATGATCATTTAGAGCTTCATGCCTTATTTGACATTTCCAGGCAGTGATGAAGTGTTCAGAATGGGCACTGGCTCAGTCACAAATGCATTTGGCATGCTGCATTCTCTCTTATTCATCTCAGTTCATTGTTATGAGTAATTATCTCAGACTGTCTTTCAGCTCTGGAGTTAAAGCCAACTGTCAGATATATGAAGGTCAACTGCATTATAAGGAGTTATTTTACATAATCACTTTGACTGTTGAAACTTCTACTTATACAATAGCTTTCATATTAAGGTCAGTGTTGCTGTATATGTGTATGTGTCTGTGTGTATGATGTGTGTCTCTGTCTTTGACTTTGGACAGCGTCTTGGAGAGTCCAAGCCGGTTAGATGAAGAGCATCGCCTCATCGCTCGCTACGCCGCCCGCCTGGCAGCTGAGGCGGGAAACTCTACAGTGAGTGTCTTAAAGCGTGGGCGTTAGTTGGACTGTGTTTCACATTTAATGCTGTAACATGGGGAACTTAGAAAGTGCAGTATAAGGACCTACAAGTCAGACTGTGTAACACTCAGCCATAAATAATCATTGTTTACAATGAGAAGAAAGACAGGGATGTTCTTGTTAATTCACGTTTTTACATTTTGTTATCTGCTAAAGTCAAAAGTGTAAACATGTAAATTCTAGTCCATTTAGCTACTTCTAAAAGGTAACCGCAGGTGTTTTAAAATAATAACAAATAATAATAATCACAAACACTCCCTTAGTAGTTAATTTGTCTGAAATAAAACAGAAGAGCAATGTCTGTGTCTAAAAGTGCGACAAACCAATTTCCTGTTGACTATATTTGAAATAAAATTCAGGAAATCATTAGCACTAAGGTTGTCAAAACGTTCGATGCTTTTGATACCACATGATCAAAAAACGATACAATCTCGTTATTTTAATGATCGATTCTGTTGAGAAGGACCGGAGTTTTAAAAACACTTTAGATCAACTCATCTGTTTTGATTAGATCAAAACAGATGAGTTATAAAAAATGGATCCCCTTACTGTGTGCCGATAAAGACAGGAGCTGTTTAGACCAAAATTATTTCTTGTCCCAGGAGGTCAACATGTTTATTTCAACTTTCAAAATGGGCATTTCAAAATGGGTGTATATAGGACTTCCGAGTCTTTTGAACCCCGCCGCTAGTGGACACTCAAGGAACTGCAGTTGTTTGTACTTCAGCATTGGCTTCATTTTTTTAAACATCAGAGGCTGCTGCTTGGTTTATTTTTGGTTTGACAATAAAAAGAACACAGCGTTCAGCCACATTATGGCTTTTAATGTGAAGCAGTGACAGCAGTGTATGTTCATTTGCAATAGGAGAACTTAGTTGCTCTCTGACACTTTCTAAAGAGAGTAAACAGAGAGGCTTACATAAATGAGATCAAATTGCTCTGGACTATAATTTGAAGAAGGCATTTGAAATGGGGACACAGAATGATGAAAAACCCTCCAACCTTATTATCCTACCTCTGATTCAAATATTGCTGTCTCCTGATTGGTGCATGCATTGGAGAACATTAAATCACCTTTTTCTAACTGAGCTCTTCACCCTTTATAGCAGTGAGGAGAGCACAAATAAAACAAGGTGAAATCTCTCATGTGAAAAAAAAGACAACTACATTGGCTTAGGCAGGAAATATTCATGTCACTTTCAGTTTATTGAAATGTATACTTTTCAGCCTGCTTTTTACACCGAGGGATAAAAGAAAGCTGAAATTGCTCTCTGTTTATGCAGAAGCATAATAAGTCTCCAGCAGAGAATCATTTCTGCCTGCTGTGATCAGAAGGAAGCTGCTGCTGTTTCACGTTTGTTCTCCCACTGTTCTTAATACTGTTCTATGATCATTTTTTGTTTTTCAGCAACAATGTCCTCCAACAGATCTGAGTTTCAACTTCGATGCAAATAAGCAACAGAGACAGCTGATTGCAGAGCTGGAGAACAAAAACAGGTAAAACTTCCATCTGAACTCAAATTAAACCACGGGTGTTTTCTGTGTAATGGAGAAAAGATTAATAAACTTCATTTTTACATTTAGTTGCGATATACTTTTGAGGTTTTTAAAGTCACTTTATACTTCTAGTCTACCACTTTTCTTAAAAAAAGTACTGCACTTATAATTTCACTTTATTTAAGCAGCAACTATGATTTATTTGCAATATCAGCTTTTTTTAGGCAGAGAACATCCAGTACTATAGAGATCCTCGTTCTTTTATTTTCTTTACTGCTGAGAAATTGAGGAGGAGCTCGATGCCGCTCTCCTATCTGCCCTGTAAATATATTGCTACAGCAAGCACTTGGTAAATCAACCTACCAGCTTCTCTAACATTCACATGTCTAAGAATCTCCGTATCTGGTTGACTCACTCGTTCAGGGAGATCCTCCAGGAGATCCAGCGGCTGCGTTTGGAGCACGAGCAGGCCTCTCAGCCGACCCCAGAGAAAGCCCAGCAGAACCCCACACTTCTGACCGAACTACGGCTCCTCAGGTAACATCCTCCACCACCAGAGCTGATTCTTTTTAAGAGTGTCTTCATTCTGAGAACAGAAAACAAGGAGTCATATAGTAAGGAAATGAAGCAGTAAAACCACTTCAGGCCTGTTGTATTTATGTGTTCTGGACTCATTCTTCCAGTAGAAATAATGTCTTCCTAATTCAGCAGGGCGGGTTTTTTGGATTAGCTTCATCAGCAGCAGTGTGGGCATTCGTCATGCTGGCAGGATGCTGAGACACTTTGGATCAGTTCTTGGAAGAGAATTGCCCTAGGAGGGGGCGTTAAGGCACTTCTTGCCCTGAGTGACTCCTTCTTTGTCTAGCATGCATCAGCAGCGAGGTTTATGGCCGGCAGCCATGACAAAGATTTAAATTAGATGTGTTACAGCTTAAAATATCTACAATGTTTCAATGCTAGTAAATAACACACGGTTATAGCAGAACTAGACATGAAACAGGATAGTCTCAGTCTCACCACTCTCAGAGTGGCATGTTACAGGACTACGATATTCAAGAATCATTACAAAAATAAATCTAAATTAATTATCAAACTGTGAAATAATTGCTTTATAACACTGGAGGGCACATTTAAGATTTTTCCCCCTTTCATCTGAACATGTCTGGAAGCATATTTCAGCTCACTGAGCTTGTTTGTGATTCAGGTTTTAGGGTATTATCAAGTATTTCATCCCAGACTGTGCTGTGTTTGGAGCCCGGCTGGACATCTCTGATAATGCCTTTATTCAGCCCCGGGGTTAAATATCAAAGTGTTTACTATTTGCAGATGTTTTTGAGTTTTTGATAGGATGGCTCCATACAAATGGCAGATTGCAACAGTTTTTTGTGGCTTTTTTAATGTGTAGTTACACTATTTGAACACCGGAGGGGAGTAATGTACCAGAATTCTCACCTGAGACAGATGGCCAGTTATTTACCAGGGGTTTAACAACTCGAGCTACATGCAGGGCAAGCTTTTGTTTTGTTGTAACAAGGTGTATACAAACAAAGGTGAGACTGTATTCTGTCCCGGTTGTCTCCCTTACACCTGTAATTTTGTCTGCATGTTTATAGTAAATGATGCTGCTGACATTCGGTCTGGTTGGCCCTGCAGAATATAGCTTTACATCTTACACCTTGTTTGAGACTGTCAGTGCTTCAGGTTGAATTTTGGTTTATAAAGAGAAATTGTGCTGTCAGGGGCATCGCGTTAAACCTTGTTCACAAGTTTATGTGATTATTCTGACAAGAAGGGCAGTTACGAGAAGCTTGTAAATGTTACATTTTGGTTTGAAAAAAATTACATTTAAGCTCTAATAATGCTGTCTTGCTTTCTCTATTTCAAAAAAGATAAAAGAAAAATGAGAATTTAAATGTTGTCTGGATTTAACTAAAATGGAACTTGTAGAAACCTTCATACAATTGTCTTTTGTGCCCGATGTGGCCCTCCGCCTGGTAGTTTGACCAGGTTTATGTCACAATATCACTTTTTTCAGTGTTGAAGGAGCACGATGGCCAATAGGTATAAATAATGACAAAACATGTTTTGTCAAAGTGGCATTTTTTAAAGGAAAGTGTTGGAAACATACTATAATGTTTGACCAGAGTAACAGGAGATAAATGCAGTGCACCAGTAGTTACATGTTGGTAATGATAAATGACAACATGCAGTTAATATGCATAGACCTAAGAGAAATATTGCTCTATAAAAAAGTAATCCCCTCACAGACATCTGCAAGGATGTCTGTACAAATCTGCATGTATCCACAACATTTATCAAGAGGAGGATGTTGGAATGTTTTTTTAAAACTATGTCAGTTGTGTTTTTATCACATTGATACTCAAAACGTAATCCCAAACTCTTTCCTTCTGCTTCAGGCACAGAAAGGACGAGCTGGAGAGGCGCATGTCGGCACTGCAGGAGAGCAGACGCGAGCTGATGGTGCAGCTAGAGGGACTTATGAGGCTGCTGAAGGTGAGACGATCACCCGTTTCACGCAGATTCAGCCATAACAAAAAGACCTCAAAATCGCCTCAGATAGCCATTTAACTAAATCCGATGGTCAGAGGTTTTGTCAGTGCTGATCTACATTACATGATTTGGTTTTTAAAGCATGGTGGCATGCTTGATGAAAGGGGGGTGCAGTGATGTTTTACTTTTTCTGTTAATGTGACGTAAAAATGCATGCCCTTTCTTCTTCTTCTCCTGCTTTAATTCTGTTGCTCTCACTCTCCTTGCTCTTTTCACTGCTTTCCTTTGCTGGCTGATAGGATGAGGAGCAGAAGCAGGCTGTAAGTTGCCTTTAATTCAGTTTACAAGCTGGCTCTAGCCTCAGCTCTTAGTTTAATGCTTCTATACTCTGTTCTTAACACAGATGTGATTGACAGGAGTGTTCATTTTAGAGTGTAAGAAGGATGTTGGAAAGAGAATAGGGGATTCCACTTTCAATAACTGGGTTACTATCGTGTAGTCGAACTCCACCACCTTCTTGCTACATAACTGGAGAGCTGCAACTATACTGATTCGAGCATAGTCTTTCAGATAAGGTTCAAACAAGTTGAGAGAACTGTGTTTCTCACAGCCCGAATGTCAGGGACCTGCTCCTTTCATCGGCGCTTACAACCTCCCTTCTAATGTGACTGCAGTCTGGCCGGCCATCTGCTGCCTGGCTTCAAGCCATCAGCCCAGGCCCGCACCAGTCCCAGAGACACACAGTGATCCTTTCTGTGTGATATATATATCTCTCATCTCAGCACAGGCCGCTCACCCACACATGGTTCTCATTACCCCCACGACGCAGTGAAGGTGCACTATAGAGACGTGCAGAATAGCCGGCCTGTATAGGATTTCCAGAAGGTTTTCTTGTCCTGTTTTTGTTTGTTCTCCCCTTAAGGATTAAGTTCTTTGGGTCACATCTGTGTCTGTGTAGTTTTAATAAAGTCATCTTTAGATGCGAAAAGAGCAATCTCTCCCCAAAGCTGCAATCTGTGACTGCAATCATCCATTGATACCCAGTAACACCGAATTGGGTTTTCTATGGAGAGATTAATTTGATTTTCATGTTTTTAATCTTTAAGCTTTCCAAATTCACTAAAAGTTTGTACATAAAAGACTATTTCGAGAAAATAATCAAATATTCCATGTGCATCAGCAAAATGTGGCCTCCTATCACATTAAGCCGTTGCAGCTGTATGTAGCATTAATTCCCACGGCAAATGTTCCCTTTGGGACTATAAAGTAAATCCTGTGTTATCGTATTAATGTGCTAGACTTTTGCACCTTTCATCATGATCAAACACATTAAATTTCATTATTTTGCTGAAATAGTGTTTGATAGCAACTCACGATAGCACCCATCACATGAATACATTTCCAAATCAACTTTTCCCTAATGACTGTAGCAGTTTAAACAGTTAATTTATGATACATTCAATTTAAATAGTTTAAAAGAAATAGTTTGATGTCCTGGTAACTTTGCTTTCTTGCAAGAGTTTGATTTGATTAACACCACTTTCTTGTCAAGTGTAGCTTAGCACAAACACAAGAAAAGGGGGGCACTGTTAGCTTAGCTGGTGTGTGTGTGTGTGTGTGTGTGTGTGTGTGTGTGTGTGTGTGTGTGTGTGTGTGTGTGTGTGTGTGGGTGTGATTTACTCAATCAGACCACCAGTTTATTTTTCCTAGACGACATGACAGTGGTATTAATCTGTTCCATTATATGTAACTTTTTCAGCTCATTTGTTTCAAGAACAACTGATGTAAAGCGAAACTGTATTGACAGATTAAACAGAATCTATTTTCAATGCAAGCCTTTTTTTTTTGCCCATCGCACCTTAACTGTCCCGAATGTTTTTATGTTGCAGTCCCAGTCTGGAGGCTCCCCTCATTCTTCCCCCAGTCACGGTGCGGGCTGCTCCATGCCTATGCCCATACGCTCCACCTCAGCTGGGTCAACCCCGACTCACACACCACAGGACTGCCTGGCAGGGGTGGGAGGGGATGTGCTCGAGGCCTTCGCTCAGGGTGAGTGTACAGCGAAACGTGAAACGTGTAGTATTCATTGAAAAACTCAGCATACTAACAGCATAATATGTAAAATACTAAGCAGTTAATTATTTTGTGAAAGTATACACATTTTAAGTTGTGTGTGAAAATAATCTTTTACTGCGGGTTAAGAAACTGCATTTTCTTAACCTGATTTTAAAAATGTCTTCTTCTTTTTTTTCGTAGGTGTACCTAGAAATCTTCGGAATGATCTATTAGTTGCTGCAGACTCAATCACAAACACCATGTCGTCACTGGTGAAAGAGCTCCACTCTGGTAAGTATACACCACATGTTTGATTGAGTTCTTCATCTACAGGCTGTAACGTAGTGGTCGACACTGCCTGCATTCTTTAAAGTTAAAGCCTGCGTTCTGTTTTATGGCCAGCAGGAGGCGACTCAATCAGTCGCTAAAAATAAACCGCCATGGGGGCTATGTCCAGTTTGTAACTTTGTTAAGGAAAGTGATACACTTTCTGCATTATTGTAATTCTCCTTTCAGATATGTTTCCCTCTATACTTTCTTTTTCACATTATCTAAAAAAACATGGCCCGCTGATATTTATTGTTTTAATTTTAAAGTTGATGATGGGGTGGATGAAGAGGAGACCATCATGAGGAACGGTGGGGACAGAGGTAGGTCTGAGTGAATGCTAATAATCTACACATACCCTATAGTCACCACAGATTATCCCACAATAAATCAGAATACAGTTTATTTTTTTCTATTGAATGTTAGGTTTGGCTCACACATAAACCTACAGTTTTTGTTTTCTTGTTTTTCAGCTGAATGAACACAAAAAAAAGTAGAAATAATAATGAATGATCATTTGACGTCATGTTTTTATACTGAAAAAAATAAAATGGTTGTAATCATTTTATATTATTCCAATGTATTGAGATCACAAGTTGCGTATGCTGTTACATATAGATGTGACTTTTTCTTGTGACAAGAAGTCAATCATCTTTTCATCTGGAGAAAACACGATCGAAAGCTTTGGGGATAAAAATCAAGAAAAAATAAAACCTCTGAATATTTTGACGGATGAACGTGTTTGTCATCCTATAATAAAAAATATAACAAATTTCTAAGTAAATATCGTTATATATTTTACTTTATAACAACATATTGTTGCTATCTTTAGGTAAACAATACCTTGTTTTATTTAGCTAACCAGATAAATAACCTGTGATCGCGTGAAGATGAGTCTAATAGAAGATCAGGATCTCAAGGTGATAGGATCATTTTACTGCTACCAACGCTCTTCTTTGCGTCCATATGAAACAATTTTCATAAACAAATTGTACATTTATTTTCTTAGACTAAACAATAGTTGGTGACAGTTTTTTTTTTTTTCCTATTTGTTGGATTTAAAAAAAAAGAAGGCCATACAAAAAACAAACTTGCATGACATCTTTAGCCAAAATATAGTTGTTTGGCTCCTTCCAATGGGCTTCAGTTACAATCAAACCTTCCATCCAAAGTAACAAGGCACCATGGCACATAGCCACAGAGTCATTTATACTTTTTTTTTTAACTGTGCAGGCTGTCGGCAGTGCTAAATTAGCTCCTGTGTGTGTGTGTGTGTGTGTGTGTGTTTCCAGGCACAGCGAGAGTACCGAAGCACTGAGGACAAGAACAACACCATTCCACCCTGTAAGGACATACAGTCATCAACTGGGAAGAATCAGAAACAAGAACAACATCCCCTGGCATTAGCACGTAGAGTAATGCATGCTGTAATCTAACAGGATTTCACTATGTGAAAAAAACGTTCTTCACACCTTGCAGGTAGCAAGATGTGTCTAATTAGCGAGTGTGTATGTTGTCCTGTAAACAAAAACTGCTGTAATTATCCAACGATTCCCTCATGACTGCTAAAGAATGGCTTGCTGTGCTTTCTCCCGTTGCAGCAGATCATTCTGTATATAAAATACTGTACACACATGGCCACGGGAACGCCACTACATGAAGGTGACCTCCTGTCACAACGCGTTCCCGTCATTGCTTTTGTATGATTAGCGCTAGTTTTACTTATTTCGTTTTTTTGGGGTTTTTTTATTTGCTTTTGCATGAAGTTGCACTCATGTCTGGATTAAGGTACTGTACCATGCTATGCCAGCTCTTTGTGGGTTTATGGCGACAGCTGAGGTGTCAGAAGTGTTCTGCCTCAGAATTCACTTTGAGTGTGTTTACTTGCACATCCGTGTTCTGAAGTTTGTCAAAGAAAATATTCAAGTTTGTCAAAGCAGACTTCTCAGAGTCTTGCAGTCAGAGTGCATTTGTTTGCAAACCAGCAGAGACACAACACAGGCCAGCACACAGTTTTTCAATCCAGTGTTTGTACCAATTGAACAAACAAGATAAGAGATGCTTACACTTGGATTTTATTACATGTAGGACAGGCTTTATGCTGTGCTGAGTGTCTCCTGTGTTTACAACTATTATTTTTGGGCTGTTTTTAGTTCATTTAATAAGTAAAGGATTCAAGAATTCAATGCTAAACAGACAGCTACCAGCCTGTGTATTGTACTGATTTAGGTAGTTGTATGATGTTAAGAGATAGATTATATCTTTTTGGTAAATATGAGGCTAAGCTTGCAACGATTTAGCTTAGCATTAAGCCTGGAAACAGTGGAAAAGCTGATCTTCCATTATGTTGAACTAAATCTTCCAAACAGCATCTCTAAGCTCTCAATATCATGTTTGATTACCCCCCCCCCCAAAAAAAAAAAGTAAGCATAAAAGAAGTAATAGTTTTAAAGGGGGTTAGGGGCTGAACTATATCTTAGCTGAACACAGAGACATGTTAGTACATTTAAACAGTTGGTGCATTAGCTGTATAGTTCACGTGGATCGTTTAACCTCTGCTGTTATCAGTCTTTATGCTGTGCTCACTGCTAGCAGTAGCTTCATATTTACAGACATGAAAGCAGTATCAATCTAGACATATAATCCTCTGGAAGACAGATATTATATTTGTTCTTTTGTAGGGGACCAAACACTCCTTGGTTTTTTTTTATGGAGGAGCTGAGGTTTGGTTTCCATTATAATGTTATTTCAATTCATGTGTACAGGTATATACGTATGTTGTTTCAAAAGTAACAGCTGGTATCCAGAATACTTTGTGCACGTAAACACACTCACTGAGTCGCATACTATACTGCTGCTACTGTGCTCTCAGTGAGCCACCCTTACAAATAAGAGGGCTGTGCGATAAAGAGAACCCAAGGGGCTACTACAAACTCAATAATGAGCTCATTACATCCTCCCCGTACAAACCTATCTAAACTCAACTAGCTGGTAGCCTAAGTGTTTATCATTTAAGTGTAGGGACGCACCTCAGGATGTTCAATTATGGAGAATTAGGCAATGAGCGTAGCTTTGAGTAACAAAATGAACACTTATATATGGTTTGTGAGGATGTAAGGTTGTAGTAGGTATGTAGGAAAAACTGTATTTAGGTGATAAAGGATTATTGAAAATGTTTATGTGCAATGAAAGTAGGTGCTCAGGGAATGCCGAGCTACTCCAGGAGAAATATGGTCCTTTTACTGTTAGATACCATTGGTCACGGCCCCTGAGGTTTAAAGTCAATGACTAAGTAAAAAAAGAGGGTTTCATTCCAAACAATACATCCACAGTTAAGAGAAAGTAGTCCTTTAACTTTCTTGTGATTTCTGTTGTTTAACTGGGTTCAAATGTCCTGGAGCAGATCTTTATATTCTCATTTCACCAGTAAATGTGTCTCGTTTTGGAATGGAACTCTTAACATAAAGGTAGGGAAAACAACAGTAAGTGGTAAATGTTGGGTAAAGGAATGTGGAGCACACTGTCAGAAGTAGGGATGGTTTTTTTTCAGAAGTGCTATTTGGTGAAGCATGTTGTTGGATATCGTTTTCTTCTGTGTGTGAATTAGTGTCCATCACGGGAAAAGGAGAGTGACAAGTAGCCGTAAACCAGCGAGGATTTTAAACAGAGATCAGGTCGAAGTTACCTTTACATTTTTGTCTTCTGGTTCAATGTTTTTTGTCCGTTCCTTTAAATTGAGAATGAGCATTGTTTGCTTGAAATTCGTGTGAAAAAGGGCCTGGGAGCTGTTTGAGAGAAATATGTTCAAGAAAGTTGTGGGTCAAATCTGGCTGATTGGAACTGAAAAGCAGAAAAACGTATTGTTTCGAGATTTGTACAGCAAGCCTGTCCTATAAGCTACGTATACGGTTTCAACAGCCTGTTACACTGTCAAGAAAAAGAACAAAAAGAGGCTCCTTTGCTCTCGATGTTTTTAAATGTGATGTTTTTATCAGTTCTCTGTTCTGCTCTACGTCTAGCGTTATTGTTATTATTCTGGTTTGTAGTATTAGTGGAGTGTAGTCAGTGTAATGATTTTGTCCAAAAATTTAGATTCACCTGCGCGCTCACACTTGAGCCCAATTATTTAATATGAAGAAGGTGTAGAGAATGAAATGACAAATTCTGTGCTGTCAATGCTGTCAAAAATGTACAGCAGAAATCATCCAGAAATGATTTAAACACAGAGGAAAATATGTAACAGTCTTCCCCTTCATTCTGGCCATGCATTAGAAAAGCTTGCTCTCTTTTTGTTCTTTCAGTTTGTGCCTGTAGCTGTTCTGTAAAGTGCTGTATAAAGTAACCATTCAGCAAATAAGATGATCTATCAGCCTTTATGTCTGTGACTATGTAGATTTTTTTATTTATTTATTAATTCAATGTGTTCTGGGGGAAACGGACGCTCAGCCTTTACATTTGTGCCAAACTGTTTGCAGACATTGTGTGTGTCCTTTTTATCATTACAGGTATATATCAAAGTATATCTGCATTCGTGTGTTGTCGTTGCTCATAGTTTTACTCACAGAATGCCTGGAGATGTTCACGGTCAAATTTTCTCATTGCTGGAATCTGCTGGGAAAAGTCGCTTTTAATAGTTGATTAACACATTCCAAATCTACAATACAGATAGACAGGCACTGATGTCATTCAAGCCAACGTGTAGGCAATACTGTAAACCCTGTCAGACGAAACTCGGGGTATTACTAATAAAACACAGTCGGTCATACAGAGGTGCACACATTGTAATACTTCTATTGTTTGCAGAGAGACAATGTGCAAAAGAAAACAACCTGGACATCAATGCTCCCCCTGATGTTATTTATCACTGTCTGTGTTCTGTATGGTTATGCTTCTGGTACACATTTGTTTCTCATGTTGATTTTTCAAAAACATAGTTTTATGTCACAAAGCCACTGTCTTTTGTAAATAAATCAAATGTGAGATATATTAAAAAGATTTAAAATATGGCTTAAACATGGTCATATCATGGTTATTTTTCTGTGTTTGTTTTTTTGAACTAATCATCAGCTAAGGTCACTCACTTATTATCACACATATGCCCTTTATTACTCTTTGAGAGGGGTTATTTTAAAGTTATATTGGGGCTTTTTCAATTTTATTAGATTGGACAGCTAACTAATGTTGGGAGGAGAGAGTTGGGGTTGACATGCAGCAAAGGGCCGAGGTCAGATTTGAACCAACGGCCATAGCATCCGTACATAGGGCCCGCAACATAACCGCTCATATTAAATTCAACATTTGTAAATAGAACATGGACTAGGTTCACATTCACCCGTTCACACCACATTCACACACTGATAGCAGAGGCTGCTACGTAAACTCCCCATCAGAACTATTCCATTCATACACATTCACACACCGCTGACGTAGCAGTGGTAGCAATTCAGGGTCAGGTGTTTATTCAGGCACAAAAAATCTACAGGTGAGACGGGTTCAAGACACTTTGACCTATCAGCATCCTCCTCTGTGGGTATATGCCCTCAGAAGAACCACTCAGTGGAATCGACTCTACTAGAAAGAGGAGACTCCCCGACTTCCAGATCAGTGAAGCACATTTGCCCTCTGCGAACTCATTTCCTCTCTCCCTCGTTGCCCCTCAAAAGCACTCTCTCTCACTCTGCCTCACAGGGAGATGTTCAGAGAGACTTCAGCCCTCGGCTGTGACATTTAACTCGCTCTGTCTCCGCCTGGTGGGCGTGTGTGGAATAAATGCTGCGTGCAGTGATAGGCCGGTGAAGGGTTAACGGAATGAGTGTGATAAGAGATTTGATATCTTGTTCTAGCTGCACTCTAGGAAATAGAAAGAAGATGTGGTGATAAATTAAGCATTTCCTCAGAGGATAAAATGTACAAGACTGCATGAGAGGAGCTATACTCCTGCATCTGTGTTGATAAACGCTAAAAGTATACTTTAAAAACTGTCCAAACCAGCAGCAATTAATCAGTTATAACAATAGAGCAAGATAACTTATTATTTGAAGGTAAAGATGAATCGATAACAATACAATTATATCTTTAATTTATTATTATTATATCCTCCATTCCTCAGGATTTGTGTGATAGCATCAGAGAACTCTATTTTTTTCAGCATACTAAATGAATCAGACGGATTACTGTGTTCATACTGTAGCATAGCAAGCAGGGAAAGCACAGGCATTAATGATGGTTCTCATCCTGCAGTCACTGCTTCATAATTTAGCAGTTGTTATCAGATACAATTTGAAAGGTTTTAACGTTTGCTGTAGTCAAAAACAGTCAGTTGTCTTTAAATGAGACTTGATAAGATGGCACCCTTAAAAGACCTTCAGGTGTCACAGCTGTTAAAGAGTTAACAGCAAAATAGAAATAAATTAAAGATTTTTTAAAAAGTATCCAAGAATTATTAGAGAATGTCTGGAGTGTGAACATGTTTGGGCTGCAAAATAAATTGCAATGTTTTCCTCATCTCAACATGAGCATTTGCGATAAACATACTGCACAAATCTGAAGTAATCACAATACAAATTCTATTATATAATATTTAAGGGAAAAACGATTCTCATGCAGCATGTGTACATTTGCCTGTTAGAGTAGACATAATAACCATGCTTTCACAACATTTTGATGCTGTCAGATGAAGCTAACGCTAACAATGCAGCTACTCTCTGATTCATTGGTGTGTTTAGGATGTATTTGGCTTCAGAAGTAACATGTTGCAAACACAGGTAATATGTAAACAATGGAGCAGATGGGCACAGAAACTGATTTATAGCTAAAATTCACACTTATCTTTGAAATTTACTGCACTTCATTTTGTTATTGAAATATTGAACAATGTGAACAAATCATATCCTTTTTATACATTTCTGTATTTTCTCAAATCGCAATATATATATGTAGTATAAAGAAAAAATATCCCACTTTTTTTTTTCAATATCATGCAGCTTGATTACATGGATTACAGATGTACTAAATGAGGGCAAAATGTAGTAAAGTTATGTGTATCATACTAAGCAAAATGTGCAAATGTAAGCAAACGCAAGAAAGGCTTAACTACACTGTTGTATGAGTGAGCATTTTCTAAGTTGATATTATCAGATCAATGGCTATTAAAAAAAACACATGTCTCGTTTCATTAGGCCTCGAAGCTGGCCTGAGGCAGCAGCTAATCACATGGCTTTTAGGGCCCCACAGTCACTAGGGGGCCCATAAATAAAGCCCATTAAAAAAGGTAAGTCTCACATGGTTCCTGTCTTTGTAAAGTCCCAGTTTTAGTAAAATTACTTTGCATACAATGTCTTTAGGTTCTGTACAATATATTTAACCCGTTGTTCAAAGGGTGGAAACGGTACTGAATAGATTCAACATTTCACTAAGGTAATGAAAAGATACAGTAGTTGTCTTTGCTCTCACCAGAGGGGCAGTTAGGGTAACCAAAGTGGTATTGAGGGAACTCCAGGGCCACTTCATTACTTCCCATGTGTAACATTACTGTATAATTTTTTTATCATGGAAATACTTCAGAAGGGGGATAATGATCAATTATATTATATGATCTGAACATCCCTGGTCAGTTTTAGCTTTGTTGCATATTGCTGTTTGATTTCTTCCTTTATGTGTACTGTCTTTGTCTGTCAGAAGTTAATTATAAGTAGAATTGTCCCCAAAAAAGTTTGAATAAAAATCACCAGAGAGAAAGAGAACCTATTCACCATTTTACAACTGGATCTCTTTAAGGAAACATATACAAGGTAACATTTTATGTTAAGCCATATATATAGTCTATATTAACTTTATTTTTCTGTCTTGGCAAGACACTTTGGAAACCTGTCTGTGGTGGTAGACATGCTGGAAATGCTGTCTCACCCTAACTTAAAGTCAAACGACAGGCTGAGCTGAGGCGGGTTTACAGCACCTTCACAAACAAAAAAATGTCACCCCCTGTACATTGTGTCCCCATGACGATAACAACGAATCAGACCAAAACGGGGATTTCTGACCAGGTTGTAAACATGTTAATTTCTGCTGTAAAAACAGGCATCAAAATCAAACAGATATCTTTGGTCATTTGTGCCATCAGCAGCTGGATTTTTTAATAAGCTGTAGGCATTGCACATCTTCTGTTAACTGTCAGACTTTGTGTCTCATGTCTCACTGCACGTCCGTCACGAGGACATCCGTGGGAGTTATGTATTATATTTACGTTTTTATGGCTTTGTGCAAACCAAACTGCACCTCAGGACAAGAAGTATTTTTCAATCCGATCCATTAGAATATGTTCTACTAGATTTGTTTATATTGGCTACTATGAAGCTCTTAGAGTAACAATGCCTTATTTTACTTGACCATATTCAGCATTATGTGAACGTTTTTTATCTTTAATATCCTCTCCTTTATTCCTTTTAGTAGTAAAAGGAAAATAGTAAAGGAATTTAATTGAAAATACCAAAATATTGAGCTGATTGATTAGGATCATACAACACCCCTACTTACTACCAGTAATCAGTGATGGCGTCAGGGAGAATACTCTTAATGCCAAAGTGGCTGATAAATACAGTCATAAATTATGAAGGGGGCTTTACTATGGCTAATAATAAAACAGTATGTCAGTTGTACGGAACTACTACTTATAAAATATATATCCTTTTATTATGTGTGACGTCAGGCTATACGTAAGCGTATTAGAAAGGGGTCCATGATAATGACTTATTAGTGCCAGCCCAGACCACCTTCACCCCTCTACACTCCTGTGTCTAAATCGGCGGTCTTTAGGACCACGCAGCAGCCGGCACACGGTCTGCGGGCTCCTGCAGTGAGAGCGGTGCATCTGGAAGCGAGCTGGCCGGCTGGGGAGGTGGAGGACGGGGAGAGAAGAGGAAGGAGGCTCCGGGAGCAAGCGAGACAAAAAGGGTCAGGCCTGGGACTTGGGAAAATCGGGTAACGAACACACAGCGATTCACGCATTTTTATCGGTATAACCCGGCACTGTTAGCTAAAGCAGGAAGGGAAACCTTTATGTGAACAAAAAAAAAAAAAAAAAAAACGTGAAAGCTCAGAGAGCGGAAGGCGCTCGATAGAAATGGGGAAATAGCGATTTTGCTTTTTTGCAGATGTGCTGATTGGACATTGCGATGTGCACTTGAACCTGACCGAATTTAAAGCACAGAACCAGGATCCAGAAATACCGGTCTCATTTATAGGCTATAATTATAGTGATAAAAGAAAAAAGGGGATTCATCCTCCTTCAGTGTCCGTGGCCTGTAAAAGAGCCACATCCCCCTGGGTCACACTGCAGACTTCCCTTTCTGGAATGGTCTGAAACTTTACATTTGAAGGCACAGCACATTTATCATTACAGTATGAGAGCAGATGGCAGGAAGCTAAGCGCGTGGCCTTGCTTGGAGCTTGATGTGCGTGGAGGAGCGGTGACATTAAACGCATGTGTCGCCTTGTACAAAAAAAAAAAAAAAAAAAAAGAAGATTTTTGTAGTTATCATTTTCTGGTTGATGCTTGCAATCATTTTTAAGGACTTATTACCCAACCTTCAAAATTATACCAGAACCGGTTGTCATCACTCTGGGTTTAACCCTTTGAGGACAATATACACATCCCGTCTGATTTAAGTCATGTAGGCGTATGATTTTTTTTTTTTTTTTTTTGCACATTTCCACGAGTGCATTACTGTAACTGCTGCCCCACTGTGTGCGCACGGCTGACTGCTGGAGTAACTTTAACCCAGACACGTCAGGTGAAAATGAAATATTAATAATGCAAGTTCTGTGTCAAACTGTTTTATTATCCTGGATATATTTTTGCAGCATTTCTTTGAGTATTTAGCGGACATGAGCAGCCATTTAATGTCGACTACTGTACACTCATACATCCATGTGGTGTAAAAAAAAAAGAGAGAAAAAGGCCTGGCCCTATAGGCGATAGAAGCCATACAGTATCCTATAGCAGTCTTCCTATACATGACGTGCACTCAACAAAGGAAAGCTGATGCTCAGAAAGAGCCTCTTTATGACTCAAAATGACATTTTTTACCAAATGCAACTCAGTTAAGCTCTTGGCAAAAGCATCTCAATACTTTAATGGAAAACTTGTGTGTAATAATGAATGATTAATAAACATGTTGATTGTCTCTTTTCTTTCATATTCCAGGAGATCGGAGAAAAAGAGGGATCATCTCTCATTCCTTTTTTTCTGTTCCTTTTGAGTTTAATTTGGCCTCATCTACATCGCCCTTCATCAGACATTACCCATAAGACCCTCAACAATGCCGTCCAACACTGTCACCAACACCAACAGCACTGCATTCAAAGGCTCAGACTATGCAGACTCACCAGGAAACAGAATGGTAAGAAACAAGTGTGAAATATAAAAAGGATGCCTCAGGGAGCTCACTTTAGATTTTCACAAGCCGCCTGTGACACTTGCCATGTTTTTGAATGACTGAGGATTACTCAACTTTATAGCCAGTGGGTTCAGAGAGTTCATTCAGTCATGTTTTGGCTTTTTGAATGACCTGAGATAAGCTGCTGTTTGTTTGTTTTGGATAAGGCTCTCTGGCACTGTAGAAAAGCAGTAATGCAGTACCCGCCACCCCCCCGCAAAATTTTAAAAAAAAAAAAAAAAAAAACTGTAAAGATTACAACGCATGCAATTGTGTTTTTGATGATCTTTCTACTTTGATATTACCTTTAAGGAGTCTTGAAATAAGAGGAATGAGGTTTACAGTTACTACAGATCAAAGGTGGTAAAAACCTCTCCCAATTTTATGAATGGAGTTATTCCATCAGTCAAGCTAATGCCTCATTGATCTCCACTATCCGAAGCCTTACTGGAGTTGACTCAGTCGCATTGATCCCTTCTGTTTATCGAAGAGAGACTCTGAGTTTAACTGACAAATCGGACAAGATGTGGAGTGCCATGTCACCTTTCATGATGCAGACACACTCATCATCAACGCAGTGTGTGTGTGTGTGTGTGTGTGTGTGTGTGTGTGTGTGTGTGTGTGTGTGTGTGTGTGTGTGTGTGTGTGTGTGTGGCTGCAGCATCACTGACTCGACAGCAGCATCACAGAGGAGGCTGTAGGGAGATGCAGCTGTATCATGAGACATTTGCTGGTGTGATGGTGGTTGGTGACGTGGGCGTTGGCTGGCGTAGGTTTAGCTGGAGCTGGAATGGCTCGACAGCTCTTATACTGGGGGATGGGGGGTTGGGGTGGGGGGGTTGAGTCTGTCCTCTTCTACTACGTTCCCATTACACAGAACTGCCCTTAGTCCTGTTGCCTGGCAACAGAAATTGCCTTAAATAACCAGCTATCCAGACGGAAATAGTGGAGAGATATTGACAATGTAGTAGGGTTCACCCCAGGCAACAACAAATCATATTTCAGGTTTTTCTGTTGTCTTTTTCCCCTGAAAATATTAGGGTGAAGCTGTGTGTGAAAATGGCGTCTTATTTTCCGTCAGTGTGCCTGAGCTCTCGGGTTGGGAATTGGAAGATTTTGTGTACGCTGTTCATGCAGGCACCACTGAATTGTGTCATCCATGTAAGCGGTTCCCAAATGAGCCTGCACACCAGGCTGCACTCAAAATGTGCTATTATCTATGCAAATTCTGCCACCCTGTTAGGAAAAACTGAAGCACCAGGCTCTCTATTAATAATCACACAATGAACGGACACCATCTGCAAAACACATCCTCTCACAAAAGAATCTAAATTTAAAATGAGCATCCAAAGGCTCGTCTTTAACATCCGCATTTTTGATTTAGAAATGCACTGTTAAATATTCTGCGATCATTTGACAGATCTGAGGGCAATATTTATCAATTATAACCCTCTGTCCATTAATCTCAACATCACCTCCTCTGATCACATCCATCTCTTTATGCTAATCAGTTTTTCACCCTGGGACGCTAATGGTTGATGGATTTATTCCATTTCAGCAGCAAACTCTCTCAGGATGAAACATGGCCTGACCTTTGAAATTTCTGCTGGTGTTTATTAACATCCTCCATCTTTTAAATTATTTAACATATAGAGTCTGAAGGGCTCCTTGTGGCCACAAGTCCAAGTTTTTATGGCATTATTTGCCTTTAATGGAAAGCTGATGGAGAAAGAGAGAGAAAGAGTAGAGCGAAGTTGTGATGAGGTCCTTGGCCGGTGTTAGAACTCATACTGTGATTTGTAGGACTGTGTTACCTGATCAGGAGTTTTCTTCGTCAAAACAAAGCTGTTGCAAAAAAAAGTGTCATGTACATAGAAGAGCCAACACCTAACCCAGGGTTTTTCCTGGCTCAGAATGGGCCTTTGGGGGGTGACTATGCGCGCTGTAGTAAACATCCGACCCCGCATATTACAGTATAGTCTGAGTCTGTAATTCCTGTTATTTCTGACCATTTTATAAATAATGTTATCATTATGCTTAAGTTACTGAAACCCCAATTAAATCTGGTAAAGAATTTTTTTTTTTTATTGCAACAGTGAAACAGGGGAGGAGAGGGGTGTAATGAGATTGGGAGAGGGGAGGTCACATCCTCAGTGCATTTCACCCTCTTCTGCTCTTTTCCTTTAAATTGTGTTTTAGTTTTACACACACATTTGTTGAAGTACATTTATTTGACTTACTAAGGTATTATGTCAAATAATCACAGATTTGAGTCACAGACCATTTGGATCAATTGATCAGATCAGGAAATTGAGAAATAAGAAAAATATATTTGCTGGCTATACTGCAGCGCTGTTTGACAGTCTGTGTGGAGAAGTTCACAGATTACAGCTGACTGACGTTACGATCGTTAAGTTATTGATTGTTGATAAAAGCAGACACTGTGGAAGTGGACGGAGAAAAGTTGAACGTGCGTTCCCGACTCGGTCTTTACGAATCGCGGATCAACCGTGTTCCGGAACCAGTCAAAAGAAACGAACGGTCAATCAGCTGGCTATCCAGCGCGAGCCGCACGCGTAAACGGATGAGAGGGGAGGTGACTGCTAGAAGTCAGAGACGTCGTATTTAAGTTTATGTTCTGCTTTTTCAACAGTCGTTTGATGTATTGATATTTTTAATATACATTCAGAGAGGATTTGATTTGCAATTTGAATCGTCTTTTTTTCTTTCGCGCTGGTGATTTTCCTTTGGCGCTGCGTAAAACCTCTTTGGGGGGCGCCAGAGAATTCTCTATGCAGGAAAAACCCTGTAACCTAGTGTTGCAGGGGTGAAACATTTGTCGGATACAAACATCTAGAATACCATTAGATAGCAGACGACACTGCACACAACAAATGGCCTAAACACCTGCAAGCCACTTTTGCATGTAACCTGGAGACAGCTATACACATGACATGTTTAACATAAATATAACAACAATCATCTGTACTTTAAAATGCATTCTGCAGATATCACTGACCAGGTGGAAGTTGGAAGGGGAAATATCACAACCACAAACAACAATATACAACAGTGTAGTAACAGCTGCCTTAGCTTGATTTCCTAAATTCCAAGTTCCACAACGGAAAAAGGGGACTTGCAAATTGAGACTTCTCTGGCCACCTTTTTTTGTCTTCTTTTTCTGCAATGTTTGGGCTTGTTTTTTTTAGGCTGTTAAACAGTTGTTGTTTTTTAAAGCCAATGTGTCCTACCAATCAACTTTACATTACTTAAGGTTTCTCTAGTACCCTGAAAGCACCATATCTTAAACGGAAGCAAAGAATCTCTCTCAGTTGTTTTCTAAAAACTGTATTTTTTTTCAAGAGGTCAAAGATAGTACTCCACATGTGCAGTGAAGAGCATTGTCACCTTAGTTTACTTGTTATAGGAGGAATTAAAGGGGGTGCATCTGTCCCTAGTCTCCCTTACTTTTCTCCTGTACATCAATCACTGGGTTGTCCTGCTGCACTTAACACCATCCTCTAAAGACAAAGTTGTTTAACAGTAATATTCTGTTGTCATCCTTCGGCACAGCGCCTGAGATTAAAACAAAAGTGCTTAACGAGTCAGCAGAAGGACTCTGTTATAGAATGCACTACGGCGTGGAGAGCTCATTTATCTTGTAGGGAATCTCACATTCAATACTGAAGGAATTTAATAAGGACCCAGCCCTACACCCCACACCGCAGCTGTCAATAATGGCCTTGCAATCTCATTTGCATTCAGACCTGGTGCTGGTGGTCCTATTCAGTCAATATTGGACCTCAAAGCATCTACATTAGGATCATCTTTTTTTTTTTACCCATCAACCACAGGGGTACTTGGTGGTGGCAGGCATGGGGCTTTGTTCCTTGGGGTAGACAGTTTTATTAATCAAAGGGAAATTGCAGCGGCGGGAAGGTGGGGGCTGGCCGACGTCTTTGTAGCGGTGTCAAGAGGGGATTGTCTGTGGAAGGTCAGCGCTGCGTCCGTGGAGCTTTCACTTTCGGCGAAGTTCAAAGGAATGTGCCATTCACTTTCTATCTGTGTCATTGTCCACTCAGCCAAAGACACTCAAGGACCCACTGCAGCCCCCCCCCCCCTCCCAGAACGCTCAAGTGTTTTAGTCTGATGCAGCTTTGTGTGTTTATTGCAGATCTCGTGTCACTATTGCTGCATGACTGAGGTCAAACACCTACCATAAGAAGAAATAGCCTTTTATAGCCAGAAAAATCACCACGTCTTGACCTGAGATGTGATTTTGACTTTTGGGCATTGGTCATTGGATTATTAAAGCTTATTGAGATCAACTAATGATGCGTTGTTTTTTTTATGTTGTCAGGGTGAAAGCACAATGCTGGACAGGGACCTGATGACGGAGAAGTCAGCTAAAAGTAGTGCCTCATTTAAAGTTGGCAAGCCTGGAAGAAAACGCAAGTTTCAGGTAAGTGTTGATCCAGCATGCCAGAAATTACATCCATCCATACATTCTTGTGAAAGGGGAATTTCTATGAAACCCCAATTTCTGTGCTAATCTCTTTCTTTAGAGTTCAAAAGTTCGCTGATGCTTTTGCTAGTATTACGGAAAACTGGCTTAGTGTCCTTTATGAAACTTCCCATCCTTGGAGAATTTTAGCAAAGTGTTTGAGTGTCTCTCTAGGTTCAGAATGGTTTGATTTGGGAATGTGTGATTTAAAAAAAAAAAGCATGTCCCACTTTGCAGGGTGAAAGGAAACCATCTTGTGTCTGATGAGGACAAGACTTGATTAATCATCAAAATATGTGGATCAATTGGCACATTATCATACAGTCTCTTCAGGAAGGTATTCAATGTGTCATGCCTGAGAAAAGCCAAATAAGAAAGTTGTGTGACAATGAAAAAAGGGAGCAGGGTTAAGAGAGGTTCAAACTTTATCAACTTCACACAACTATTTGCAAAATACTTCCTGAAGTGGGTATGAATGTTGGATTCCAGAAAGTATTAGATATTCTAATTATGTCATTGGGGTAGGGTCTTTCACATGCTCGTTGACCCTCCAATAAGCACTTTGGTTGGAGAACGTTTGGCTAAGTAAAACAAACTGCTTGTTGGATGATCAAGCATTGCTTGAGCCCCTCTCCCCAATCCTAAAAATCTTACACTGAACACAGTCTCAATACAATTAATCATTAAATGTCTGGAACAAGGTTAGCCTCCCCCGCATCATTCTGATCTCTCTGGATTGTGGAGGAGGAGTGTAAGTTCAAACTTTTAGACACAACACCCAGTCTTTCACTGTAGCAGCTTGATAAAAGGTGGTTTTCCAACTGATGAGTAGACTTAAGAAGACTTTTCTTAAATGTTGTGTGTTGGAAAGCAACTTTAGGAGAAAAAAGAATTGGGTCTAAGCGGGAGTGTTGTTCGCATCTAAAGATTTAAAGTTGATAAATAGTCAAAGTTAGGCGAGGCAAATTTATATATACCGTATTTTCCGCACTATAAGCGCACTTAAAAGCCTTTAATTTTCTCAAAAAACGACAGTGCGCCTTATAATCCGGAGCGCCTTATATATGGATCAATTGGTTAATTGGTTGATCCATACTGGTTGTACACGGCGCTCAGCGACACTGACTCGGATAATGACGAGAGGGAGCCGGGCATGTTGGATGCCGTACTCGCCCAACTGTTCAATTCGGACACTGAAGAAGAAGAATTCGAGGGATTCGTGGACGGGGAATGAACTGAAAAAGTGAGCTTTACGTGTTATACGTAACTGAACAATGTTGAGTTATGCACTAACGTTTGAATTAGCGGTATCAGACTGTGTTTCTTTTACGTGTTTACAACTGAACAAGGCTGGGAGATATTGTGAATATGCACATTAACGTTTGAACAACGTTGAGTTATTGTGAATGCACTACGTTTTATACGTATTTATATTTATATATTCACAATATCTCCCAGCCTTGTTCAGTTGTAAACACGTTCTATTCTATGCGCCTTATAATCCGGTGCGCCCTATATATGAAAACAGTTCTAAAATAGGCCATTCATTGAAGGTGCGCCTTATAATCCGGTGCGCCTTATAGTGCGGAAAATACGGTATATAAGAGCAACTCAAAGTGTTTGACCCAGTTAATAAAAATATCATTAAAAACTTGAAGTATCTAGTAGTTTAGAGGCTTTAAATGATCATAAGTTTAAATGTCAGTGTTTTTTGCTATAAAGCTAAAAAAAAAATGAAATACGTTAAAAAACCCACACAGGAAAAGACCTAGCAGTAGAGTCTGCATAAATATGAAAGAGACATTCTGACCCTTTAAAACAAGACATATAATAACTACATTTGTACTCATACATTAACATCACAGTCTCCTGTGTTTCTCAGCAGCTCACAAACACTACACTACTACCATGTAATGTGTTTGTCTTTTGTAGTGAAAAGCTTTGATTTAATAATGACTCCTGGGCCAACGTGTATATCTAGGTGTTTTGTTCCCTGAGATGTTATCATTTGCATAAACCTCTGCTTAAAATCCTGTTAATTAATGCTCCCAGTGATGAAGAACAAACAGAAACATGGGGATAACAAAAACATTAACAGAAAGGTGTGTTAGGAGGGATATGCCTGAGGGTTTGTGTCAGTGTTTATAAAAAAAACAGCTGAGGGCTTCTTCTTATAACAGATGAAGAACAGCTAAAGTCAGAACACTGTGAGAGCGTCCTGGCGTGTATTTTCATAGCTGTAGGGGGTAGGTTGACCACATGTGTCAGACTCTACAGTCACATAGGTGTTTTTCTAATGTGTATGAGACAGTCGCCCGGAAGAGTACTTTCAAATTCTATAAGCTGCAAAGCATTATTTGGATTTTTTGCTTTGAATTTTCAAGATTCTCTGACAAGGATACCAAAAGGAATCATCTTTCTGTCTTTGTGCTGACTTTAAAATGTTAAAGACTGAATTGCTGCTGTTAAAACGTCTTGATTCATTAACTTCCGTTCACAGGGTTTTTGTTTCCTACATATTAACAGACCTTGCTGCTCTTTAATGTCATACGCCAAGTCAGTTCCTTGAGCTAGTCTATTTCCACAGAATCAGTCCTGAATTTAATTGAATTGTTGTGTTGAAACCTATTGTACATTATCACACTTATTACATGACTACTTACTGATCAAATCAATACATTGTCACAAAATATTGATTTTGAAATGATTTTATTGATTTGTAAAAAAAAAAAAAAAAAAAATCTTCTGTTAACCAAATAGTCTGTTGGAATCTAGAATTGGAGCAGTTAATACTCACACTGAACATTTGTACTGATGATGGTGAAGTGAGGTGAACAGATCTGCATGAATCAGTGAAGCACCTAACCTGAGATTTTCTGCTCTTCATGCCTCATGGGTCTGTTGACATTTACTTTTCCATTCACTACCTCCGTTAACACCACTGTTTCCAATACCCTGTTCCGATACGTGTTGCCTTCCTGTGCAATCTTCAGTTATGTAGATTTCTCTGGCATAGCGAACCTCTTTCCTCCATTTTTATCCTTTATGTTCTCTTTTCTCCCTAAGTCACAGACTGACACCAAATGTACCGGACTTCTTTCACTGGATTGATATTTTTACAGTTAGTCCTCAAGATTCTGGGATAAGAGTTGTGTCCCTAGTAACCCTGTGCTTTGCTTAGTAACGACTATTTCTTCCTAACAACAGTGACATGTCGAGGGATAACAGAGCGTTGCTATGTGTTATTAGCCAATCACAATCAAGTATTTAACTCAGCTTTGTAATAATCAAAGACAAACTTGCTACATGCTGGGATGTTTATGTTGATCTACGACTATGCAGTAATTGATTTAATCCCTGATGAGTATAATATTCATTAGTGCAGCTTTAACTGAAAAGTGAATCAGTTTCGTTCAGCCTATCACTTGTGTGTTGTAATGCTGAAGCAGCAACTTGCTCTGTTTTACCAGTGTTTCATTTTGACCTCTGTCTGCCTGTCTGAGCCGTCTCATTTACCCACTGTGACTTTTGACCTCTGGCAGGGGCCACATGTAGTTCACTGGGTTACGAATCTGTTGCATAATTCTTTAAGCGACAGTTGTGTGTTTACCGTTTCTCTGCTTGTATGTGTGTGAGCCTATTAGCTGAGTGAGTGCATGTGTTTGACTTTCACACTACAGCCTCATTTCTTTTTTTTTTCTAGTTTTAAAATGAGTCAGAATATTAATAACGCCTGAGCTTGTTGTTTTCATTCATGGTGTCAAACAGATTTACAAGCTCGCGGCTCTTTGTGTTAGAGCAACTGTTCAGAATTTACTGTTAATTTGTTTTCTGTTACTACAATGATGAAGTCATTCAGAGTTCTGCGGGCTGCAGGGAATGCTTAAAAACTAACTTTGGCTGAATGTAGCTTTGTTTTACGATACAGTACAACTTTTTCTGAAGCTTATTTTGCATCTCTGTTCCAAATAATTTGCATTGCATTCATTACACAGATGTTTTTATAGGTCTCTTGGTCACAATAACGCTAGTTTTACTTTTGAGTTTTCACACTAAATCTGCAAGAGCAAGATTACATTAGACTTTTTAGCTTCCAGCAACGGATATTGTGTTTGCTAAATATCGGCTGCTGAAGGACAGAAGCCTCCTGAGGCGTTGCTGTCTCCTGCCTAAAATGCAAACTGCTCTGCATAAACCTACTGGGGATGAAAGCTTCAGAGCTGCTCTCATCACTGTTGACAGTCTGATCTCACAAGACATGCTCCACTTTCTGCTCCCAGTGACCCAGTAATGGGATTGTCTGAGAAAGTGTCTTTTTATGGCTATTTTTAGGCAGGAGCAAAGACATGCAGATCAGATTTTTTTTTTTTAAACATTTGTAGTTGAGATGTATCTTTTCTTGGTCTTACAAGAGAGGCGATGCTTTCTTTTCCCAAGGGGAAAAGGAAGGTTTGAATGTTGAATGTCTGCCGCTGTAACTTGAGATAGGTCAGCTCTCTTTGAATTCACTCCTCTGCAAAGAATGAAATAGTTTAACTGGGCGTTCCAGGCTGGACGGAGTGAAAACGTCTTCCCTGTCAAACAGCCAACATTCTTCACATATTTCCGTGCTGCTGTAATGTTGAATGTACTGCTACAGGAAGCTCGGCCATGTACCTGATGAACTCTACTGTAATCCTTTCCTCACTCACAAGTTAATGGCTGTACAGCAGATTTACTGGCACGGCTTTGAAGTTTACAACTGGGGTTTAACAGAGCTGAATGGGAAGTGCCATAATTCACACACTAATAAGTGTAGAAGTGGAACTATGCGTTTGATTGGGTCCAGATGGTAGCTGAGGGATGAAATTAAGCTTATCTTACATTAAAGGGATAATTGCTTTAATTCATATTTTCTTTCAAATAGCCCATTTAGCCAATAGACACTGCACGGTGCTTATCTTCACTTTGATATGCCAGCTGTTTTATTGTTGCCGATGGAGATGACCTTTTTTTAAGCATGCTGTATGATTTGTTATAACTCCTGAATGGTCTTGTTTATTGCACAGTCGGCTACAATATATCCAGAGATGTGTCATAACTGCACATTCAGAAAGCCTTCAAAACTTCAAACTGTAACAAACTGCTGCAGTAATAATAACCTCCAGAGCTGATACATTGCCGTGATGTTAATGTTTCATCCTCCTCTCCCCCTGCAGGTGGAGAGCTGCGACTCTCTCAAAGGCAGTGTGAGTGTGGGTAAGAGCTACAGCGGGCTCGGTAGGCCGTCCATGGCACAGGTCCACAATGGAGACGTGGGCGGGCACAGGGACAGGACGTCTGAAGCCTGCTTCCCCAAACAGGAGAGGAGGGAAGTGGAGAACGGGATCCCCAGAGACCCTTCCTCCTGCCGGGCAGAGGATAGCTCCCAGGGTCAGAGCCTGAGTCTGTGTCCTCCCCAGGAGAACGGATTTCTGCCCAGCCGGGACGAGCAGGACACAGAGAAAGACAAGGACGACAGCCTGACGACACCGCACAAGAAAAGAGGACGGCGGAAACTGGAGCGTCCAACTAAATGTAAGTTTTTTTGGCTTCAGTTTGTTTGGCTTGGTTACCTTTGATCTGATCTCTGTGGATCTGGCAGGGAAAAGTCATGTGCATGTGATCAGAACAAAATGTGGAGTAGTAAACTGTACACAGATGCCAGATTGAGAGTGGGCTAAAAGTGCTGCTGCACAGTGCGGTGACGAAAGGGCACCAAACCAAGATTGCAGACATAATCATGTTGTACTGTTAACACTTACTGTACTGTAATTCACATTTTAAAGAAAGTTATGCATGCTATGTTTCACCATTTGGAGCTTTTATCATTCATGTCATGGCTTTCCGAATGCTTTATCTGCGCACAACTAGTTTACATTTGACAGTGCAGCATGAACAATATGACCATAATATATTCTTTAAAATACTAGAAAACTGAGATAGACACAAATATATAAATAAACTGAATGGATTACAATAAATGAAAATGATAGAAAAACAGGAAATCAGAAAGCGCAGGCTCGTGTGAAGTCGACAAACAACAGTCTCAGTGAAGCAATTTCCTTTGTGTTCTACAATAAAGGTTATTTGAATATTCAGTTTACCAAATAAAGTTCTGCAACTAATTTGATTACCGATTGATAATGATTGCCATTTTTGACAAGTGAGTCCAGCGTCTCATATGAACATACAATATGTAGCTTTTCTTTATCTTAAGTGATGGTAAAATGAACCATTTTGAGTTTTTTATGTTTTTTGTCAGAAAAAGAAAGGAATTAAAAAATAGCATCAAAGGAAATTGATGCTGCTTTTAAGAAATTTCAAGCCTGACGATTAATCAAGGCATTCAATGTTAATTTAGGATTCATAATGAAAACAACCGCAAGACCTGATAACGTGATTGAGGTTAAAACAGTTGTCTTAAAATGAAAGGAACGTGTATTGAAAAAGAAAGCATTACCTGACCTATAAAATTTGCTGTTGCATGCGAACATTTTTAACTCTAGTCAATCCTTTGAAATTGAGTTTTGGTCCCACAGAGGTGAACCATCAGCATCCTCAGTGCAGCAGATAACATTAGGCTATAAAGATGATATAAATCAGGGGGGCATTGTTTGGAGAGAGTGGTGCTGACAGGTAGTTTTTTAGGCCAAGATGAAGATTAACAATATCACTTAGCCTCCCCCATACCCTCTGCTCTCCAGTCCTATCTCTCTCTCTCCCTGAGCCACGTGTCTCTTTCGCTCCTCTCTCGGCCACAGACACCGGCTATGACCTTGATGAGGGGTGCAGTAAATAAAGCCAGGGGAGGAGCTACTGGTCTCCTGGCAACCAGCCTCTGTTGAGAGCTGGCAGGTCTGTGTTGTGGCCGCCTCCCTGTCGGGGCCATGCCAGGTGGATGGCGTTTTGCCCAGAGCTCTTTACAAACCGAGTCTACACTCGGTTTTCACCTGATCTGTGCTTCAAGGATCTGTTACCTCACTCTGAAACACAAATCTGGGATCACACTGTTTGCTTTTGGGGTAAATAAAAAACACTATTTTAATAAACCAAGCGTGCATGTCTCTGCAGATAGGTTTGGGTCCCATGCTGCTCCGCTGTAGATGACAAAGTGATGAACACAGAGGTCATGAGGAATATCTTAATTTAACACATCACGTCGATGGTGAGAAAATCTTTGAGACATTTTTAAAATGCTCGCAACATTGTTTGAATATGGGTATGGAACATTAAAGCAGGATGAGGCAGGAGAATGTGACTTGATAATATTTATTGGGACAATGAAAGTCATGATTTTTTTCTTTATTTAGCCTTTAATTCTTATTTGATAGTTAAGATGAAAAAATAGTTTCAAAACTGAGCCTGAAATGTATGCGCTCTTAAGAGTTTGTTGCTACAATGATAAATTTGTACTCTTATCTTGAGTTCAGATTTTAGATGTACATTCTTCTTCTGATTCAGATATACACTCCTTCATATAAGACAATTATACACTACAAAAAAAGACACATTACTCATATAGACGTACAATAAAATACACGCACAACAGTACAAAGATATGATTTTTTAAGTTTGTCAACTTATTAAAATGGTGATGGCTCTGAATTGCTTTTAGTAAACATTTAGCATTCATTATATATGATTTTAATATTTCGAATTAATCTGTTTCAGGATTCAAATTACAGATCTACACCATGGTATTTTACAGTTGCTGTTCACAGTGCTGTCTGTGTCTTTGGAAATAGTCTTGTCTTTAAAGGGCACTTCCCTCCAAAAGAAGAGGGTCGAATGCAAAGATATTTTTGCATAGTACTAAGTGTGGGTCAAGCATCGTCACAGTTCCATTTCAAATCCCAGCCCATTAATCAGGCAGTGAAACCACTTTGAATGACTCCTGTCTTACAGAAACATGTAGGGAGCTGCAGTTGTGTGAGCTGGTATGAATAAACAGAGCAACATTGGGTCAGTCAGGTTTATGCAGTGATTTGTCTTGCATGTTTATAAAACCTTTCAGATATATTGGGGGGCCAGTAAATTCAGGTTTCACACACTGACAATCTGCAAGCAAACATTGTATAAAATAAGCTAATCCAGCTAGCCAAGAAAAACATATTAACACTGATGCATTCATCTTGTTTCCTTCCCAGCTTTGTTCTACACATTTATGCTGTTTGACTTCAGGGTCAAAGCCCAGCGTGAGAACTGTGGAGCATGCAGGGAATGCCTAGGCCAGAAAGGGGCAGATTGAGGTGTATAGATGCAAGAGTAAATCTATTTCCAACTTTTTTATCTGAGTCTCTTAGTCTCGATTTCCAGAAATTCTTCTTTTCAGTCAGACAAAAACATTTGCAGGTCTTAAATTTCCATTTTTTACATCATGTTAATGTACTGATTCATTCCTCTGACTTTCTAACACAACTCTCTGTCAGAACTTTTTTGAGTGACTGACAGGCTTCACAGCACCTAAGCTAATCGAAACTGCTCTGCTCTGATGCTCAATCCACGGGGGCATCCATGACGAAACAAACACTCTTGACATGTCAACCAGTGTGTTACAAAAAGGATGTTTTAAAAGTGTCAGTTGGAACTTCTGTGTAGAATGGCCTCAGAGACAGGAAGTAAGTTTTTCAAGTTTTCAATAGAAGCTTGAAACGGCGGACTGCCTCGACAGAAAGAGGAACTAAGTATTGAGCACAAGCAGTGTTAGCCACAAACTGAAGAGAGGAGGACGGAAAATTTAGATAAGAGGTCTGCACAGGGTCTGCAGGCCCCTTAAAACTCGTAGCAGATGTTTGTGACATGCTTTTTTCTTGACGGCATATGCAGTCACGTAGTAATGTGTCACAGTGCAGGATGGATAGTTTGTCGTTTGCATGCTTTACACTGACAATGTTGGTTTCTTTGTTTTTTTTAGTAATATTTGAGACCAGTGACATAATGGAACAAAGATGCATCAATTATTTCAATCAGTAAGTCAAACTAATATAGAGCAAGATATTAAGATACAAAAGCTGTCTGCACACATGCAGAAACCTTTGTAGAACATGTTCAAGTTGAGCACATGTATGAATGCAAACAGCTGAATTTTTCACCCCAACTTTCCTTAGAATTTTCCTGCCAGGCCCCTGCTTAAACTTTAGCATTATCAGGCTGAGCTGATGTGGGAGTGCAGGAAATGTCAAAGGAAATTTCCCTGCGAGCGAACTGGCAGGGTTGTTGACATTGATATCATGCACACAATGAAACGGCTCCTTTCTCATTTCTGCCCACCGGTATGTTCTTTTGCACTAATTTGTTTGTACTATTGACTATGGATACGTCCATTTTCATGGAGCCTTGACATGAAAGGCAAAAAACTGTCACTTAAGTACCAGATTCTGTCGACTCTGCAGTCATCTTGGATTTCCAAAGTGCATTTTTTTACCTTCTGAGACCCCCCCCCCATCCCCTCCTGTCCGACATAGCTTTATAAGCAACTCAGAAAGATTTCAGGGGTAGGCTGTCCTGAAATTTTCTAGATATTTTCAGGAATGAATGTGTGAAAAAAGCTATACTGCAGTGTGAAGATTGAAAGATTAGTTAGCAGGCTAGTTGCAGAAAAAAAGTGCAAAAGTGTCCCGTGCAGTGTTAAACTGCCTTGAAATCTCTAGATGAGCAAAAACAACAACACAGTGTTTTGCCAGCAGGATGTCTTGAAATACAGAATTTGACCATGATTTAAATGTTTTCATGCTGTTATCTGTTCACTGAAGTGTTGGTACATTCATCTCAGAGAGCAGATTCCTTGGTGAGAGGCAGTGTGGTGGATCGATAGCTAGCTAAACAGGGTTGATGTTATCCATCTGGAGGGCACAGGAAGGATTTGAGCTCTGGCTGGATGGGAACTTAGATCTAGCAATACGAGAGCTGGAACCCGCTCAAACTGGCATGGTATACTCTCTAAGGGCAACATCCGCCAGCTCCCCTCACAAACCCAATGACCTTGGTGGTCCGCAGCGCCTCACTGATTTGTTATATAGTCACTTATTCTCGATGAGGACGAGGAGACCAGAAGGTATGGAAGGGGAAAAAAGAGCAAAGGGGAGGGAGGGTAGGGGGCTTGGCTACACATGGAACCAACTTGAAGAGGCTGCTAAGAGAGTGGACTATTGTTTGGACAGGTCTTTAGGGTACTTCAGTGACAAGCAGGTGTTGGCTGTGTGGAAAACATGCCATCAAAAGTTGTCCTTAGCCTCTCAGGATTCAAGTGTTATGATAGTGTTCAGGCTTGGACTCAGCAGATAGCCATGTATACTCAGGACTTGCCATGGTGCTAATTTAGGGAGCAGCTGCTTGAATGATGTGTGTAAACTCTGCTGCTGTCTTATCTCTGAGCCCAGGCGCTTTTACAAACTTGCTTCTATTGAAATTAAACATTGTTTTCGTAATACCACGGCACAGGGGTTGGTTTTAGCTTCTGTGATGGAGCAAATTTTGGCTTCTTTATCTATTTTTCTGCTTCGGCTGCCTGTAAAGAAAAAAAAAAAACATGAATCATGGATCCTGACTGTAGTGCTAGTGTTTCAGTTGGGTGGTGTCCATGCTCCCTGGCTAACCCTGCGCAGCTCTGCTGAACACAGGAAAACAATGTTGTTTAAGAATGAATAACTTGCCCTTGTTGTTCAAACCTCCAGATCTTAAATCACGGCCAAGTTAAAGGGAAATCCCAACAGGAGCTTTTATTGTGTTTAAGTAATTTTTATTAGACTGCGGTTTCAGTGCCTGTTACACCCAAATATTTTCTGTGCTATTTTTGATGATCTTTACCCTGCTGCTGCTTCTCTCGCTTGGGGTTTTACACCTCCCTCAGCATATATGGAGCACTTTGTTTCCTGTGGAATATATTTTAGTCTTTCCAAGAAACTGCTGAAAAAAATTCAGAACTTTAAAATCAGATGATACATCAGTATTGAAAAAAGTGTATCAATCTTTTATGTAGAACAGTAACAATACTGCAATTTCAAAAATACTGCATTACAATACGTATCTCTGAAATAATAAGATGTAGCCTATATACTGGAGTAATAGGTGGAAATGTGGCTAATTGTAATACACTTGTTTACAGTTGGGGTAGTTAAACCTTCAAGATCACACCTTATTTTTTGAGACTATCTATCAATTAAGTAATGGAGATTCAATTATTTCAAATCAGGTGGTATCAAAATGTTGTATTGAAAAACCGGACAATCTAATCCCTATGCCCCCTGGACAAACTCTGTCTACCGATGAAGATTAGGAAGGATTCAATGCCTCAGCATGGTGTAAGTGTAGCCTCAAGCATAATGTGTAACACTGCCACATGCTAATGTCGAAAACAAAAACACACAAGTTGTATATTTTCTGGAGTTGCTCCTGTCTTTATTCCAAATATTACCAAAAAGGTTCAAATATTGAGAAAACGTTATTCGATTTGAGTTCATGGTGTGTTACATTTGGTCAGCTGTCTCCTACAGAATCAATGCAAACACTAAAATTTGTATTTCAGAGTGAGAAAAGAAATCGTCAAACTGTTCACATTAGCCACAATACAAGCGTCTTCGTCAAGTTTTGTAAATAAATGGGAAAATGTGACATAATTGACATAAACGTATCAGTATTCATGATTTAACCTCAGACGGATATTATTAGTAGTACTTTATTATCTAATGTTTCCAAGGTCAAGAATGAACAAGAACCTCAAGGTTGTATTAAAGAAACTTGATTCATTTTTAAGGCTCTGCTCCCATTTTTTCCTAGAGACAAATACCATCTTATGCCTTTCTCTACCTCATTTGAACATAACTCCACTGCAGCAGAAAGTATGAATGTCTGGATCTTGATGATTTTGAGTACAGCGGGACGATTATACACAACCCTAAAGCCACGATCAAGTGAGGGGCTATTTTGTTGCATTTACGGCTCAGTGTCAGCAGCCATGGTAATAGCAAACAGCTGTGGGTCTCATGAAGGGGGGATATAAGGTCAGAAGTGTGACATTTGCCAAAGTAAACCTGGCCCCTCTCCACACTCATCATAACCTGGGCAGACACTCCAAACTCTCTGGGTTGCATCAATCCCTCATATGGCACCTGAGCAGACAAGTTGTCGTGATCCCCCATGGAGTTCATCTCTTTGCGCCAAATAGGAGATACCAAGTTTTGCAGTTTCATTCATTTATCAAACACTGTCAGTACGTTAACATGCACAGTTAAGTTATAGCTCAATTCGAAATTTAGTTGGATTACTGTCCTTGTCCCAGTTATATATGCACCTGGGGAGAATCGATTAGTATGTCCCATTCTACTACAGTAGGTGTCCCTTTCAGCTAGCTATATTTGAGCTTCTTCTGGTTGAACTGGCTAACAAGTTAGCAAGCAGCGAACTGGTTGTACTGTATGTGAAGTATACACATGAAAACATGGACAACTTTACCGCTCTGTTCATTTTGTACATGCTCTACACTTCACTTATGGTTCAAATGCAATGCATGCTATCCCTCTAGTTTATGATGATATCCGATTGATCGTGTTGGTGTTAAGGGGATTAAAAGGTCTGGCAATATGGTGTAACCAATTCATGGAGCGACTTACAAACAAGCATACAATTTTAAAATGAATTCCACAATCAGTTTTAGTTGGTCAAACACAATAAATCGACTTTTGCTGTATCTGCATGTGAACGAGTGTAAGGATGAGGTGAAGTTTGAGACCAATTTAGGTTTATAATAGTGTCATGTGGTTTATTGATGAAAGGGAACGCACTTCATTTTGAAAACAGATATGTGGATAAACAATGTGGTCAATCTCTACACTCCTGTGACTGATTCAGGCCATCCTTTGTGTTCCTGTCTCCTCTTTAGATGTGGAACACAAGGAGGAGGACGGGGCAGATGCAGTCAAGACCGAGGTAAGATTTCCTCTCTACTGAGTCTCTGTGTTATGGTTGATGTAACTCTTGAGGTGTCTTTCACACTTGCCAGGCTTTAGCTCCTCGTTTTTGGGAGTAATTACCTTTCCTGTCACAAACTGTGATTCCTCTGCTTGCAAACGAGATAGAAGGTCATGCTGCAGCTCAAGCAGAAGCAAAATAGCTTTTCCTGACTTAGAAAAGGATATGCACACTGGTATGTAATAAAAACATAAATTGTTTGGAGTTTTAGGAAATCATTTTGTTGTCTTGCCAAGAGCTAGATTAAATAATCAATCAGGTAAAATGCAGGTGACAATTAGCTAGCCTGGTTCAGCGTAAACCAAACAAAATTCTGCAGCCTGCACCTCTTTATCTCATTAAATAAATGTTATATTTTGCTTAATGGGAACAAAAACCAAAGCTTACAAATCAGAATTCCTTTAATTAGTGGTTATAAACCAGGTTTCTTGGACCAGTAACATTTTATCTTTCCTGTTATTTAAAGATTTGGGCTGGTTGTGGGAAGAGCCAAGCTAGCTTAAACACATTTCCATTCTTTAGGCTAAGCTAGGCTAATTGGCTTCTGGCTCGAGGTTCATATTGAATAGACCTACTGTATATGTGAGTAGTATACCATGTATCGTCTCATCTAGCCTTTGGCAAGAAAGGAAAAATGATTTTTGCCACCTTTTCTCCATCAAATGTATGACCAAAGCTTGCAATGAATTTTAACTGTCAGAACTTTTCCTTGGCGAGAAGGCTAGCATGGTGACCTTTCTTAAAAGTAGAGAAAACTGTAGTTCATCTCTTCCCTTTTGCCTTGTGAAAGAAATGGTACCTAATGGTGTATAGATTTGAAATATCAAATACACTTGGGAGCTTCTTGTTTCTATTGGTTCTGGTAACCTTGGGACTGTTGCCAGGGAATAGTGATTAGACACTGTGGTAACACTTGTTGCTGCCTGACCAATCACAGGCTCATAGCACCATACGGCACACCAACACGAGTCATCTTTTTTTTATTTTTTATTTTTTTTTAACTAGACCACCCCATCGCTTTAACCATCAATTACCTGCTTGTTAGCTGTAGTCTGTTTCACAGGCTTCAGCTGCTGATTGGATGCATAGATTTACGGCAAATCTGAATGCCTCCTTTCAAACGACCCTTTAAAAGACAGAAGACAAGTAGCTAACTTTGTTTCCTTAACACCTTAAACAGGGAGGTCGAGGCAGGCTGCGAGGGGGAGTTGGTTGGGAGATCAGCCTTCGGCAGAGGCCTGTGCCCAGAATAACCTTCCAAGCTGGTGACCCTTATTACATTAACAAGCGGACCAGAGAGGAGTGGCTGGCCAAGTGGAAGATGGAGGTGAGTACCCCCAGATCTGTCCCAGCCACCACAGAGTACAGGGTGAGAGACAGGCATGGACCAAAAGCTGCCAGGGTGAAAGATAGGGCTTTTGGTGCGTTCATGGCCAAGTGTATTTGATGCGTCATTTGATATCTCATGAAGGTACCATTTATTTCAGTGGATTTCCGGGGGTTATTGGCTCAGTCAGCTCCTGCATTTCCTTTCTTTGTTCTGGTCATTAGTCTGCGATTAGCAGAGCAGAAACCACAAGCAGCTGCGATGATCACATCTGTTTGATGCCTTCACATGATTCATGCTTTCTAAAATATTGCTGCTATAGACTTGAGGTTTTCAAATGTGCTTAACTTTATATTGATATAAACAAGTCTTTTTTAGAAGGATTATCCACAGATTTAGTTGATGTTTCAAATGATAAAAACATAAAGACCACTGTTGGTGGGCCAGCATTGTTTCAGGTATTGGTCACAAGATAAAATCCAAAATCCTGATGGGATCAATGGCTTTGAAGACTGATCAGGTGTCTAAACAAAGAGGATTTTGCCAATTGGAAAAGTTGCCAGAACAACAGTTATTTGTTTTTCCATTACAACATTTGGGGGTAAAATAGAATTACGTTATTAAGGTATCTGTTAAATGCCTCTACTTGTGTAAAGGTTAAAATTGAAGGCATCTTCAATTCTTCCTTTTTTTCCCCAAAAGTGTAAGGGAAATTAATGATAATGTTGGTTTGAACACAGCTTTCTCTCAACATATTTAATAGCAACTATTTCTTAACTTTTCATGTTAATAAATGGCATTAATAAACTGTCGGAAATATCCGTTAAGTCAACATCTACCACAAGTTCCATTTAGTATCAATTTTCAGCTTTTAATTGGATCTTACACATGGACCATACATACCAAATTCACCACTTAAGTTTGGTGCTTTGTAAACAAAACAGTATTTTTTTCCAGATTTAGATTAATCAAATAAGCTATATTGGTGACTTCTCCGAGCTCTGAGAGTTAATAAAAGCTCGTAATGTAGCATGGTGTTAATTCTCAGGAAAATGAAGTTCCCATATTGCTCATTACTTAGTCATGTTAAATCTGACTCAGGTTAATAATGTGATGTAGTGCAACTACATCTGTTACATAATGAGGAGTCTCCGTAGCATCAACATGGGATCTTCCATTTCTTCTACCACCCTGCCCCCATCAGTTCCCCTCTGGAGAAGACCCGGAGAGCAGCTATAAAAATGTCTCCAGGGAGAAAATATTGCCAAATTAGCAGGACATGCCGAGGTCCCACAAGTGAAATGTTGTAAAATACGAGGCAAGTAGGCAGCTCACGTTTTCAAAACAGAGGTGGATTTTCTTGAACAAGTAGCCCTACAGGCTGAGATTTAAGGGGATTTGCAAAATGCAAATTTTGACTGTGCCTGTTTACTCCTCTTTTGTCATCTGGTGTATTGAACGCTTTGATCTAATTTGCACAAAGAGTGATTTGTTCTGGCACCAAAGCGCTTTCCTGAGAAGTAATATGATGCACAGCCTTTAGTTATGCTCCTGTGGTTGACACGGAGCCTCTTGCTGTTGCACGTTTCTGTAGCAGGGAGGACATGGGGGCTGAAAGGGTTACTGCCGTCTTGCACTTTCTGCGGGATCTCTTTTTTTCACGTGCCTTGTGTTACAGTGGACTTCTCCGTCTCGCTGTTTCCCTCCCCCATTCTTTATCCTGACCCCTCCCCCCCCAGCTATGGAAATGAACTCTGTGCTATGGATATGAGGGTGAAGATGAGGTTTGCAGCAAATTTCCAGTCCTGCTTGCAAGACAGCCTCTTGGCTCGTTGCCAACATTTTGCAAGTCCTCTCTAGCCAACCAGAATTCCTGTCGGCAATCACCTGACCCTGAATTCCCAGACAAAGAAATGTTCATGCTTTCTTTTTTTAAGCGATCTCTCCTACCCTGAGAGTGGGGGTGAAAAAAAAAACTCAAGCCCCACACTGGATTATGAGGGTTGCGCGCTGGTGTGTATGGGTATGTGCACTGCATTGTTTGTTTGATAACACAGGGGGATTGTGTGCATGTTTGATTAGCCTGCTTACAGCGAGGGAAATATGCTGACTTCAGGTATTTCCACGAGAGTTGTCGTAAACCATCTGCTCTGCACGGCTTAAAGGGAAACCGACTCTTTAAAAAAAAAAAAAAAGGAAGAGTGAGCAGGCTTTTGCCATGTTTGGGGGGAAAAAAAGTTGCTTGCATGTAAAAAGTTTCTCCCGTGGGGTTAATATGTGCTGAAATGATTTCCTGCTCCATAGCCGCTCCTAGAAATGACAGTGTGTTATTATGTTTTTTAGGTCAGATATATTTACCTGAAATGCCGCTGTGTTTTGAGAGCCAACGTGACTTCACCTTACATAACATCCAACTGGGAAAACTATGAAATTGTTGTGTAGACCTCAAATCCCTTTCCTTCCTATCATTGTGCACTTTGATCTGTGTTACCATGAGACAGATTTACTATAAGAGGAGTAATTTGATTCCTAAAAAAAAGGAGACTTCTAAAGGGCTTTAGAGTCAGCCCAGCAGCCTCCTCAGGGAGCTTTTTTTAACAACTCCACTTGTGGATTCATGAGGAATTCTGTTTATGTATTCATGGCTGACTCTGTAATATTCCTAATTATCTCCTAAAAGGACGCAATACAATGAGAACCAGATGGCCTATTTTGTTGTGACCCCCCCCCCAAGGCCACTCATGAAATACATTGCCTTTGTAGGGATCTGTGCTAAAATCAGTCTAATGAATGCAGAAGCCACATTGCTGCACAACTGAACCTGCCTCTCGTACTTCTTCAGACAGTATTTCCACTTTAAGAGCAGCCCCTTTTCTAACTGAAGGTTGACTTACCTACTTTACACCTGTTGTGACTTAAGGACGTTCCTATTTTTTGTTAGACATATCTTACTATATTAACCATAAAGCACTTAAACACAAAACAGTGCCTGCTGTGTTTCTCCTGCCCGTTGTGCATGAGAGACTACTGCATTCAAAGGTCAAACTCTTTTGTATTGCTTCAAAGGCTGGCTGTCACTTTGTGTGTGGAAGTAATGATCAGCGACAGTTTGTTTCATCTAACTCCACCTTGCATCACATTTTTGCAGAGTGCTTAATTGTTTTGATTTAACAGATGAAATACATCTTGACTTTCTCCTCCTTAGTCTGCAATATCTCAATTGTTTTCTTTGGATCTCTTGTTATAAGAGAGTTTTTAAGGGAAAATGCACAATGGTGATTCATTTCAACTACTGCATTCTGACTCTTTCAGATTGAGAATGTCTCCTTGTAAAGTTAACATCCTTATAATAGGCTTTTGTTGTCTTGTAAATAAATGGATCTTACGCAGTAAACGTGACCTTTTTGTTAACGACCACAGCCCAGATTAGATTCTAAAGTATCGTCTGCACACCCCAGAGGCCAATATCTCTTTTCTTTTTTTCTGCCTCACGGTGCACTCCGTCACCCCTTGAGCCCCTCGGGGTATCATGCTGCACAGAACTCTCTGTCAGATTATCCCTTATTGTGCACCCAATGTGTCTCTGCACTCTGCCAGAAGCCTACAGAGCTTCTGCTTTTGCACTGTCCACAACAACTCCACTACAATTACGCCTATTGTTTGTACAGCAATTTCTGCTTCTTCTATTTTTTGCTGTATTCATATATAGCATAGTTTACAAAAAGGAAACAGCATGGATGTCTTCACTTTGAGGTTGTTCAAACACTTTTGCTTTCGCGTGTTTAAACATCTACAACAGTCCGCTGTCATTCTTGGTATTTATCTTCAGTGCGGTGTGACAGCGGATATAAGTGGTGGTATTTCTGAGCTGTCAGTGACGGGCAGGCGTGTGTAAATGATAAAGACCGCATTGTGTCCTGTGTCGGCTACCTCCTTTTACTATTTTCCCCTTTAGACTCAGAGGGCCTGTCTTGCTGTGGAGCTGCACACACACTGTGAGGCCCTCAAAAGGGGGGCATTTACAACTGGGAAGGAGTCCAGAGACAAATATCTGGTTCTTATAGCCACTGTACTTTCTCACCTCCCCCCACTGGCATTTCAGCATCATTTTCTCATTGGCTCAGAGGAGAAGGAAACCTGTGACAAACTGAACCTGAACACACCAACATGAGCTGAGTAAGAGCGGCACAGTCATTTAACTACCATTTACAGCTCTGCTAGTTTACAGTACCTGCGATTTAGTTTTGTCCAAATTTGCGATACCACGTCTTATATAATGATACAATCTCCAATTCTTTTTTTTTTTAAATTACGGTGTCAAAAAGTACCAAATCTTTAAAGACAACACGTTCATTTCATGCATTCGGGTGTAGGAAAGGAATGAATCTATCAAGCAAACCCCTGCATACTAAAATTGCAAAAAACATGAACTGTTGCAAATGTAATTGTGCAATTTAAACAGTGTGCAGGTGTTTGCTCGCAATTTTTGATAATTGAAAACAAGAAATGACCAAATATTTGGTGGCAAGGACTTCTGTTTTTGTTGCCATAATATTGATACAGGAAATGTTTTTCAGAATGTTTCCTCAAAAGCGCCGTAACTCAGCCGTCACTACGTCTTTGTACATTCATATTGATTCCGAGGCAGCATAATATTCTTGTCACAATCTGTGAGTTCACATTGCCACGCACGGTTAGCCATGCACATACACAAAGTGCTGCGCAACCCCTGCTCGCTCAGCAGTTCCTGTTTTGCCTCTGTAACACCTCTGTTACTACCTCTGAAGGCAGTTCAGAGAGGGGGATCACTTCCCTCCATTACGCCCTTGCAAGACGTAAATATCACAGCTTGAAACTGCAGTCTGAATTTCTTCTGGATCACTTCCCTCCATTACGCCCCTGCAAAGTTTTAAATTCTGGTATCATGACAACCTCTAGAGATAAGGTCACTCACTCTGGAATAAAAACATGACAGTAACTTTTGCTTTCCAGTTCTTCTTAGTCAGCCAATTTCTCCTTTTCCTCACCAGCAAGTGCACTCCTCACTTTCCTATATGATTACAGATTGTTTCTCCCCTTACACATAACGTATTTAGCCGTCTAATTGACATTTGTTAGTTTTTGCAGTTTACCATCTGGAACCACACATCTAAGCAGGCTGTTGAAGACTAACTCCAATGTGCCTGTGCTGGAGCCAAGAGGCCTAACACATATGGCCAAGGGCTTTGAACCATCCATCCAGCACTACAGTGCAGATATTTATAAACCACACCAGAGCCTCTTGATTGAAGAGCACATGTTTCTACTCTTCAGCACTGAAACCCCTCCCCATGCCGTCTAAGAACCACCTCCCCTTAAAGGCTCCATTGTTTACGAGTTACACTGGGAGAGTGGATGGAGGGTTGTACTATACTCTCTCTCTCTCTCTCTCTCTCTGCCCTTTTTTTTTCTCTCCTCTTCCCACACACCCGGTCCACCTCTGGACATTTACAGAGTGTGTGAGAGACCTGAGAACTTGAGAAAGACGTGAGGGAAAGTAAGCACAGCTGTGCAGCAGTGCTCTCACGTGGAGCCTATAGTATGACTCACACGTGTTTACATATGGGACTCGAGATATGTTTTCTCAGAGTGTGTGTGTGTGTGTGTGTTTTGAAGGGAAGAGAGTTAACATGTGTGTGCCTGTAAGTCCTAACGTTGGTGTGTTTCAGAGAGAGACATCAGAATGAGTGCAGCTGTTGGGGATTTACAGTGAGAGGCTTTAGTCTCGGCTGAGTCTTGTCCTCTCTGATCGACCTATAGCGGTTTCAGTGTCAGGTACCATAAACCCAGTGAACTCTCCACAACAGCTCTGGACATTAGAGCGTGCTGCTGATGAATGGGCCTTACATGTAGAGATAAAGCTATGTTTACAAGGGCAGCCAGGCTCCCACTATCAAGATTTTGCACCAACACAGCACTAACAATCATCGACTATGTATTCTTGACTTGGCAGTCATTCAATTTTACACTGCGAGCTGCATGGCTCTAGGCTGAATATATGATTGCATATTGTTTGATTACAGTCACTGGTAATAAACAAGTGTTCTACATAGCTGCATGAAGCTGTATTAATCAATTTCCTTTCACTAAAAATATATCAGATAACTTTTTATAGAATAAAAGGTCTGGTCGCAAACCCGCAGAGAATTATCACCTGTCTCTGACGTTTGGCTCAACTTTTATCTGCATTTAAGGCTCTATCAGCTTCTTATAACTTTGACTCACTCTTAACTCTCATGAGCCTCTTTTTTATTCCCAGTAGATGGAAGCAAAAAGAAGAAAACTCAACCTTCACATAAAGCCTCGAACCGTAATTAAAAGCGAACAAGGTCACCTGATGTCACCCTTTTCTGTGCGGATAACTGTTCTGAAGCCTAGGGTATTGTTGTCACATTTAGATGAGAGTCCAGGGTGAAAGGCAGAATGTGTGACATTTTACACATGAATAGAGAAGAAATAAAGTGAATCCGATGTAAATGTCTCTCTGAGTCATGACTGTCTACAATGAGTGAGAAGCGCGAGTCCGATGGCTGTGTTATTGTCAGGCCGTGTTTATCTCATGTTTACATGGACGGAACAGCCTTGCATATAAAGATGTTTTAGACAAGGACTAGAGAAAAGAAGAATAACTAAGCCCACTCACTGCTTATTTAGATGTCACGTAAGCTATAAGTTAACCAAAGTGTGGTAACATTAGCCTGATAACACAACAATGCAGGCCACAGGCAATTGCAGCTCGAGCCAAGAACAATTTTGTCCGCAGCTTGCGCTTAATGGTGCTTAATTATGGTGCGTTCTAATTCATGACGCCTTCGTGCAAACGCGGGTGGAGGAGGATTGGAGATGTGCCGCTGGAGGAGAGCGGAGGCTTCAGAATAGCAGAGGTGTCGCCAAACAGCGGTTTGTTTTGGTTTCATGCTTGTGCTCAGGGGTGACATCTACTGGATCAAAAAGTTGCACATTCTTCCTTTAAGCTTATGGACGGTACTCATCATTTTGGGCTAGCTTGGAGGGCAAACAGCATCTATACTTTACAGAACTTAAATATTAATTGTTATGAAGAAAGCACAACAATTTTAACAGAAAGTCCTCCAACAGCTTTTGAACATATGACACTGGAACAGGCACTTGTCAATCACAGGTAGTCAGGCCATGGTAAAGCATGATGCTTAATTGTCTATTTTATTCTTTTTGGCACCACATATACAAGGTCAACATCATGTTTCATCAAAGAAGACTTGGACTGGTGGCTTAGAACATAATGTTATTTGTAAATTGTTTATAGAGGTAAAAAATAAAGAATAATTTTTCTTGTCATCTGCTAACAAAATGATTTTTTCTTGCAAACCGCGGAGTGGCTTCTGCTTGCTCTTGCATTAAAATGCATTGAAGAAACCTGTGCAAATTCTCGACCACAAGTAATCTACTTAAATACAGTCTATAACATAAACAAGGCTATCAACAAGCTGTTGATTAAAGTGGAGCTCGAAGCCACTTAACAGTTGGTAAAATACAATCTGGATATTCAGTTGTTGGACAGACACACGACTCCAGCGTCTGTGTCTACAAGATGTTTAAATAGACAACATGTTGACAAGCATGTTAGACCTAACAGCTTACAAGGTGATAACATGTAAATGTTGTGTTTACAACCTGGCTCACAGCCTCTAAGTTTATTAATAGATGGACCCTCTGCAGTTGTGGTGAGAGTCCATTTTAAGCAACAGTCAGAATAGAAACTGATCCCACTTTCATCTGAGTAGAACACATTTCTTGAAACAAATCAGCTTTAGTTAGCATTTAGCGCTAGTGGAGCTGTGTGACTCTCTAAATCTGTCTGTATCAGTACTGTAAAAAGACTTCCCTCAGCGTTTGATCAGATCTACTTGTAAGTGTTGCACGTTCTTGTTCACAAGGTCCTTCCATATTCTTCACCCATCTAATCGCTGTCTTTTTCTGATGTTGTTTCATTCATTTAAAAAACATTTCTTATCAACTTCAAAAACCTTTTTTAAGTTATTTTCCTCACAATGCTATAGTTTTAGTATAAGCTGAAGTTTAACATGTTTCCTGACTGAAATTGAGCATTTTTAGAAAAGTTCTTTTTTAGCTACTTATAAACAGTTTTGCTTTTTGTTAGAACGTAAATATATTATTATAGACAAATGTGATATATGTAAAAGGGTAAAAATTTCAATTTAAAACTCCAACATTAACATTGGAAAATGATCTGAAAGCTCCTCCCTACTGATGTCACTGGTTGTGTTTCAGGCAGAGAAAAAGGCCAAACTGATGTCAGCGATGAACGTAATGAAGGATCACGAGGAGGAGAATGAAATAGATACACCGAGAGAAGAAGTCTCAATAATCAAGCACCCTTTGCCTACAAGACAGCAGCAGCCCCTTCAGCCCCAGACGCACACTCAGTCACAGCCTCAGTATCAACAGCAATCACAGCCGTCGCTGACACTGCAACAAAAGCAAACACAGCAAAAACAACAACAGCATCAGCAGCATCCTCAGCAGCAGCAGCAGCAGCAGCCTACTGACCCTGCCTCCCCTCCTGTGGCCACGACGCCCGAGCCAGTCGCCATCGGAGGTGGCGACAAGACTTCCCCTAAGTCTGCAGACACTGAGCCAGAGTATGATGTAAGACAATATTGAGTTGTATGTCCCCGAATTAATGTTTGACTGTTAGAAAAACTGGATTTCACAACAGAGATAACACTAGAAGAAAAGAGATTTATTTCAGAAGTCAGGGTTAATCTGTATTGAGTAAAGCAGCAATTTGTGTTTAAGGGAATTATAACACCATTTTTGGGCAGCTTTTATGCCTTTATTTGAAGGGACAGTGCAGTTAAGTATGAAATCGGGGAGAATGACATGCAGGAAAGGAGTGGATCAGACTCAAACCCAGGCTAGGCCATCTAGAGCTCTTAAAGTTCATCCATCTTAAAGTTATTTCTATTTATTAGACAGATCTGAAGAAAATCCTGAGGTACATTCTTATTTCATAGATGTTCCAAAGCTATTTCTCATTTGTCATCCTGATTGTAATGATTCTATCTTGGACTGCTCCCTACACTCAACACCGATTGCAATAACAGAGATCTTTTTCCTCTTTGCTCTTTATGAGGGTTCTTCTGTTTTTTTTGCTGTTTAAGGATTTTTCCTTTTCCCAACAAAAACAAACTTAGACAGACAGTGTTTAAAATGTTTTCCCAATAATGCCCAGACGTTAATGCAGAACGGATGGTTTGTCTTCTATTTTGGCCGCAGGACGGTCGTGGTTTTGGCATTGGCGAGCTGGTTTGGGGAAAGCTGCGAGGGTACTCGTGGTGGCCAGGCCGCATTGTATCCTGGTGGGTTACAGGACGGAGCAGAGCTGCTGAGGGAACCAGATGGGTCATGTGGTTTGGAGAAGATAAATTTTCAGTGGTGAGTGCTTCAAGCCAACATAAACCATGCTGTGAGGTGATGTTTTCTTTTGCAGAAAGAAAGCAAAACAGCCTCCTGTTCATAGTGACAACCATTCACCCTTAATAAGGTTTCTTGCCTAACTCCTGAAATTCAATCCTAAAATATTGGTAAAGCCTCCAGACACTGTTTCCATTAATGAAATACTTTTTAAAAACAAAATAAACAACTATTTTCTTTTCTTTGTATTCTTGACAGATTTGTGTAGAGAAACTTATGCCTTTAAGTTCCTTCACTAATGCCTTTCACCAACCTACTTACAACAAGCAGCCCACATACAAGAAAGCTATCTATGAAGTGCTACAGGTAAGCACGACCTGCATATTTATTCAATCTAATTGCCGCCTTGTTGAATAAATAAAGTGCTTTTTTATGACAGGAACTTCATATAAGATAAAGTTTAAGTAGCCATTTAGTTGATATCTCTGTTCAGTTGTTATCACTATTCTCACAGAAGCAATTACCGGTAATCTTTTTTTTAGATTAAGGTGTCAATGCTGTCATTACAGGCGGCTAGCAGCCGGGCAGGCAAAGCCTTCAAGGCCTGCAACAACAGTGATCAGACAGAAACCTCCAAATCAGTGGAAATGCTGAACAAGCAGATGATTGACTGGGCTATGACAGGATTTCAGCCTACTGGACCCAAGGCCTTAGAGCCACCAGAGGGTAAGAGGAAGTCAACATTAACCCTTTTCACACATATGGAAATCTCCTGAAAAACTCCGAAGATTTGGCTACCTGGAGGTTCTTTAGGCTATATGTGAACGCAAACAGCCGCATTTTTCACGCAGACTTTCTCCGGCCAATCCCCTCCGGAGATTTCAACTTGAGCCAATGGGAAGAGAATGACGTTTATATACAGTGACTGCCTAGAGTGTCTGCACGTGACCACTACGATCTCCGTGCACGTCATTAAACGTCTGCATTATGTTTTTGTTCGTCAGTATGTTGTTCTCCTCTCTTTTGTGGATGTTGTCATTCCATTGGAATACACATAGCATTGATATAAAGGCAAATATTCTCATTATAACAGACTCTGTTGCTTCGGCTGCCACTTCCGCATTGTTTATTTACGTCACGTCTTACCTCAGGAAATACAGGGATAGTCCCCTGCTGTGAGGAGCATATGTGAACGGCTAGTTCGGGAGACTCTCCGGAGCGGTCCTCCTGTAATTATCTAGATATTATCCGGAATGCATATGTGAAAACGGCTATTGTGAAGCTTGATTTGTCGGACTTCTGTCTTACTATGTTGCAAGAAATTAGAAAGCTTGACATTTATATTCCAAGACTGTTCCCATGTGTCTCGTATCTTTGATTATCGCAGACAAGTACCTCTTGGATGATTTTTGAATAATCACAATGTCATAACGTTGCCGTTAATATTAATTATCTCTTATGTTGTGTTTCAGAGGAACGTAACCCATACAAACAGGTTTACCCTGAGATGTGGGTGGAGCCTGAAGCAGCAGCCTATACACCTCCTCCAGCCAAAAAGCCTCGCAAAAGCACAGCAGAGAAACCCAAGGTCAAGGACATTGTCGATGAGAGGACACGAGGTAAGGTGCCTCATTATTTGTTCAAATAGGAGTCATGAACTCTTAAGTCCGTCCCTTGGGGACGACTCAGCAGAGTTGTACATCAGAGTAAAGTGGTCACAGAAGAAAAATATAGACAAGTGGTCCATTAGAGTCACAGGTAGTGAGTGATGGGACAAGGCAGAAATGCTTGACCTGATACATAGACAATGAATAGATATGTATAATGATATCAATATAAAATGTATTTATAACTTGAGAATATCTCAGATTATGTTGAAGCCAAAAGTATTGCTGCATGATTACCTGGACACCATCACTCGAATATTATTTACCCAATCCCTCATATATTAAGTACCCCTGTTCGTCTTGCTTGGAGTCAGATCCATTTGCATCTGTATTTTGCATCAGAAGTGTTTAGTGTACTTTTAACTATACTGCCAGGGGGAATAATGCTATTTCTTTTCCTAGACATGCTGGATTTAAGGTCAAACTGGAACAATGTTCTGTTTTTGCAGAATTTTCTCTTATCATAATTGCAGCTCCAAGGAGCCTTTTTGGTTTCTAGTCGCATTTACCACCAACTCTCAGCTGAAAGCAGTACTTTTTCCACTCTGGCTGTTATTGCTGGTGTTTGAGAATTAGACACTCATGAGGCAGAACTGCTATCCCACCCCCCCCTACAAATTACTGTTTAATTGCTCATTTAAACCACAAACCCTTTGCATGCGTTTTGTTAATGAGGTAGTGTCTTTTCTGACTCATTTGCACAGGTTTAACGGGTGCAAAAACCACACAATCCTTTTGTGAATCAGGCCACATTTTTTTAAGCACTGACTTTCTAAACATGGAGTGTTTTTCTCTACAAATGATCAGTGTACTGTATTTATGGCCGTTTAAAATGTGCATGTATGTATTTTTAGTCATTTAAAACATCAGGTGCCTTTCCTAATCATATAAACAAAAGTAGGCATCAGTTGCATAGTCTTTTGTCAAGAACATAAATGTCCAAATTAAACATTTTCACAGAAAACCTAGTTCCTAAAACGTACTCTGCTAGCTTGTAAAACAGGTGTCAAAAATAGCTAAAGTCTTGGATTTATGTGGAAGGTTTTATGATGATAATGTGCAATGATCTATGTGAATGAATACCTGAAACCATGAAACTGAAATCAGAGGTTAAACTGAGAAAATAATAATTTGAATTCCAAATATGTATTATGCAGTGGTAGATTTGGTTAACCTACATTCCTCACGAGTTGTTTCATGTGCTGTATTTTCAGAGCGACTTGTTCTTGAAGTGAGACAAAAGTGCCGCAGCATAGAGGGTAAGTGACGTGTCCTCTGTGTACTCTAGCTTATAGCAGCACCGGGGGGCCTCCCAGGGGAGAAACATAGTTATGCCTTGATCTTGACAAGCTAAGCAGCAGAAATGTATGTGTCTTTGTTAATAAAATGATAAGAGTAGAGACTGAAGAAAAACATTTCCATTATTCTTGGTGTTTTTCTAGCTCCCTTGTCAGTTCTCTCCAAACATACCAGCTAAGCTCATTAGATCTTCCCCTGCATCACTACTGTTCAAATAATTTCACTGCATTGTGAAGTTCAGAGCTTTTGATAGTGTTTACACCTCTCTGACCTCTGCCAGTTAAATACTGACACAACAGATTTCTTTCTATAGACATCTGCATCTCCTGTGGAAGTCTGAATGTCAGCCGTGAGCACCCGCTGTTTGCTGGAGGAATGTGCCAGGGCTGTAAGGTAAGCTGAGATTGAGGTCAATAAAATTCTGGGACTCGACTCCAACTGCTGTCTCGTAAAAAAATCACGGCTCCCTTCAAAACAAATAACAAACTGCACTTATTTTAAACGGCACCTGACATGATACCTTAGCTGTTTTTTTTACAGGAAACTGTTCTGATTTATTCTATTTTGCTTCTTTTGTACAGAACTGCTTTCTAGAGTGTGCATACCAATATGACGACGATGGTTACCAGTCATACTGCACTATCTGCTGCGGAGGACGAGAGGTGCTCATGTGTGGAAACAACAACTGTTGTCGGTGAGGGCTTTTTCCGATTCTACTCGTGTAATTGAAGAGGAAAATTAGGAGCCACAATGTCTTTACAGACAGTGGAAATGCTAGTTATGACTACATGTTGTTGACAGCGAAGTAATATGCTGTGTGTGTGTGTTAGATGGTTAGCAGAATCATTGAATCTCATCAAACTATGCGATAATGTTTCATCATAAAAAAGAAAGAAAAAAAGAGTATCAGGAAATGACTTTTTCCACTATGGTTATGCAGATACTTGGAGGCCATTGTTCATTTAAGGTTATAACGATTACATATTATTACAAGACTAGTATAGAGGATTAAAATTCATTTGGATCTGTTATTAAGATGCACAAACAGGAGGGAGACACCCAGTCTATTAGGAAACTAGTAAAAATGTTAAATGTTATTTGACTTTGGGATCTCAGGCAAAGCTGGGCAAACACTGTGCGATTTCAAGCTGATTTTGACCTGAGTTTTGAGTTTGCGCAACTGATTTTGAAGTTGGGCCGAGGGGGCACATTGGTGCTGGTCCTGACCAGTCAGATGAATCTCTGGCATGTTTGAAGTTTTGGTCATACTACATACTGCATACACTCAGTTAGAGCAGAGCCACTGGCTGAATTCCCGACCTCAGGGGTTTTTATTTCCTGATGGCACCTGCGCAAACTGTCAGACATGGTCTGAAACCTGCATGGCATCAGCAGGCATGCCTGATAAATGAGACTTCCCCCATATAAAATATATAAACGAGAGAAACGTTGTCAGAAAACAGATGCTGGCCTCCAGCGGTCAGTGAATATTTGTTGGGATTTATCTCAGTAGTTAACTTGTGTTTGTCTGTGACGCTGGAAGTCTGTGCGTGTGACAGAGCAAGAGGAATTTTTATAGTGGTTGTCTTTGAGCCGTGCATGTTTTCCCAGTTGTCTCATATGCGTTGCTATGGTCATGGGAGTTTTAGAAGGAAACTTAATTGACTATTGTCAGTGCTCTGTCCCAATTTAACATTGCACTTACTTAGCATCTTACTTACACTTACTTAGTGTACAGTGAGCACTTAGATTGCGCTTGACAATCAGATCTTACAGTATAAGCACATACATTGTGAGCATTGTAAACGATTCACTCGTACGGTGTGAGATGACAGTCTACCAAAACCTTTACACAATCATACAGTGTATTTCGAGCCAAAGCCTGTAACAGAAATGTATTTATACAAAATAACGGGCGATCCTTCCATATCACCTTTTAATTGACTGAGCGTAGTTTCATGGATATTTCAGTATCCTGCATTCATCCAGTGTTTTAAATCAGTTTTTTTTATTTTCCTGGAGGCCATAGCATATCAATAACTTTTAACAGTAACAAAACTATCCGACTTCCAAAACTTTGACCCATGGTGACCTGACTAATGTACGACTACATTGCCATATATCATGTTGGAGAGTTTCCTCCTCTGATGTTCCCTTCTAGCACAAAACATATTTCATGAGTTCCATTGTAAAGAATATTATTTGAGTATGATGATATTTATAGTATTTCATGTTTCATTTATGTATGCTTTACATTTTGTAAGCTGCCTTTCCCTTTCCTTTAAGAATTAAGTACTTTCCACCTATAGTACGTTTCCCTTTATAATAAATAATAATACAGTTTTTCTGCTCTCTGGGCCTTTACTGTTATAAGTTATAACCTATAAAACTGTTGGTTAAATTTTAAAATTGCTAATGTGTGTGGCCAAGTCATTAAATGATCTACATCTTTCGATCGACCACAGGTAGCAAGACCCTATCATCACTGCACATCACTGCATATATAATAGAGGCATTATAGCGGTTTCATAAATCAGCAGTGATGTTATCTGCTATCATGGTGGTCCACTGGACCTCCATGAATATTTGATCACACATGATATATAGTGTGGTTGTATGACAGTTGAATAGGCCACTGATAGCAATAAACAGAGTGAGGTCTGTATCCTCACACAGCCAGACTACCAGAGTAAAGCCTAAAAAAATTCCCCCGAGAACAGATTTAGCCTTGTCAGTACACATGTAGGAGCAATCAGAAAACAATAGCTTGCTGTCTCTTTAGATGATGCCGTTTGACATTTGGGTGACATTTGGATGACAACTCCCTGCCACTCAAAACTCTCAAACCTCATTTAAAACCACTCAATCTGGGCTTTGTAGATAAAAACAAAGGCTGGTAATGCAAATGTTATGCCAAGTGACAGGAGAACATCTGTCATATTTTCAGAAAATATGGCATTTCCTCTTTATAGTTTTTATAATTGTTTCCAGTTAGTTTAAAAACATTTTAATTCATATATCAGAATCAGAAATACTTTAGATTTATCAGCGGGGGGATTCAGGCATTACATTTGCTCTGATACAAAATAAAGGGGTAGCTATATAAAGCAGTATGAATATAAATAAAACAAGAGATGTGAAAAAGAACTGAAGCAATATAAAGTGCAGTATTGCACAGTAAAGATAATAATAATAATTTATCCTTTATTAATCCCGCGAGGGGAAATTCAGTTTTACACTCTGTCTAATGAACATGCTACACAAACATGCACAAACAGGATCCTATGGACATGCACTAATGGAGAGATCTCAAGAATGAGGGGGCTGCCCACAGCGAGCGCTCCAGAGCAGTTTTTGGGGTTCGGTGCCTTGCTCAACGGCACCTCAGCAGTGCTCAGGAAGTGGACTGGCACCTCTCCAGCTACCTATATTCTATAGTATTGCACAGTGGTCTCAGTATTGCACATTGTGTTCTTGAACAAAGTGTTGATGGGTTCAGATTCAGATTGTTTTTAAGTAACAGAGTTACTGAGTTTACTGAGTTACAGCTATGAATGGTGAAATACGTTAGGCAAAGCCAGACAGTGTCTGACTCTCAGAGGGAGGAGTAGTACAGTCAGTATGACTTCCTGCTGATTTTGCGGTTGAGTCCTTTTCTCTGACACCACCATCAGAGAGTCAGGTTCAAGCCCTACTATGTCACTGGCCCTTCAAATCAGTTTGTTGAGTCTGTTAGCATTTGCCTCCTCAGCCTGCTGCCACAGCACACAACAGCAAATAGGATAGCACTGGCCAACGCAGACCATAAAACATCCCAAGCACTGCCCTGCAGATGTTACAGGACTAGACCTCAGCCTCCTCAGGAAGTAGAGGTGAATGTGATTTTGTCTTGCAAACAAAGACTATAATGAAAGAAGTCGAAATTGTGAGAGAATACTGCCAGGCTGGATCACCTTGGTTTGTCGTCAGGGAGCTCTTGAGGTGGATTTGTTTAAGAAACATACTCTGCTGTAATCAGAACAGTTGTTTCATGGCTTTGACAAAATAATTTGTCTGGAACAAATGTTGATGCTGACATGAAACTACTCAACGCTATCTTAGATACTAACTAGAGTAGATAGATATCATAAAGCGTACTAATAAAATGTTTTGCTTGTGTTCAGGTGTTTCTGTGTGGAGTGTGTCAACCTCCTTGTCGGTCAAGGTGCTGCCCACACAGCCATCAAAGAGGACCCGTGGAACTGCTACATGTGTGGTCAGAAGAGTGTACATGGTCTTTTGTTGCGTCGCACTGACTGGCCCAACCGTCTCCAGCACTTCTTTGCAAATAATCATGACCAAGATTTTGTGAGTGATGCACTTTTAATCCTGAAATCCTACGATTTTTTTTGGTTTTCTTATTTTCTGAATACCATCTTAACATTCAGTCTCTGTGTGTTTCAGGAAGCACCAAAGCTTTACCCCCCGGTCATGGTGGAGAAGAGGAAGCCCATTCGTGTCCTGTCTCTATTTGACGGCATAGCAACAGGTTAGAGAACAACTAAAGCACCTTTATTTGATCAAAGTATGTCGGATATGACACAATTTACACCAAATGCCCACTTTCTTTAAAAATGCAACCTTTTCATTGGATTTTTCAAGAAACATTGAAGTTCAAAACTTATTTGACTGACATCTTGTTATGATAAAAACTTTTACATGATCTTAATAATAATAAATTAAGTTTTTATATTTTACATTGCATTCCCAGTATTTTTTTTCAATTTTCTTTAAGTAATCATTCAAAATTTCTCTCAGAATATCTTCATAATGTATGAGTTTAACAGTCTAAATATGACTCATATTCTCATATTGATGATGTGATGTACTGTATGTACTGTACTGTACTGAATGCATCAGTTACTGTATGACTATCAAGTCGTGGATTTGAATGTTACTTTCAGTGATACATGTAGCATAGGGCTTTCCCTTTATTTAGATATAGCCAAAGACCTACACATTAGTTTTATGGTTTGTTTCATTGTATCAGACACAGCTGCCGGTTATTGGATTAAGTAACAGTGTGAAGGATTTGTCCTTATTCTGTCTGACACTCTGACCCTTTTCTGTGCAGGGTTGTTGGTGCTAAGAGAACTTGGAATCCAAGTGGATCGCTACATAGCTTCTGAAGTGTGTGAAGACTCCATCACTGTGGGGATCGTCCGGCATCAGGGTCGCATCATGTATGTTGGTGATGTGAGGACCGTCACTCGCAAACATGTGAGTTTCAGTGTTGCGGGAAGTGTTGTGTGAAGTGTGCATGAAGTGTTTTACATGCATTCAACGAGTTGGCTCTGTGCTTAGCTGACACTTTCTAAGACCAGGCAAACTAGATTTATTTATTTTTTCTCTTGAAAAGTTTCCAGTCTTTATGCAGCTTGTGTAGAAAAGCAAAACGAAGCTGAAGGCAACCCTTTTAAAACAGCTGAGTGAAAGCAAACTCCAGCAGAATGCAGTCAACCTCAGCTGAGATGTGGCGATGACAACTGAAGTGGCTGATAAAAATAATATTTACTGTTTCTCACATTACATCACACTCTGCTGTTTTTGCTCGTTTTTTTTCTCTGGCACTGGCAATGCTGCAGAGGCTGGTTGATTTTGTGATGTTGTTGAAACTTTACTATGTGTGATTCTAATGTAAGAAATGCCCTGTTGTATGTATATGTTTCATGGTTATCAACAACAGAGCTCTGCATACATTAAGATACAATGGGGACATTATATGTGTGAAATGGTGAAATTATGCGGATCCCCACAGGGAGCTCTTTTGGATTTTAAAAGTTTTCTGTTGTTTTTTTAGCTCTGCAGAGACTAAACAAATGTTGCTTTAATCATGGACACTGTGTACTGTATGCCATCTGATATCTGCATGACTGTCATACGACTGCCTCTAGTATTAGTCATGGACTGCTTTGCTTTAGAGAAATATTATTTAGCTTGTGGCCTTATTTTAAACAGTACCTTCTTTATATCCGTCTGATGACATGTTGTTGACAGCTGGAGGGGGGCGTGCATGAAAGATCTCTTGTGGGGCATGAATCTTTGTCTGCACAACTTAGTTTTAAATCTTGATAACAGACTAACTGGATAGTTTATACAGAGGACTTTTGGTATCAACACATGTGTGTAGGCCTGTTCTGTTGGGATGTTTAAAATAATGTTAAGATTTACCAGTGAGGAGACATTTATCAGTGGTTAAGGTTAATGAAAATTGGACTGCTAGTTCATTCATATCAACTTCATACATTTCTGAACTTCCAAATCCATACTTTACCTTTGAAAGCCCCAGACATCTGAAAATTTATCCCCACACTTCCTCTAACTTCAAGGGTATGAACCGATTAAAAGTAGAGACTGGAGACTACAACAAAATAAATACTTTTTTTTAGCCCTAAACCATCGACTAGATGTTACAAGTGGAACTGAACTGGTTCTATCTTGTATCAAGTATGGGGTGAACAAAATTGCTGAGAGTTGGAATACTGATCATTTTATCTTACAGCACATCATCTAGACAGCCTCGGCCTGTGTTTCTGACTGTATCTTATCTCTATGCAGATACATGAGTGGGGCCCTTTTGACCTAGTTATTGGTGGAAGTCCATGCAATGACCTCTCTATAGTCAACCCTGCGAGAAAAGGTCTGTATGGTAGGTCAATTTTAACTGTTACATGTTTCTTTGTAATGTTTTACATAAATGATGGTTACATGAGTCAAAGTATAATCGTATGTTCTCTCACTGACAGTCAGCAGTGTTTAATGACTGTTTCTGTCCAACAGAGGGCACTGGTCGCCTCTTCTTTGAGTTTTACCGGCTGCTTCACGAGGCTCGGCCCAAGGACGGAGATGACCGGCCTTTCTTCTGGCTCTTTGAAAACGTGGTTGCCATGGGTGTCAGTGATAAGAGGGACATATCTCGCTTTTTAGAGGTCAGCCTTTCTCTGTCGGCTGGATTTTTTGCTGAATAATTCCTTTATCTTATCCTACAGGTCATAACTGGTTCATATATATATATATATATATATATATATATATGTAGTTTCTGTTCATACACATGGTTTTGTGGATTATGAATGCCCCCTTGTGGCAATAATGTATTATCTTTAGACACTACTTGTTAGACTATTCCTTTCATGATGTTACAGCTTCAATGTGCCAAATCTTTGATTTAGTCAGTGAAAACATACAAGAACTTGTTTTAATACCAATGATGTTTCTTTGTGATATCCTGTGAGGGCAACAGTAGTTTACCTTGCTTCTTCATCTGACTGGTATCTTGTCCTCTCTGTTTTATTTTGATTTCAGTGTAACCCAGTGATGATCGATGCCAAGGAGGTGTCTGCTGCCCACCGTGCCCGCTACTTCTGGGGTAACCTTCCTGGCATGAACAGGTTGGTGTGTGAATGGTGAGGGAAGCAGCAGCCTGTGACAGACAAAGGGACATGGACATTGACATTAAAGGAAGCCCATCCAAAGTTAAGATAGTGCCCATGCCAGTCATTCATCAACTAAATAAATGAATCACATATTTTTAGATATGTCTTTTGGTTGTCCTTACAACCAGCAACAGAAAACCTCCTTAAGAATCATAATATTGAACCAATCAGATCTCTAAACTCCTTAATCTTTGTATGTCCAAAAAACCCGCTGTAGTTCTAAAATGAAGTTTGATTCAGGCCTACACTGGAACTGACCTTTGTGGCTATTTAAGGTGGAAATTGAAATTACTAGTACCGTACTCTTTTATTCCTTAATGAAATTGGCAGAAAAAAAAAACAATGCAGCTACGCATCTCCATCTTTAATCTAACTGATTTACTTAAATAACATTTGTCACTGAGGACACTTGGAATGGCATCCATCTCAATCAAAAGTCTACATGATCCAAAGGTAAAACGGGTGCTGTACCTTTGCCAAGCATTATAGTTGTTACAATGCTAATTATACAATATGTCTTTATATTAACTGTGTTTCTTCTTTTTTCTCCTTTTCAGGCCTTTGTCTGCTATGTACAATGACAGGGTAGACCTCCAGGACTGTTTAGAGCATGGCAGAACAGCTAAGGTACTTGTGTAATACTTTGGTATAACAATCACTTTAGGAAATGACAACATTGTGTCAAATCTCTTTAATGTGCTGTATGCAACTGTGGAATTTCACCTTGCATGTTTACATCACTTACATTACATTGATTGAGCAGAGGCATTTGTTCATAATGACCAGCAGTAGGTGCATTCAATAAACCGTTTGCAGACACACTTGTGTGTCCTCTAAGCCTTTAGAGCAATGGAAAACAATTTGTGAAAATCAGACTTGTAATTCTAATCTTAAAAATAGCAGATAAATGAATAAATATTTGAAAAAAAGAAACATAACTTGAGTTGCTCCTTCAAAGCAGGGATAAACTACTTTACACACTGGCGACTCCTAGTGGCAGCAAAATATAACAGTTCGAAAGTCAGTGCTAAGAATTTGAAACAACAACCCATCTGAACTGTTACGAAATGTGTCCAATTTTCCAAACCATTCTTCTTTTATAGATGACAAAAAGCTATGACTAATACATTCTTTTTTTGTTACTTTTATTCTCCGCCAGTTTGAGAAGGTGAGGACCATCACCACCAGGTCTAATTCCATCAAGCAGGGCAAGGACCAGCACTTCCCTGTCAACATGAATGAAAAGGAAGACATCCTCTGGTGCACTGAGATGGAGAGGTATGTCATCATGAAGATTGTCCTTTAAACTACCTGTCACAGCTCTGTTAGCGAACAAAATCTCAATGTTATCCTCTCATGTCTTCCCCCTTTTCCGCTACCGTCCTGTCTGCTGGTCTGGCTGTTTTTTCTCTGTCAGGGTCTTTGGTTTCCCAGTCCATTATACTGATGTCTCCAACATGAGCCGGCTGGCGAGGCAGAGGCTCCTGGGCCGATCATGGAGCGTCCCGGTTATCCGCCACCTGTTTGCACCACTCAAAGATTACTTTGCCTGTGCTTGAGCAACGGGGGAAACTCACTTTGAACCATTTAGGAACTACAACTGTATGTTGTGACTAGAAATAAGAGCCTTGATCCTCAAATTATACTCTTTGTATAATTTGTAAGCAAAACATTGACGTAGATTTCACATTTTTTCTTGTATTTGAATTGTAATTCTTATTCTATTTAATTTTGATATGTCATTTTACCTTTTAGCAGTGTTATCAAGTATTGTTGATTTGTTTGTGCAAGCTATACTTGAGACTATGCTTTCTTCTCAAGACACTGAGATAGAAAAGTGCTAGACTTGTACTTTAAAAGCGTTGGAAAAGACCCGAGGGATAGGAAACAGTTAGGAAATCTGTGAAATGTTTCTGCTGTGTGAGCTTCCGGCTACTGAGCCTCACAGGTGTGGAGAGGAAGGGGATTTTTCTTCAGTGTCAGGAGAGCAGTGTCTCTAAGAATCCAAAACACCAGATCACATATACCTCTTTGTTTACAGTTTCTATACATAACTGAAGGTAATAATGGTACTACTGTAAAATGGTTACAATACCATGGTGCTTCAAGATGATTTGAAACTTCATCACCCATGTGGCGGTCCAACTTTAGTCAAATACTAACTCTTTAACCTGTTGCTGGAATATGTTGTGTTTTCCTTTTTTTTTCTCAGATTTTTTACACACAAAAATCTGTCGTTTTTGTTTGTTTGTTTGTTAAATTCACTTCTAAAGGAACTGACTGCAAAATATCCTCTTATCTGCATATTACATCTTTTATACACTTTCTACTGGTGCTCATTTATTCACTCAGCCTTGCTACGTTCAGACTCAACGTCTGAATCTGCACAAAAAAAGTGAAGCTAGCCACATGGGATATGATGTTTTCTGTCATTTGTTTAGAAATGAAAACTTTAGATCAACGTCTGTGAAACTACATTTTTTCTAGTTTCATCCTGACCAATGACATTACTGTACAACTGTTATAGCAAGTGTGGTCGTTAGAGGGAGAGAGGTTGACCAGGCCGGGTGGCTCTGCTCCTCAGCTTCCACTTCTGCAAACTGTAAAAACTGTCAGGTGCAAATCTTCAACAATATGGTGCGGCTTCACAAAGTTCTTCTACCTTTTTATAGCAATTTTGTGCTGTTTTATCAACATTATAAAGCACTTTTATATGTATACTTTCTTTTTTTCTTGATATTTTTTTAAAAAGGATATTGGTTTTTGTGAATTGTTTTCTCGTTTCGTTTTATGATGTGAAATGATCTACCCTCGTGTAATACTTTTTTGTATACAGTAGGGCTGTGCCAATAGAAGTGAAAGAATGGATTTTGATATGTGAAACCCATGTTATTTCAGTGTACAGTAGATGGATTGACATTTGGATCCCTAAACACCCACCCCCCCCTCCCTCCATTATCCATATTGTTCTCTATTTTAGAGCAGCAATTCAGTATGTTGCTTCCTGGATTCAAAGAATGTCTATTTCCATTAAGATTGTAAAATGTGAGGCACAGTTAGGGAACTATGTCATGTGCTCTGTATAATATTTTGTCCCTTGTGAAGGACATTTCCCTGAAAATAGTAGTCGTCATGTTGACAAATTTAAGTGCTGATCCAAATATGGATTATATTCACAAACTAAATTCTCTTGATTGTAACCTCTAAGCTAAATATGGAGGATTTAGGCTGCGGTTTGTCAAAACAAAAAACTGACACAGTGTATGACAAAGACGTCAGCACTCAAAGACTAAAGAGGGTAATAAAAACAGATTCTATCATCTATATCATATTTAAGATTGAAAATTTGAAATTTAATTTCTTATTGTAATTAATTTCGTAAGTGACCTTATTGCCATCATTTTTGTCCATGCACATTGGGCTCAATATGAGCTCTTGTGCTTTGTGATAATTTAAACAGATGTTATTTCCCCCCTCCTCCTAGAATACTTAACATCCCCTCATGTTTGTACATTCTGTACATAGAGTTTTCTGGTTGCTGTTTTTCATCTTTTTTTATTACTTATGAGATGTACAAATATAATTCTTTGCTAATATATATATCATCAAATTAGGACAATTTTTAGGTTCAAAATGAAAAAAATCAAGTGACAAATTTGATTCAAAACTTGCTTTGAGCAATAGATGTAGGGAGACTCCAAGTCGACTTTATCGTACTGATTTGTTTGTGTCAAGTGAATCCAGACCTAATGTCATGTGATCTTAATAGTGGCCTATGGACAGCTTTAAGATGAACGTTCTCAACTTCACTGCACAGCCCTACAAGGTGGTGTTTTGTTCTTTTGCTTCAGTTTCCTTTAGTAAGACTTCAAAACGAGGGATTGTAGGTGTTTCCAATGGTGCTAAACCTTTTATCTAATCAAGACAAATATATTTGATTGGAAGAGAAATAAACATGTCTATACAATGACTGTTTTAAGTTCCTCGTAGTAACTGAAAGACCTATTATTTCACTCATATAAATATATTAACAAAGGCATTTTAACTTTGTACTTGAAAAAATAAGAATAACAAATAATGAAAGGTTTCCTATATTGTTTTAGACTAGAGATTGCTGTAGTTGGTGCTTATCTGTGGGAAAATCGTGTGAGAAAAAAAACGGTAATAACTTTTACTGTAGCATAATGTATGCTTAATGCGCATTGCTTCTTAATCTTACATTCCACGCCGTACTATTCTCCATGTCTGTTTTAAAAATGTTGTTTTGAAAGGATGAATTTGGACTTCTATCAGAAACAACATTTGAGTTTTACTATTAAACGCAGGTCAATGATTCTATATTCGGTGAAACTGTTGGCACTCTGTGACTTTCTTTCTGTCATAACTGTTTATGGCCTATACGCTTTTCCTCAAGACCAGTTCGTACAGCAAATGTAGCAGTCATTCTCCACTTTGACCCCCCCATCCAACTCCCCCACCCCCATACTTATGTTTAGTGTCCAGAGAGAAGATAAAGGCTCCGTATGTACTTGTGCTGGAGAACACTTGAATAAATGTATTGTTTTTGTGCAAAAAAGTCACATTCCTGTCCTGTTTTTATTCACATTTTTTAAAAGACATCTAGTTGCAACTGAAAACGTGCTTCTTTAGTTGACATGTTATCTGACTTTAGGGTTATGGGCTAAAACTAAAACCTCACCTATTATTTTATAATGTAATAACTAACACTTTTCCCTACTAGAACAGTTTAAAGTGTCACAGTTACAACCACCTTTTTTTCATTATTATCGTGCACATTTGTATCATGAAGACATTTCAGTTTTATAATATGAACTAGTATTTATAAATCATGACTTATAAATGTTTAATTAAGATGTAATAAATAATAATTTTAAGATTTTTATAATGGCCATTTTTATAATTGGAGCTATTTCCCCATGATTACTGTCCATTGAATGAGAAACAACGACAGGAGATAAATATAGGGAGTTAAACAAATAATTGATTAGAAAAAATACTGGATTAAATGACTCATGGTCTCCTTATAATTATAATGTTTGGACACCCCCACATCCAACCATTATAAATCGACCAGGGCTTATGCTTCTAATTGTCAGGGGGGCTGATAAATGAGATGAGCATATTGATATTCAGTTCTTCTTCCATGCCATCATGCCCTCCAGCGGGGGATTTGTGGTTCAGTGTCTTGATATCTTGGTCCTCAGCACTGACGGTACTTGAAATAAGGGTGTTGCCCTCTGCCCTGCAGCTTATGTGAGAGCAGATTGGAACACGCTGCCATGCTAATGCTTTCACTTAGTCATCTATCAGACAGAGTTTATGGGCTTCCATTATCTCATTATTTATGTGTTTTATGTTTCTTTTTTTAACAACGTCATTAAAAGACCAGTCGTGATCATGTTAAATGAGACATCTGAGAGATTAAATCCAGTTTATGCTAATAGTGTCATTAAGACTATAACATTTATGACAATAGTGGTCAAATACATTACAGTTGTCTCTAGCTGTGCTGTTATATTTAATGTTACCCTTTCCCTCTGATAGTGGTACAGCCTTCTCTGAGTGGACACGCCCCAAGTCAACAGTAATTGGTTGTTTGGGCAGCCAAGCCTTCACAGAGCGCTGCTGATTGGAGAGTCACGACGTCACACGGCCTGGATGCTGCGTGCTGCACCAAGTTAAAAACAAACAGATAAAGAAAAACCGATTTTCCCTAAAAAAACAAAAGCATGATAATGTGTCCGCATGTATGCCATTGTTTGAGATGGTCGATTCTTGATGCCCGCATTCCTCAGCCAAGATAAAGTTAAGTGAATGTGAAGCCACTGTAATATTTTCAATTGCATATTTCATCGCAATTTCACAATAAGGTTTATTTATTTAGTTTAATTGTGTATAATTGTTGGTTGTCGTGTTTGTTAAAGGGAGGCTGCAAGAGCAAAAGGCACAGGGACTTGCACAAGTATACAATAACAATTACATTTGTAATAGTTATAAAAAAAAGGTAGATAAAAAGATAAAAAAGTTATCTGTGGATTTATAAAATAAATAAATAAATAAAAAAACTGTAACTCTGCCTGAAGTTTGTGGATTTATAAAATAAATTAAAAAATTAAAAAACTGTAACTCTGCCTGAAGTTATGGTTTCTTTAATGTTGCTATGGAAACAGCAATAAAATCCCGCTCGCCTACATTGCGTCGCTACAGATAGCTTTGGCCGCATACAACACATGACAGAAGTATTAAGTTTCAGCTTAGGACGATAACTTACTGTGTTAATGCAGCTTGCTCGGAACACTTCTCGTTTTCTTTCTCTTCCTTGTTAACTTTTAACTTCGTGTTTTGGCTTCACGGAGTCCTCCGAAACTTTGAAAGCATTATTTGTCAGTGTTGGGATTTGACAACTGTGACTTGTTGCCGCCGATAACTGTTCACTCTCCAAAAGTAACTCGACCTACTATCAGCTCATTAGCATTACCAGCAACTATTGAATTTATCGGAAAATATTCGAAAGTTGCCGCAACATGTGGACGAGTAAGACATCATTTAGTATGGGAAAGAAAACCGGAATTGAATGATATGAACCGACCAATCAAATTGCAGGAGCAGCAACGGTCAATACTTACGTTAAGTCATTACGTAAATGAAAAAAAAAGTTTTTATTTTTTAACAAATATGTTTATTATAAGTCACTTAAGGTTAGAAAACTTTTTTTATTTCATTACTATTTTCAATACAAAATTACAGGATGAAGCTGGGCTGGGCTTTTTTTTTTTTTAAATGGCGCAAAAGACTCAACTAGCCCCTCCCTCTACTGTATCCACACAACGCAAATTATAACAAGTTTCAACAATATAATTATGGATTTTCCTGAATTGTGTACATCTGCCTTGATGGGAACACATCTGTATAAGACTAGTAGTAAAAAAAAAAAAAAAAAAAAAGGGTTTGCTTTTTTTCCAAGCAGTTTGTTCTCTTTAAATCGGTTAAGTAATGTTTATTTTACCTGTAACGTCTTTGGCACAACAAAAAAGCTCATTTAATTTCCAAAGAGTTCAATGGACCGAAATCATTGACGTTTTGTCACTCTACTAGAAATTAGGATTTTATTTTGGAAATTGTAACCGGAAGTCTTACTTGTACATTCCCGATCACTTGACTGCGATGATGCTGCGGTCTGCTGGTCCCAGACCGGCCAGGAAGGCATCCATCTGGTGTGTGTAGCTATCTCCTTGGAAAGTGCCGTCTACACAAATTGTGTTGCGTTCAGTTCATGTCAGAAAGTAAGCAGAGAGCCGCGTGGAACAGCAGCAGCAGCAGCAGCAAGCCCATTAAAGAAGGTATGTGCTCCAAATCTTCTGCCTTATTATGACTGGTTTTAAGCCTATCCCTGTCTGCGGGGAAATCTCCTCTTGAGTCTGGAGACTTTTGTTTCTATTATGCCCCCTGGCTGCACGTCTGGGTGTTTGTCCTGCCTGCTGGTCCTGCCACCTACCCGGGATCTATAATGTACACACCCTGAAGAGGAACACCACTTAACCTGACCGGGGAGCAGGTGTATGATTATAGTGACATTTTGCATGCTTTTTTATTGTGGAGGAGGTTGAGGATGGGGGGCTGGGAGTTGGGAAGGCGGTTTCTAGGTCGCTAATAAAAGCTGTGCAGCCGATCATGCCTGATGGTGACCGGTTTCTTTGTGTCAAGTCGCACAAGTAAAAGTGTCATCATTTCACTACGATCACACACTACAAAACACATGATCTCCTGGATACGCTTTCTGCTTTATTGACAGAAATTTCAGATTGTTTTATTTTTATTTTTAAGTGTTGTACGGATTAAATTGATTTTAATTGAGATCAAATATAGAAATGTAAAAAGAAATAAGTGATTAGGCAGACCTATAGTTTTAGAATCTGTCACATGTGATGATTATAACCTACTATTGTTGCATACTGGATCCGTTATCGACTCGTTTTTTTGCTTGCAACAACAACACCGACTCTTAAAACAGGTATAATAAACTCACCTGTTTATTCCTTGCTAACCGGCGTCAACTTCCGTAATGCTCACTTAAAAAATGGCTTGTTAATAGAATAGAATATGAACTATTATGAATTATTATTCATTGGCCTATATCTGCCTTTAGGTTTTAGGGAATTTTGTCCGAGCGTGATGACTTCTAACCTGTAGTCTGATAACATCAGCGCAAATTTTGGAAGGAGCCATCCTTCACATTATCATCCATCAGATCTGGATGTGTGAAGAAGTCCACGCCATGCAGTAAAGTTGCCGCACCCTCATACGTACGCTGTCTGCACGCACACACGCACGCCAGCACGCAGAATGGGCACACACCCTCTCTCTCGCTCTCTCTCTCTCACACACACATACACACACACACACACACACACACACACACACACACACACACACACACACATGCACACACATATACACACACACACACGCACACGCACACACGCACGCCAGCACGCAAATGGGCACACACCCTCTCTCTCGCTCTCTCTCTCTCACTCACACACACACACACACACACACACACACACACACACACACACACACACACACACACATGCACATACACACACACGCACACGCACACGCACACACACACACACACATAGTTCATCACACCCCTGATACAGTGGTGTGGTGTGTAAGGGAAGGAGGAGGCAGATCTTGGAGATTGTTTCTTTGGTACTGAATAAAAGATAATCACTGGCAGTAATAAAGTTTATCTAAGAGCTGATTTGAAGGAGATTATTTGTATTACTCTGTGATTTTTTAAGAAGAGTAAAACTGTGAGGCATATAACAGAGTAGATCAATCTGTCTGAGTGTTATGAGGATTTTGGCCTGAAGAGTAGAACTAGTGAGGTCATGAGACTGCAACAAACTCTCACCCATCCACCGAAGCTTTGTCATAGACAAGAGGAGATTCACATATAAGTTCATATTTATAGTTAAAATGTCTGTATTTAATCCAGCACAAAGAAATTATTACATCGGCTGCTATATTAGTATTTTAACCCAATAAAATTGGGCAGTCTCAAAAATCCTATATCGGTTAGGTCCTCGTACATCCCAAGTATTTGGCAAAAAAAAAAAAAGTATCTTATGTAGAATCTAAAAGTATTTGTATAACCTGCTTTAATAATTTGGAAACAGCCTAGAATTATCCTGTCACCCTTTGTGATGTCCGGATCCACTGTTTGAAGTACTGTATAGGGTACAGTAGTTATTAGTAGTTCATTTGATTGGCATGTTGTAAAATAAAATACTTATTTACTGATTATTTTCTAACCACTAAATAGCTTCACTTTGAGTGAACACCATTGTAAGTAGCTGTCTTGCAGATTTGGCCTTTCAAAATAATGGCCTTATTGACAGTTATCTGCCTTATTGTGATCCTTGAATGGACTCAGCTCCTTTCTATTCGCCACAGCATCGGTGTCCAGTGAGACGTCAGGTCACAGGCGGTGACTGACACAGCCTACTCATGCTTAAAGCTGATGTCAGTCACACTCTGACAGACTGAGCACAGAGAAGCAGCGCCGATTCTTGTCACTGCTAGACTCCATAATACATTATCTCAAAATGAGGTATTTAAAACTCTGAAGTTTCTGGTAGAAAAAGTTTCCACAGCTGTGACTTTTGTTGCTCTTTTTGTAGTTCAATGGTTGTAAATGTACTGAATCTCTGTTTTCTCTCTCTTCCTTACAGAGCTATAGCAATGTCTTCCAGCTCAGCGATGGTGCGGATCCTGATAAAGGGTGGAAAGGTGGTGAATGACGACTGCACCCAGGAGGCAGACGTCTACATCGAGAACGGCATCATCCAGCAGGTGGGGAAGGAGCTGATGATTCCAGGTGGAGCCAAAGTGATCGACGCCTCTGGAAAGCTGGTCCTCCCTGGGGGCATCGACACCAGCGTTCACCTGGAGGAGAGCTTCATGAACGCCACCACGGCTGACGACTTCTACAGCGGCACCAAGGTAACGGCCTGCTGGAAATGAAAAACAAGCAGCATGTAGACCGAAAGTAGGCCAGATGGAATTGTCCTAATTTTTTAAAAAAGCAGCAGCATGTTTTTCAATTGAAGCATAAAATAGGAACCATGTTTCTGCAGATTAAGAACCAGACACTTCAGCTGTGGAGGGCAGTTTTGTGCTAAATTTAACTTGAATCTCTTCGATGTTCCCATAACTTTGATGTTTCATGATCACAAATTGTTTGTTATTCTGTTAGATATGTATAAAAGCTTTTGCGCTGACGCTAATTTTACCCGAGGTGTCAGTAACACGGCTTTGGTTTAGTTTTGATGACACCAGGCAGACAGCCTTTCTTTTATTGTGAATCTAACATTTTGTTCTTTTTTTAGACACAGCTTCTTTGCTTTTTTGGTAAAATAATGAAATGTGAACATAATGAAAACACTGACGTCACGATTGTATCATATATATATTGTTTAAACACTATATAATGACAGTTTCAACACCTGGAAGACTTTATTGTTAGGAAGTATTGCCAGTTTTTAAGAAGTATATTGTTTGATGTTCCAACAGCCAAGTATCAAGAAATCCATTTGGAAAAAACTGAACTGATCAGATACGATTTTAACAATCCATTAAAGCTCCCGTCAGGAGTTCTTTTTTCTAGTTATGAAATGGACAGAAATGAATACTAATGTCTTTATATGACATACCAAAGCAAACGAGATATTCAGCAAACAAGACTGATTATTTCTTTATTGTTATGATTAATGCCCGAAACAGCTGCCGCGGGGTAGGTGTCAGACAGAACCATAAACATCACACTGTCAAAACCATCCTGTTTTTACATTTTCCATGGCAAAGATTCTTCAAGTGTGATACAATCAGTGTATTGGTTACTTAATAGCGCATTGCAATAACTCTGCTACTATGTGCGGTAACTAGTAGTGTATCTAGTTACTTTTCACATTCCATAAGCGTCACAATTAAAAGTAATTATAATGCACTCATTACTGATGTGAAACAGCCGACAAGTTGTGATCTCTCTGTCTTGGCAATACCAACATTACTTTTCCAGTTAAATGATAAGAATCTACTGGTAAGTTGTAGACTATGGAGAGAAAGGAGAACTTTATCCACCCCCAAAAAATGTTTACTCTAATATCACAAAGCTCCTTTAACTCATGTACAGGACAAAATCAGCAAAGAGATCAAATGTGCGACGGTTTCCACAGGGGTTGCTCAAATGAATACAAACCAAAGTTCCTCATGAAAGCACTCAGTTTTTTTTCTAAGGAAAAGTAGCAATGTGTCTGCATCTTAACAATAACAATTTTCTGACCATACTCTTCTAGTAAAGCAAATTTCATTGAGTTTGGGCTGTTGGTTGGACACAAACGAGACATTTGAACACGTCACGTTGCAGCTCGGAAAAAAGCAACGTGTCACCATTAATGCTATAATATTGCGAGTGGTTGAACAAGATAATTGACATACAGGTCCTGCAAATGAAATATGGTGACGCATTTTAATGTAATAACCAGCTCACGTTATACAATAATTGCAGAACGGTCTTATAATGCGATTAATCTTTCATCTTTCACTGACAAAATGATTAACTGATCACAAGAAAATAATCAGTAGAATTATCCAGAATAAAAATAATTGCTAGCTGTAACTCTACCTGGCAGATTTAACGGTATTTGTTCACAAGGTTACAAAGTGTTTCACCAACGCAGCACAAAGATGATTTGGCACTTTGCTTCTGGCGAGACTTCCAGGAAGAGTAGACTGGAGTCATCATGGCTGCTGATAAGACTAGGAAACCCCTCACTGCCTCAGGGCTCCATGATGACGCATCACTCTGTAGCACTAAGAGATGATGGAGGCTTAAAGATGAAGAACTCTCAGCTTCAGTTGTGTTAAGGCAACTGGAGAGACACACCGTAGCTGGTAGACACTGGTGACAGACACTGTTCTCTCCGTCTCTCTCCTTGCCCCTCCCTCCCTCCCTCTCTCCCTCACTGCCTGCCGCTACGCTCAAGAATCCGTCCTGAGACAAATGCAGATCAGTATCTGTTTCCATGGATACCAGGGGCTGCTGCAAAGACTGCTGCAAAAGCCTTTCACTCTCGCCATTGTGCATGGAGACAATGGTTCTCAGACCCACGCCCCCCTCGTTCCCCCTCCCACGACACACACTCCTCCACTCTCTAGGGTCAGCTGACAGATGCTCCGTGAAGCATGCACTTATACACAAAACACACTCTGTCCTCATGTGTTGGGATTATTAAGAAATACTGTAGTGTGCGTTTAAAATCTTTATTTTACTGTATTTCTTCTGTGAGGAAGAAGTGCCGATAGGGTTCCCTAAAGGGAAGAAATGAGGGGCAGTCATTCCTGTGATTTAACCACTGAAGGATTTATATAACCCTTAGCTGCCGTCTAGAAGTAACTATAAAGATAAGAAGCATTAAGTGCAAACGACTTTACTTACTTGAAGCAGCAGCTGTGTTGGTTATTAAATTACAGTCCCGTCAATATTCATCATCTTAAGTAATCAATGTGGGTTTAATGTTCATGTCAGTTAATTTACTACTGTATTCAGTTAACCTCAGTTCATTTTAGCCCATAATGTCATAAAAAATGTTAGAACAATATCATTTATACGCCGTCAGATTTAAAAAAGTTCTGACCAAAACTGACATCTTAAAATAAAATAAAATAATTTGATTGCTGAGTTACGGCGGTAACTTGACAGCTTTTGTGTGCATTCTTTTTAGGCTGCTCTAGCTGGCGGTACAACAATGGTGATTGGACATGTTCTGCCAGAGAAGAATGAGTCTTTGCTGGAAGCCTACGAGAACTGCCGCAGCTCAGCGGACTCCAAATCCTGCTGTGACTACGCTCTGCACGTGGGAGTTACTTGGTGGGGACCCAAGGTACAGTGGTTCCCTTCCACATGATCCTTTTTTTTTTTTTTTTACTTGAATAATTTGGGGGGGGGAAAGCGCTTAGTATTAATTTATTAGCTTTGGGAAGCCTGTAATGTTGAGGAGATTGTTTCTCGTTTGTTTGTGACAGCCTACAACTCCCAGGGTGCATTTTGACAGATTCAAGAGGCCAGAGGCTCACTTGTCTCTTTCAGCTCTTGTAAAGATGGTCGGAGAAATGGAGAACAATCACTAAGTGACTTTTTTAAATAACGGGACAAAATTGAAGTGAAAGTTGGAATTTCATTCTGCTGTGTTGCATTCTGGTTAATTGAGGCTGGTAGAGACACAAATTCTCCCCTTTTCTATGACAAAATGTATACTTTGACTGTTTGAAGTATGACATTTTTAAAATTCTGTAACTTAAAAAACTGATTTACAAAAAGCTTTTCCTTCTGTTTGGTTTGATTTAGATATTTATATACTACTCAACCATACCAATAACATGTTCCCAGAAAAAAAAATACACCAATTGCTTTGTTCCATTGATTACACCTGGATTATTCTTCATCGAAGGACATCTACCGGTAGTTCAGACTGAGAGAAGCCAGAGCTCATTCCACTTTTGTCTTCCTGCAGGTGCGAGCTGAGATGGAGAAGCTAGTGAGAGAAAAAGGAGTGAACTCCTTCCAGATGTTCATGGCTTATAAGGACATGTTCATGCTGAGGGACAGCGAGCTCTTCCAGGCGCTGCAGCAGTGTAAGGACATTGGAGCGATAGCAAGAGTCCATGCTGAGAATGGGGAACTGGTGGCAGAGGTGAGGGGGCAACATTCCAATATCTTCTCATTCATATTCCTATCTGTGTGTTTTGTTGTAAATTTAATTTGTCTCCTGTATTTTCCTAGGGTGCAAAGGAAGCGTTGGACCTGGGCATCAGTGGCCCAGAGGGGATAGAAATCAGCAGGCCTGAGGAGGTATGGAAGTTAGAATAATCCTTGTTGCCCCTCAAATTGTGTCTATTTTACACTCTTTTCAAAGGTAAATAATATTTCTATAAAGATACAAGTTCAGTCCCTTTATTAGGACCTCACTTGTATTCCTCACAGCCTTGTTGTTTCCTTACAGCTTGAAGCAGAGGCGACCCACAGGGCAATTACCATCGCCAACAGGGTGAGTGTGATCTTTCTGAAACTAATACATAATAAGAAAATACTGACTTAGTTTTTCTATAATACCTATTTTACCTTGTGTGTGTGTGTGTTTGTATTTTCTGTTAGGCCAACTGCCCAATCTATTTGGTCAATGTTTCCAGTATAGCTGCGGGAGATGTTGTGGCTACGGCCAAGATGCAGGGTAAGGTGTATTTTCTTTTAGAATTACAAATAAAACATTGGCTATTTTAAAGAGCATACTGTGTAAATAAGATACATGTGATTCCTTCATTATGATACAAATTGCTTGTATTTACTTACACTTGAAACAGTCATTTTTCTGACTATACAATGCACAATACTCTTTGGGGCGTGACTACAAGTCAGGGATCTTACAGTGAACCATCAATGCCACGTTATTGTAAACATCCTGTAACTCAGACTGACATAAATCCAGTACACTTGCTTTTGGCTATGTGAAGACGCAGAGTTGTACCATGCTTACCATTTTTACAGATACTCAAATATTTAGACTTTCTCAGAGAAAAAAGGGCACTAAATGTCAAGTCTGTTGAATTTCAGTAACAGCACTTCAGTCCTGTGTTTTGAAGAAACGTTCAAAAGTAAAACAAAAACAACAGCATAGAAAGTAGAGAGAGAGAGAGATAGATAGATAGATAGATATATATATATATATATATATATATGTGTGTGTGTGTGTGTGTGTGTGTGTGTGTGTGTGTGTGTGTTACTGAATGCTGGTTTAAGAGACCCCCCCTCAGTGGTCGAATCATGCTTTCCTGGCCTAATCTCTTTAATCTTTTGCTTAATCCCTCGTCACACAACACTCTTTTCCCTCGCATTTGATCCAGTGTGCTTCCCTATTGTCCTGTTTGACTACAGGTAAGGTGGTCCACGGCGAAACAACCACAGCCCACTCTGTGCTGAACGGCATGCAATACTATCATCAGGACTGGGCCCACGCTGCTGCCCATGTCACTGTGCCTCCTCTTCGCCTGGATCCTAATACTCCAAATTTCCTGATGAGCCTGCTTGGAAAGTGAGGGAAACACTATGAAATCTTGGCTTGAATGTAAAATGACTTAAATGTTTCTGGCTAACACATGTGATCAACTTCCTCGCTCTGTCCGCCCGCAGTGACACTCTGAACGTTTTGGCCTCTGACCACCGTCCATTCACCGTCAAACAGAGAGCCATGGGCAAGGATGACTTCACAAAGATTCCCCACGGGCTTCCAGGCATTCAGGATCGCATGAGCGTCATCTGGGAAAGAGGAGTGGTATGTGTGGCTCTTTTGTTCTTGACTGGCAGCCAGGGAACTTCCACAAAAAAGACATTTGTGTTGGTTTGGTGGTTATTGATTGAAGAATACATTGAGAGAAAAAAACAAACAAAAAAATATTGCTCCTGCTTATAGAGACACGTCATAAATTTGCTCTGATTTAAAGCTTGGAGGTAAAATGGACGAGAACCGCTTCGTAGCAGTCACAAGCTCAAACGCAGCCAAGATCTACAACCTCTACCCCAGGAAAGGGAGGATCATCCCCGGAGCAGATGCTGATGTAGTGGTCTGGGACCCAGAGGGATCCAAGTATGAAACACAATCCCTCCATTCATCGACCGGCTTGTCTCTCGCTGCAGCTTTTATCTCCACTCTCTGAAGCTGATTAGCTTTAAGTCTGATATAAATGGGTCATCTTCCTCTCCTTTCTTCTGTCTGCAGGACAATCTCTGTGGATAACCAAGTCCAAGGAGGAGATGTAAACCTGTATGAGGGTCTACGTTGTCATGGCGTTCCGCTGGTCACCATCAGCCGTGGCCATCTAGTCTATGAAAATGGCACGTTCACATGTGCTGAAGGCTCTGGGAAGTTTTGCCCACTGAGAACCTTCCCTGATTACCTTTACAAGAAGATGGTTCAGAGGGAAAAGGTATCAGACAGATGTGTGTTTGTTAAAACTACAGTGTATTGATCTAAAAATGAATTGATATACATTAATTATCAACGTAGATTGATCAGGCATTAGTTAAGAGTTACACAGCTTTGAGTCTTTATTCATCTAAAAGAAACTATTGTAGTTATAGCATGTTATCATCAGTAACTAAAGGAAATATTTCATTAATAAATACTAAACTCTACAGCCCCCCCTAGTGTCACTGCTGCTGAAAAGTCAACTTGTCGGTAGAGCATGTTGTCATCAGCATATAAAGAAACTATTTAATTTCCACACTAAACTCTACAGCTCCCCCTACTGCCATGCTGCTGAAACCTCTACTTCCACTACTCATGTTATGACTTCTATTACTGCTTATTTACTCTTTTATGGTTATTGCTTCTACAGCTTTTATGACTGCTATGCTAACATTAGCTTTCTAATGGTTTCTTAGTCAGCTCTTGTACTAAAGCCAAACCAAAGCTACTATATATTTATACTGACTGAGTACAACCACTTCTCACTATAAAATCACTGTATTTATGCAGTTGTAGTTTTAGTTTCATGTATGCAATATGTCTTTAAAATGATTTTACTGAGAGTAGTGGTTTGATTAGCAACATTTATATTTACCTAAGCCCTTTCACACAGGACCTCTTGACATTTTCAAGATAATTTCAGGGTATAAAGGCCCTTATACAATCTGAAATTGCTTACAACACATGTACATCCCAGTGGGAGATTGTCAGTGTCAAACACTACCCTGTTTGGTTTAAGTCCGCAATACAAACATACATACAGGGCAGTTGAGGCTAGCAGTATAGGGTATAGAACAACAAAACTCTGATGTGCATGTTTGGAAGGGGCTTTACTTTTAAACCACAGAACATTTTCACCAAGAAACATATTTAAATTAACATTTACAATTTTTATGTGAAAGTATTTTGGACATGTTTTTGCTGAACATTCTTAATATATTTGCTATGTGCATTTCCTCTCAGAGCCAGGCTGTTAAAGCTGTTGAACGGGAGCCTTACACAGGTGAGGTAGTAGAAGTGATCAACTCAGGAAAGAGGGACTTGGGGGCTCCAGATGGCGACACTCCAACCCGTCCATGCACCCGGCATGGGGGCCAGAGGGATCTCCACGAGTCCAGCTTTAGCCTGTCTGGTAAGAATCAACATATTCCTTTAGATATAATAGACATTAATCAGTTTTCCTTAAAGGCAGGAGAAAGAGGGAGAATTAGGCATGACATGTACATCAGAAGTAATCTTCTATTTCTCTATTCTTCTTTTGCATATTATAATTGGAAGTTGAACTATTTCCTGTAAAACCTGGAGACACTGTATTGCCTCACTTCTTTTTCAACCTCTAAAACATACACTAATTGGCCTGATGGGGGCGCCATATTTACAGAAATTTGGAGCTCTGCTGCTTTAGGATGAAACATTTAGGAGGATTAAAGTGGTTTACATGGTATTTAAAGCTTTTAATCTGACATGTTCAAAGATTCAAAGCACTTTTTGACAAATTGCTCGTGAAAAAACTATATTAACTTCTTTGTCAGTTATATTTTCCAAATTTGCACATATTCAGACTTGCCCAGCACACATTTTAAAGTTGTGTTTTGCATTTAACGTAAACATTGAACTAAAAGCTGACTAGACATAGACACACAAAAAATAGAAAATGAGATGCAGCTAAGATCTGAGGCTGGACCATGGATGTCTTTATACTGTCCACACATTAACCACTAGTCCAGCAGGGCACCTCCCTGGTCAATTTTGGGACAATGATGAATCTCTGTTGGAGTTATTTGTAATAAAATGTACACTATATTGGTGCCAAGGTTGCCCTGGAAGTTGAAATAGTTTTCTCTGTCCGACAATTCTGTAGCAATATTATGTACTCTACGTCTTTATACTTGCCTCTAATCAAAAGTGTGTTTGCGTCATTTTACAAACAATCTTGCATTCTAAATCCCCTTAAAACGGATCAAAAGCTGTTTAGAAACACTTCACACTACCATTAAAATATGATCAGGAATCACACTTGTGTTTCACTGTTATACTTGTGCACTTGTGATCTCGCTCCCCGCTGCTCCAGGTGCTCAGATCGATGACAACATTCCAAAGAGATCTTCGGCAAGGATCCTTGCTCCCCCTGGAGGAAGATCCAGCGGGATCTGGTAACCAATCAGATGGCCATTACATGAAGCAGAAGAATGATACCTGAGAGACACACACGGCCGAGCAAGATGTCTTGTTTTTTTCTTTCTGGAAGCTTAGAATGTGTGTGAGGTAATGACGTTTTTATGTTGAACTCAGCACAGTTAGTATTAAGACCACAAAACATTCAACTGTATCACTTTCTTTGAATATGGATCAATATGGACTGTTATAGCCACAAAATGTCAGTCAAAATGTTAACCAAATAAAAGCAGGAAGTTCAAAAGTGAAGTGAATATTTGGCTTTAGTTGGATTAATGAAGGGGAAATATCTTGTGAATAGTTTTAGGAATATGAAGGTGAGTCATGGTTTTTATGATGCGATTGTTTTACCTCACTGTAAAATACAATTTTGCACTTGTATCATGTACTATTTAGATGCCTTTTTACATGATTTAATGTCACAAATATCACAAATGTCTTTTTACTGCGAGCCATGCTGATTTAAATGTTATTACATATTTCAAATGTGTCGGTATGACTTTACAGATTTTCTCAGCTGCTTTGGCTCAACTCGTTGAAGTTGCCGAATTAAAAACCATGTGATATCCAGAGTTCCATACTTATGTATTAAGCACAAAAAGAGAATTGTTTTAAACGTTTTGGTCACCACATTCAGGAAATTAAGGAAAATTGTCAACATTTTGGATAATTATTAGTTGAAGTTATTACAAAGCATTTAGTTCTTCTCAGTTGAACAGTTTTATCCTAAGAAAATCTAATGCTTTGTTTGTTTTTTGAAAGTAATAAACAGTCAAATAATCCCTGTATTTTTCAACATGTGGAGCAACATGAAGCTGAACGTTTTTAAGTTTCTGTTCTCTGTGGTGTTTTGATGATTTTCTTTTTGTGTTGTGTGAACATTGCAGACACACACGAGAGTACAGAAACAACGATACAGAAATGAGTCATTTTGCTGCCTATGAATTATCCATTGACAAATAAGTCTTCTTGTTAATTAAAGATTTGGCATGAGTTACAGACTTATGCAGGTTATCAAAGTGTCTCCACATCAGCTGTGTTTTTTAATTAATCTGGACTTGACAAATGTGCCAAAGCAGTTGAGAAAAACTAAAATGTCAGTGAAAAAGAATCCAGTTGCAATTGACCAATTGATGAAAATATCTGAATGCAAGCTAAGCTTTTTTTTATCTGTTTATTTATTTTTTTATATTGCATTATCCGTGCTGTTTTCCGTTGATGCTACTGTGTTAGAAATTAGTTCCTGGTAAGAATGAAGTCTTTGTTGGCCAGTTCATCTTTGTCAGATTAGCATTTCTGATCGTGTTTACAGCCTTATAGCAGAATAGACTTCTGTTCCACCCCCACCAAATGTGAATGAACCAATGCATAGTTAGACCTACTGTTATTAGCTCTAATGTTGCTGATGTAACGCATATCCATTTTCCACAGACAGCAAAAAGTCTCACCCAAACTGCCTTTTATCTCACCTGAGAACACAAGATACCCACAAACGCACTGTCTCATACTGCCAGTATGGATCACAACCTGTTGATCACTGATGTTACCAAAGGAGGGGGCATTTTTTCCTGCTTTAATGCAAGGTTCAAAATGTCCCTCCGATGTAACCTCTCCACTGTGAAGTACACAGAGAAGGTGAAGTGATCCTCTTTACCATTTGCAGCAAAGCACTGACACTACTACTGTGTTTTTAATGTTTGTTTTTAGTTACAGATGTTGTCTTGTGATTACTTGTCTAAGGGATTTTGTTAACTCTGCACTACAAGCAGCGGTGCATACAGGATACTGACCATGTTTAGACTGTTAAGAATATGACCCTGCCACAGTAAAAGTCCTATTTTATCTGTGTTTGCTTTTATTGAACAGATTTTACCTTTTTGTCTTTAGCGACTCCAGTGTTTTGTTGTCCCCTTATCCCCCCTCCCATTTGTACACTGGTGCTGAACACATTGAATTCCATTTATCTCGGATCTGTCTTGCAGCTTTTTATCACATGATTTGAGTGCAAATAAACCACAATGAAATCTCAGACTAATTTATGTGTCTGATCACTGACTCTGTGGTGGAAAGTACTGTAATTTGCTTCAGTTTTTTAATGTTGTGCCACTTTATACTTCTATTTCAATATATAGCTTCAGAGGAAAAAATACTGTACTTTCTTACTTCACTATATATTTTGACAGTGATAGTTATTTACTTTTTCTCCTGTTGTTTCCAACCTTTTTGTTGTGTTACCTCGTAAGAAAAATGCTCCTTTTGGTTGTCTGATTTCAGATTGTCGCTTGACTTATTATATGTGACCAATAGCTTATTTTCTCTCTGTACATCTTGAGACGTAAAAGTCATAAGCAAAAAAATATATGGAAAAAGTTCTAAAATCCATTTAATTTTTACCAAAATTTCACAACTTTGCAGATTTGTCTTTTGAACCATAGAATGGGGGTTGCCCCAACGCTGGGAGCTATTAGACAAATCTACAATAATTATATCACTAACAAGCTTTTGTTTTTGATTTCGCTTTTTATACTGTTGTTCCTATTTTCTTTAATGTCAGATTTTTACTTGTAATGGCACATGCAGGCCTACTATTTTCAAAGCAAAAAAAGTCCTACCAATTGCAGGTATCAGCATGTATAAGATGATTCTTTGCATCTTTTTTTATTATTATCAATGTATAGTAGCCCCAAATTCTTCAGTTTAGGACTCTTGGTTGGACAAAACTTGAAAAACATCACTTTCCAGTTTTTGCATTGACCTGTGATGACAAGACATCGTGATGAATTTGTACATGTTAGTGTTTAGATTACGATTAACCGATTGATTAAGTAAGTAATTTGCAAGATTGACATATTATAAAAGTACCACTCAGTTTCAGCACTACATGTAACTGTGGTAAAAGCACCGTTATGAATACTTCCTCCACATATCCTGCACCACTGTTGCTGACATTTGTTATATGACAGAAGATAAAAACACTGACTTCACTAAAACCTCAGTAAGCAACAGGCCTTAAAAATCCTAACCAGACACATCATGTGCCTCTTAGCTGGAACAGGCCAAAGTCCTATTTATAATGAACCTTTAACAGCATGGAGTCGGGCGCATGCGTGGAAAGAGCTGGATTGTTGCAGCTCCAGACAGGGCGGCCCGTTACCAAGCACTGCACCGCGCGCAGGGTCTGACAACGACGACAGCAGCAGCAGCAGCAGCAGCAGCGGGCATTGACAGAGGGACAAGAGCCAGCGTGATAACAACACAGACACTTCTGAATACAGTGAGTATGAACGCAGGAACAGCCGCTCTGTGTTGTTTATTTCTCCTTTTGTGCGTGCTTTGCGTTGTATTCACATGCGGTGGGGCTTTAATTTCCCGTGCACTGACAGTCCTGAGGTATTCTGGGAGGCCTGCAGGGGGGGGGGGGGCCGCTAGAGGAGAGCAGCACCAGCGTTGCGGCTTTTTAACCAAAAGCAAAAACGGCCACATTTATTGTTCTCCGCTCGGGCTTGAAATGTCAGCCCCCCGCCCCTTTATCCATGCCAAACCTCGCTTGTTTTGTACTGATTTTGCTGCAGTCATTGTGGTAGCTTAAACACTGGCCTTGCAGATTTTTTTTTTTTTTTTTACAAAAGAGAATAGATTGGTTTTCCTTTTTTTTTTTTTTTTCGCCGCTATCGATACAATATTACATGTTCCTTAGAAATCACTCCCCACTGCAAGGTCTGCTCCTAGGTTATGTATCTTTAGGTGTATGGTGTTAGTCCTGAAATCTGTTTCATCACTGGTTACATGGTTTCTAAGTTGTAATCATGTTATTGTAAGCTAGCAAAGCCTCATGGGAGGCTGCTGGTGTGCACGCTGCTGCTGATGGTGCATTCACAGTCTTATAAATAACCCCAAAAAAATCACAGCTTTTATCAATTTAAATCAGTCATTAAAAATGTTACATTAATGACGTTTAATTTATTTGTTTTCTCTAGCTGTCAGCTGCATACACAGAGGCATGCCTGACCTTAGAAGCATCATTTCACAGTTTATTGTGTCAATGTGCTTTTTTTACTGCAGGGGATGTCAAGGTGTCACAGGCCTCATTTTGTGACTTGACACCGCTGGAAGGTATTAGCCAGGCAAGCAAAGTGAGCACAGACAAGGCTGGAGCTGCCAGATGTGTAAAGCTGCTCACAAACATCAGGGCATTTCTGTGTAATCTAGTGGAGGGGGGGATTACACTCACAACACATCTGTAGATTAAAACTGAAACTAAAGATGCTTCTGAAGCGCCGTGTTTGCACACAAATATTGTGTGTTTTTTCTGAAAGAACAGGGGTTACAAGTCTCAGTCTGCTGCAGTGGTTTCTGGACCAGCCCAATATCTCTAAATTTCTCTAAGAGTACAAGAAAAAAAAATATGCGTTCATTTCTTATGACATAAAGAAAAATACAGTGCATGTAAAAGAAGATACATTCAAACAAATAGCTGAGGTTGCAGTTAAGGCAAAAGATTTAAAACGCTGATATGACAAATATTTGTAATGGTTCACTATACATGATATTTGCGTCTAATACTACTGTAGTATATCCATTTTAATAGATGCATGACAGTGAGATCCACTCATTGGTTCAAGTCCAATAAAAAAAGTTCAAAGAATAACCTTATAACCGCAACAATCATCATAAATCATAAAATGACATTATTTACATCATAAATTGACACAAAAAAAGTCGATATGAATCAGTGTTTTTATAATAGAATAATAAACAATAACAAACAGGGATTCCCTTGTTCCTCCTTTGCTTTGTGAATATCAGCTCTTTCAATGTCTAAAGTGCCGGTAATTTGACAATTGTAGGATTTTGAATGATGAATCAGACCAAAGTACAGGGCTTCAAAAGGTATATTAACAATTTCAGAAAGTATCATGGCTCCTGGTAAACTACTACACAATCATTCATATTATTTCAGTCAAAACGACCCTAAAATAAATAAAAGAATATGTTTTTTCTTTGGCAGAACAAATGTTTTACTTCAATTCCTCAAATTGAAAGTCCTAATATGATTGAATTCAATATATTTTTGTAAATACCATGAATATGTGAGAGTCTAATACCTTGGGTTATCAAATATCCGTTATGTGATAACTGTCAGTTTTCCTGACATTGTATATCCTGAACAGAAGAGGCTATTTGAGGACAATTCAGCTTACGTTCTTGAAAATTCTGACAGACATTATTCATTATCTTTGTGGTTAATCCAGAAAATGATCTGCAGTTTGATCAATAAGTCACCTTATAGTTGCAGGCCTCGAGTGTTTCAGTAAGGCGTTCTTCTTTGTCCAGGATGTCTGGCAGGTTGGATAAAGATTATGTGGAGGATCAGTGGACGGGGCAGAGGAGGACATGGCAGGCAGCTTGGGATATGTTGAAAGAAGAACAAGGTTCCAATTGATTACATGTTAAGGGCAATCAGTGTGTTTCTATATATACACATGGTAGCCCATCTAAATAGAGAGAGAAATCACTTTGTATATAATAAGATGAAGGTATTATAATCATGTGTAAGGGTCTTGTTCTTTGACCTAACTTTCAACCAAATCTCACTGAAAGTTTTGGAGATTCAACAGACAGACAAAGACAAAAACTTGAACCTTTTTCCGTCTTGTGTTTTTTTCTTTCAGGTCGGGGATGGCAGTGAATGTGTACGCCACTTCGGTGTCCATTGACAACCTCAGCCGGCATGACATGCTGGCGTGGGTCAATGACTCTTTGCATCTCACCTACACAAAGATTGAACAGCTATGTTCAGGTAAGGGTTGCAGATTAACGTCAAATACTGTTCAGTAAAGAAATAAATCAGAGCTCGTCAAACAAAAACAAACTGTTTGTCTTTTTGTCTTCCAGGAGCGGCATATTGCCAGTTCATGGACATGCTGTTTCCAGGTTGTATCCTTCTGAAGAAGGTCAAATTTCAAGCCAAGCTGGAGCATGAATCTATACACAACTTCAAAGTTCTTCAGGCAGCTTTCAAAAGGATGAGTGTGGACAAAGTCAGAATGCTTTTTATCAAATTATCATGCATTCCATAGTTTTGTATTTTCCCTTCTCTTGTGGTCAAACAGAAGTGATTAATGTCACACGCAGCTATTCAAGCATTTCCTTTTTACCATCCTCCAGATTATTCCTGTAGAAAAGCTCGTAAAAGGGAAGTTCCAGGACAACTTTGAATTCGTGCAGTGGTTCAAGAAGTTCTTCGACGCCAACTACGACGGGAAGGAGTACGACCCTTTACTAGCCAGACAGGGGCAAGACGTGGCCCCTGCCCCCAACCCAGGTGATCACTTTATCCACAGACCAAAGAGAAACGCAGGTAATCCAAACAGTTCTGCCTTTGCTGCACGGTCTTCCCTGAGCTTTGGATGGCTCGAACGCGCTCCCTGCTAGCAAGTGGTGTGAGCAGCACGATTCACAGAATGACCGCTGTCCTCTTAGATCCATCTCACTGCCCAGCACTCACGAGCAACATTACACTGTGTAGGTACGACTAAGTCACTGGTGGGAATGAAGGAATCACCGCAGTGAATTCTGGGATGCAGCATCATCGGGGTTGGAACGAGCAAATCCACTTGCAACTTGCCTTCCAAATTCTGACTGATCAATCAGTGATGCCAGAAGACTCTCAGAAATATTACATTTTCTACAGTGTTCTGCATCAAGCAGCTGATGCAACACTGTTGCAGCTCCACCTCTCTCTGAAAGCAGGACAGACAGATGAAAGAGTTGTTCCCTCTTTACACCTGGTATTAACGTTTACTTATTTACTTGCGATCCCAATTACTTAAACCAGCAGTTGCAACTATCCTCCTAGGGATCAACACAAAACAGAAAAAAAGACGTTCACTAATTATTGTCTTTAGATTTACTTACATTTGCTGAAATAAAATCACGATGCAGATTTGTAAAAAGTAATAATGCAAGCTGTATCAGGTCTGTCCTTTGAAGAGAATGAAAACAACTTTCAAAATGCTTGTTTGTTGAACGGAGGTCGGATCCATCATTTCTGATGCATTCCAGGAATTTGGAAAATCTCATCAATGAATTGATAGCTGCACCTACATGCATTAATCTGTTAATAGAGATTTAATAAAATCTTTGTCAGATTACCGCCAATGGGAGCTGGGGTGTCACTACCGCTGATTGTGCTCCACCTGCTTTTGCTCCCCTCCTGGACCGTTTCCCCTGCATACACCAAAACCTGGTGATACTTAAATGGTCAATACTACTCTTAACTACAAATGTGCTACAAACGGCACAACACTTCCCATGCATGCACTTCCAGGCCCTCCCCAACAGGCTATATATTTGTATGTATAATCTGTAAATAGAGAATGTTTATAGTTCAACATGCATCCTGCGTGTTCAGATCACAAGTGCACAGCTCTATGAATGACTGTATACTATACACCTAGCATTACTATGTGAGTCTGTATTATTGTGGAAAAACTTGATAAGCTAATGTTAGTCTAGCATTGTGTCGTTCATCAGTTGAGTGAAATAACCCACCACAGACTTTAGTCTTGATTAACAGTGACAAATGATAGATTGATCAACATCCTTATCCTCTATGCAGCATTATTAGAAAGTATAATCAAGCGGTAGTGGGTCCAAATCTATCCCCTACATTCATCAGGAGCTAAATGTCCCATTATGAGTAAACAACATTTTGCTGAACCAATAGGAAATGTGATTCATGCTGCTCAGATGCATACAAAGACTTCACACATGCATGCAAATAATACCAACAGGAAAGAGTGATCCATCACTTAACTGCACTGTTACCCCGGTTAGGTAACAGGGACTTTCCTTTGATGTACCGTAGGACACTTCACATACACACTGCTAACAAAATGTGGCCTCAATGCGTCCTAGACCTTAAAGTGGTCTGGGTGATTTCATCCCAACCCTGGATGTGTTCCCTCCTGTATTTAGACATGTCCACTTGTGATCTGTTCACCCAGCACACATGGTAATACCAGGTGGAATCAGGGTCTTTGATTTTTTACTAACAATCCGTATGTCCATCAGACCAGCTTTGCTCTGTCTGTGTGAAAGCTTTTTGCTTGAAAATCATGGCAAACGGTCTAATTTGACTTGTAGTGTGTAGTTAACCTGCTTCAGAACTCTGTCGCTGTAAGCAGTTATGGTTAATAGTGGGCAAAATGATCGCACTTGTCTTAAAACTCTGATAATGCATGTTTTGTATTTGAGTTAACTCCAGCACTTATAGAGGTTTGGAAGGACACATTTTTTATTTGAAAGTTTGATTTAAATGTTTGGAAATTTCAGCCATTGTAAAAGTTTTCTTTTCCTGTAATTTGGCTTTTTGAAATCTGGAATTCCTCATTTTTGTCCTGAATGCCACTTCTCCAAAAAGAACCAATTAGAACCCCTTTTTACCAACGTGGCCCAACATAATGCTCTAAACTTACTATATCAGCTCTCTATAATGTGCTATATCCATCGCCACAATTGCTACAAAGGCAACATAGATGCAGTAAGTCAATAGTTGTCCAAATAATAACCGTCTCTGATCATCTCTGCTCTCCTCCAGGACCACAGAGGACATCTCCAACAGTTCCCAAAAACATGCCCACACCACAGCGGGTCCAACACAGCACTCCAGCTATGAGAAAGAATCCATCTTTGTCTAGAAACGGGGGCAGTGATGCTGAGATCATGGAGCTAAATCAACAGGTGGAGTTACAAGAATATATACTCTGAGATAAAAGCAAAGCATAGACAACTAAAAGAAGTAGTAAGATATGATTCTCTGTTGATTTCTTCTCATTCGTGGCGTCATGTATCTTTCTTAGCTGATGGAGTTGAAGTTGACCGTTGACGGGTTAGAGAAGGAGAGAGACTTCTACTTCAGCAAACTACGAGACATTGAGCTCATCTGCCAGGAACACGAGAGCGAAAACAACTCCGTCCTCAGCAAGATTATCGACATTCTCTACGCAACAGAGGTATCTATCCTTTATCCGCAATTATTTTCATCTGGATGTTCTTAACCCAGCGCTGTAGAATCACAAGTTAGTGTGCGACAACTTCCATAGACATAACCCCTGCATGACTTACACAGAATGTGATTGTAGAGAGAAAGAGTGAGCTATGAGCAAGGGAAAATATTTAGGTCTTGTTTTATTTATCATTGTGCAACTATATAATCTAGTTCCATCCATTTTCTTGGTTTTTCTTTCTTTTTAAGTCTGGTAATGCTTCAGGGCTCACTCTCATATCAAAGCTAACTATGGCAGATCCACAAATAAGTCTGATTCTACTCAAGGTTTCTGCCACTCAAATTTCTTCTGCCACTTTTTTTTTCTTTCCACTGTTGCCAGTGCTTGCTCATTGGTGTATATTGTTTGGTATCAAGCTATGGTTTTAATTCAAAAGAAAAAACCCATAATCAATAAATTCAACTTTCTGATCTGAGTCAAAGGGTGGCAGGGTAAAAAAATAACCAGCAAAAGGTGCAAACACAAGTAGAGCCACGAGAGAACGTCCTCACAATGAGCAGCGTTCGAGAAACAAAGTGGCAAATAAAAATGGGCAGACAAGGCTGTGTCAGAGATCACATACTCTTTCACTACTCCCTACTCCCTACAAAGGGAGTTCTCTGTAGAGGACTACAAAGTGAGCTCATCAGCACAATAAAGAAACCACTGTCTGACTCTACTTGCCTTCTTGCTCGAACAAGAGAATGATGTAATTCTTGTCCCACGTTGCTCACGCTCCTCGCATCTGTTTGCAACGCGATGCATGATGGTATAGTTTGCCTGGTCAGTTACCGTGCTTGTACACTACTTTTCGCAATACAGTCAATAATTCTCACTCGTAATTCGTACAACTCTACAAAATGGCAAATTTACAGTGTACTATATAGTGAGTAGGGTGTGATTTGGGACACAATCAAAGACTTTATAGACTGAGGCCAAACTGGGACAGGTGAGATTAATCAGACACAGGACAGGCACATATTCACAGAGTCGGGTAAAGAAACAAAGGGGGGAAAAGGAAAGTGACAAAATAAAACAGGAAAGGATAACTAAACAAAAAATAATTAAAGGTAAATTATACAAGTTTTCAGTAGATGTCGCACTTTAGCACCGGTCATGTAAACCCCCCCCCTCCCAACGCTCCCTTAGATTTCCAACGCAGATATGCAGCCTGAAGGTAAATTGGGTCTTATTTCTTTCAAGTATTTTATACCAAAAACAAAGTCAAGTAAAAAGTACCTGACCCTTAGGGTTGGACAGTTAATGTTTGAGCCTCTGAGTAAAACAAAACAAGCTGAAGGAAGCGCCGGCCCGTCCTCTATGATATACACACAAAGCCCAAAAGCAACAAGCTGAGAGGGAGTTCAAGCTTTAGAAAGGCATTACTTGTCCATATACATTTAATTAGGATATATTCATGTTTTAAATACATAATAAAAACAAGAATACATGCAGTCCTGCTTTATATATGGTGTCATGAGAAAGAGCCAGAGCCAGCCACTTAAGGATACTTAGAGGACATTGTGTATGTGTTTGGATGTCATCCTTAACATGAACATATTTTCCCATGTCTTACAGGATGGTTTTGCACCTCCCGAGGATGAAGAGTTGGATGAACAAGCTCACTTGGACCAGGATGAATACTGAACCCTTCATGCCCCTCCCCCATGAAAACATCCCCATCTTTCCCTCTTTCTTTTTCTTTTTGCCCTCAGTAGTTTTCTACTCTGCACGCGCTATAAATACCCACCATTATCCCTGCTCTCTGTCTTTCTTTTCCTTTCTTTCTCATGTATATCTGTCCTTAACCTCCCCCATCCTCCCTCTGGCCGTCTGTACACAACTACTCTTCATCATCAGTCGCTGCTCCTCCCTGCCTCACTTACACACCAATAATAACAGTCATGTTCCACATCTCCAAGTCATTTCAGCATGAGTAACGCAGATATTTGAGCCAAGCCTGGCATGGAGGTTGTAATGGCAAACAGTGGATTTTGAGTCTGTAAATATTACTGGCATTGGGATTTCTGAAAGAACAATGTCTCTGCTTGTTATGGGGTTATTTATTTGCCTTTGGTGCGCTGTGATACTTCTAATGGAGCGCTGAACAACACTGCTCCAATGTGCCATGAGGTCACTCCCAAGAGCTACTAAAAACTGTAACAAAAGTGACTTTTTAAATAGCGTTTTCTTATTTATTTAACTTATATTTCACTAAGATTAACTTTCTGTAGCAACATTGGTGCATACCCTACTGTACATGAATGAAAAGCTGAGGCCATGTGTGTAATATCAGTTACAGTTTGTGCTTGAAGCAGAATCAAGCTTTCAGTTTTTGTTATGGTGGGTTCATGGCATGTAGAAAACGCTGGAGGAAATTCTTAGGTGCAATGACTCAAGGCATATGATCAGTGCTCTGCGATTATTCATTGTTGATCAGCAACATATCTGAGCATGAGAATGTTACACATTGACTGTGAATGAGTGATATTTTGTATATGTATTTTGTGTGGAGATTTTGTCTGATGTTGCACGATGCTGATTATTTACCGCTGTCTCATTTTGGGCCTTCATGCAGAAGCCCATGAGTTTAAAACTTAGAGGTGGGAAAACCACCTGCAGACTGACAACATGGTTAGAGATTGTAGCAGTTAAAATGTGTTAATCTAAAATATAAGGGAGCCCAAAAACTGAATTAATATAGACCCATAATCACATAACAGCTTTTGTTATTTTTCCCCTGAAAACCCTTTTTATTGGGTTCCCAGGATGTATGAGTTGTAGTTTGGAAGGAAGTCAGTATAAAGAGATTAGTGACATTGTAGGCATCCAGTTTAACCAAGGAAGTCCCCTTGTCCTTCCCTAGCTTTTTTTACTTTGTAAACTGGCTGTCGTCTGCTCTGGAACTTGCATTCATTAACCATGTAAACATCTACAGAACACTCATCTTCTGAGTTTTGAATAAATAAACAGTTGTGAAATACACGGTTGTGGATTATTTTGAGTGAAGCAATAACGACGAGTATGTATCAAGTTTCAGGTTAAAGGGGAGTTTGAGAAGACTCAATGAGTGAACAATAGATTTACCCTTTAAAATACAGAGTATTTAAACTTGTACTGGATGAAAGCAATTCGATTCAGAGGCTTACCAAACTTTTTTCCAAAACACAGAGTAATTACAAACACAAATGAACATGTCACAGAGAAGAAGAGTCATTATTCAAAGCATCTACAACCTGAAGCATCCTCCTCCAACGCCTTCAATCTACTTTTGAAAAGATTTAATGAGAACAGGTCCCCCAGACACAGATCATCCTGACTGAGATTCAAGGCCGCGGAAGCAGCGTACCTGAAACTCCTTTTTCCCATTTCAAGACTTTCAAGACACGCTTAGGGAACAGATAACAACAATCTGTTTTTTGACTGGGTTGCAGAGTCAAGACTGAAGCTTCCAGCACTTTTCACACAGCTACAGTTACACAAGTATGAGAGAAGCAGATTAAGTATAACCTTACAAATAAGGACATACCAATGATTTTGTCTAGGCATAGACAATGCAGGCCAGCCGACTCGATCATACAATGAGTCAGGGCCCTAAGATTTGCAAAAGAAAAACAAGACTGAAATAAAAACGCAGCCGCAACCCATATCTTCTTTACAAGTTGCTGAATATGATGCAGTCCGAAATTACAGCGTTAGATTAAATTATGTACTGACACCATAGTGTTGTTTGAAGTTATTGATAGTCCATGTAGATAGCTGTCTTTTTTTTAATCAGGAGGGTTAACTTGGCATTAGAAAATCTCGATGAGGACTCAGCAGCTGAGTGCAGTGAGATTAGTGCTTAAATCTGAATTCTGATCATATTCAATCCATATCTTGGACAAATAGAAAACGTTGAAGACAGCTAAAGAAGATTATGAGTAGCCTTTAACTTCTTGAGTCTGCAGCTCTATTTACAGTAACAGGCTCGTTAACATTGCGTTGCGTTGCAGGTTCGCGTCCCACTCTTCCAATGTTGATTCCAATAAAGTCGAATATTTAATCTAGTTCTTAGGTGTTAATAGATTAAACCACACGATACCGTCATTATTTATCTGCAACGTAAAACACAACATACATACCGACGGTGTTTGTTTGTGTGCAGACAGTTTACGTAATAAACTTACGTATGAAAACGTATTTTCTTTCCCAAACACGGTTGATTTAAGTGGCATTACGTTTCATTCACACCGTCTTCTTTCATTAAAACATACTTGCATAAGAAAGGGGCTGATAAAGGAAGTAAAGTCTAAAGAAAATTTAAACACACGTCTCAATACATAAAGTTTAAAAACAGTAATGTTGAGTGTATGCTTACAGATGGGGGATTAGCTCAAATGGTAGAGCGCTCGCTTAGCATGCGAGAGGTAGCGGGATCGATGCCCGCATCCTCCAAGCACACCTTTTTCGCATTTGTAGCTATGACTTACTTCACCTTGGTTTTAAGGTTTTCTTTTTTTACTCTAGATACAGCAGCATGTTACTTTCATTAATTAAATTAATTGTCATAGAACAAAGGAAAAAGTGCTACATTTAGAGGGAAAACAATCCTTATGCGTTGGCAGAGTGATATGTATCCAGTATAAACTACACTACTGTCGGTAAATGTTTAGAGTAACATCTTATAAGACAATATTTGTAAAGATAGGCCTAATATTTAATCAAAACTTAACTGTACCTCTCTGTGTTACTTCAAAATGACCGGTTTTCTATCGCTGTCTGTAGGCTACTTTCTGTAACGTCGAAAAGCAACTTTTTTTCTGGTGTAACGTTAAATTTCAAAGCTGAACAAATTTGTGCGACGATTAACTCGCCAGTCTGGTGTCCAATTGAAGCTTTGCCGTCCTTAAAAAGTTTACACAAACAACGTTAACGAAGGCAGCTTTGATGGAGTTTAGCAGGTTGTAATGATGACCAGCAGAGGTTCAGCAGGTGTTATCCCGTTAAAGACCAGCAGGTGGCGGCGCTGCATCGTGTGGAACATTGCTGTGAGACAGGTATGACTACTGTAGAAGCCTATTAGTTGAAAGTTTGTTTCAAAGAATTTCAGAAGAGCCTTATTCAAATCTGATTTATTATTATTATTATCATTATTGTTGTGAAGGAGATTCCCTCCAACACAGAATAGCGTTTTATAACTTATTTGTGTACATTAAACATTTCTGCTGCAAGTCTGCTGAAGTCGAAACCAGTCTATGGTCGAAACTGTTATTGCTGCTATTTTTTCCCAACTAACCAAAGTTAGCAAATCAGCTAAAAATACAGATACATGAAAGCTGTAGTCACTGAGCAACAGTATAGACAGATTTGGTGTTTCTGCATTAAAAAAAAACACACACATTTGAACAAATGACTTGAGATTAGGAATGTACTTTATTGTCACTTATTCACAAAATCAAAAGTTTGAAAAATACAGCAAACTTTAGAGCTAACAAATAACCAAAAAGATGTCTTAACTTAGCAACCACAACAAGAAAATAACTACAATAATAGAATTAAATAAAACCAACCATCATTTTGACATAACACATTTTGCACCACAACATTGCGGTTATGTATTTTAGCAAATACTTGTCAATATGTGAATGAGTTTGCAGATTGCATACTAAAGTCATGCTAATACTAATGCTTATTATCTACTTGATGATGCCTTTTGCAGATGGCAAAAAAAAAAACTTGTTCAATAACACAACTTAGAAGTGAAATGCTTTGAATTCCTTTGTTAGTTTAAATAAGAGTAAAATCAAGCAGATGTCTCAAGCCCCCAGCATTTTCTTCACCATGTAACCCGGCATGTTGTACAGGAAAAGACCCAGGATGGCGAGCAGAAGGAGAGCAAAGACGATCTTGATGGTCAGCCACCTGTACTGGTCACAGATTAGGTGTTTTGCAGCTTTGAAAGGGATCAGGAACCAGAGGAGGGCGATATCAGGGCGGCTGTTGGAGCACAGAGACGGTGTGTTAGAAAACATGACAAATTTATTACAAAGACATCAATCGGATAACTCAAATAAAGTCTGTGTTTCATAAGTGATGCAATGAGTACTGATACAACCTGAGGTCAAGCTGTCTATGAATTTGTTGCTTTAATAAACTTCTAACAGAGTACTTTTGTTTGGGGATATTATCACAGCTAAAAGAGGAAAATATTCCATTTAAGTTTGCTGTAACCTTTGAAGTTTTTAAGAACAATAAAAGGGATTATCAGGATGTGACTAAACATTTGCAGCCTATTTAGTACTTTTCAATAAGGGTTCCTATTAAATTGTATAAGTTTAAATTAACAAAACAGACCGAGTTATACTGATGACAAAATTGTGAATCATGCGAGGTCCTTTTCGTTTAACACCAAAAAACACAAAGAGCAGCATTTTCAACAGCTGACAGGACGACAGGATTGGTTTAAAAGTCAATTTATTTAGTTTGAAATATCATACAAAGACACATACGGACTACATGAAGAATCATTCTTTAACCGGGATAAATGTTAACTGGAACACAAACTAACTAATCCAAAAAAAATCTCACTTTATTAACAATAAAACTTCTCTGTTCTCCAACAGTCTCCAAAGGTTAGTCAAACATCTCAAGAAACAAAAAAAAAAGCAATGTTATCACACCAACATATTTGTACACATAAAATAATATAAATAATGAATGATGGGTGTACTCTGTATTTATTACAGAGTACAGTAGATTTGAATTAATATCAAATGCTCCCCATTTAAAAAGTAATCCTCTGCTTGTTTTAACTCAGACTCCTAACATCTTCTTCACCATGTAACCCGGCATGTTGTACAGGAAAAGACCCAGGATGGCGAGCAGAAGGAGAGCACAGACGATCTTGATGGTCAGCCACCTGTACTGGTCACACATCAGGTTTTTTACAGCTTTGAATGGGATCAGGAACCAGAGGAGGGCGATATCAGGGCGGCTGTTGGAGCACAAAAATGTAACCAGAATTAGTGAACGTAAAAGACAACAAGATCTAAAATAGAGCCAGGTGACCTTATAAGGAAGTATCCATTTATAAGTGGGAATCTTCCGGTGTTTTTAGTGCTAATTTCCCTCACTTTGCCTCGTGAAAGTGAGGGAAAGTGAGGGAAATTAGCGTGAAAGTAGGAAAGCAATCCAAAGAGAGGATTTAATTCTGATTAAAGGTGAATTAGTTGCTAGGCTAAACAATATGCTTAAACTCTCTCAACTTGAACTTCGGCTAAAAAAAAAAAAAAAAACGTTTTTGTTCAGGGAAAGTACAACTTTTCTCTTTTTACTTTAGGAGTAACAATTCATCATCAAGTCGCAGCCAAAGAAGTTATAAGAGGAAAGATTTAAGTTACAAGTCGTGTTTTAAGAGTAAATAGAGAAATCTGAGTATTGATGAAGTTCTGAAACTAATCTTATGAGATTAATAAATATTTCTGTCGTCTTTCAATTTCATTTTTACACACCTACAGAAGCCTACGCAAGGTGCATAAGTGTTTTTTATTTTTGCAGCTTATCTATCAAACTGCTGTAAAAATACAGTATAAAAAAAAGTCACTAAAGTAGTATTACTGAAGGGATGCCTGAATATTCAAAATAGAACAGAAAAGAGACTATGGAATCACATGATTAACAAACAGTGAAGAACATCAGAGACTACGAGGGTCAGACTTCAAACAGGATAATCCCGACACACTCTACCTGCTCAGTGAGTTTGCATCATTGATTTCTCATTATGCATAACCCATTCTTACATAAGCCAACATTTTTATTATTTGTTTATATGGTCTTATTTATTTGAATAAACCAATGCTGATACTCAACAAGTTATAAACTGCAGGTGACACAAAATCTTGACAATGGGTCTCTCAACATTAAATATCTGCTTTGTGTCACCTGGCAGCCGTGAGCCAACAAAGGCATATCCAATGCAGCAAACTATTTATAAGCCGGTGT